TACTCATAGTTTGGATGTGAGCAGTTTCTTTAAAAAAAAAAAAAAAGGTAAATCTAGTTCAGGTTCTTACGAGGAGCAAATAAAAAAAACTAACGTGGAAAGGGGGAAACAGATGTAGGAAACAAAGTGAGGGGAACAAAACAGAATGAGAATGCAGGAGGAATACACGGTGATAGCTTCCTGTGTTTCAGTCGGTCAGCGTCATGTTTAAACTGCATACTAGCAGTGTGAGAACAATCAAATTGAACGTGATTTAATAAGAAAAGTAATTGAGTCCCTAAATTATGTGAAACATCAACATGAAAGTTGATTTAAACAAGCTGTCCTCTCAGTCTGGTTGCTAAAATAAAATCACAAGATGTGGAGAGATGTCTGAGACAGCCACCACTAAAATGAGAGTATCATATGTACAGCCGAACATGGGATCTCCAGCTGTGCAACAAACACGCTCAGAAGATGGAGGCAACGTAATTGAACAAGGCAACAGGAAGACACACAGCTGCAACAAGCGTAGCCGAAAGTAAAAGAAACAGGTTTTTTTCTCCATCTTTACTCCTCAACGACTAGAATGAATTCATCCTAATACGACAGTCTGAACAGACCTGTGCCGTGGTCGTGGTTCATAAAAAGGACTTAAAAATGTGAGCCCTCAAACACTGAATCGAGAGAGCGCCTCAAAATACGCAACTCCGTAAGAGGGGAGATTGGGTGCAGCTTTGAGAAGTTGTCAACAACGAACATTTTATGGCAGAGCAAAAGCTACACGCGGCGGGCTACGATGTGAACGCTTCAGGCCACAAGATGCACACTGCAAGACTTTTGAAAAGCTCCAATGTGTGCTAGCTTGCATTTGATGAGTCAATAAAGCCGCCGGACTGCGCGGTGGAAACAGCCAGCGGGTCATCGCGGGTATACAGAGCTGGAAGCGCTCTGCGGCCGGCGGTTTGGTGTTCGTCTGGACGCCAGTTCACCGGACAATATTTTATTATAAAAAACAGCCCCCACGTAGGGCCAGCCTCGACCGGCATTAACTGGCTTTTTCCAGGAGACCGAACTGGTCCCAGTACAGAGGCGGTGGCGTCATCGTATGAGAATAGATGTGCAGCTACGAACACAATGCACAGAGGAGCCTGAGTGACACCACACGCTAGGCACTGAATGATGAACAATCAGCGGGTGGACGAGAGATTACATGTGAGAGATTACGGTGTCCTCGCTGACAGACGGAAAGGAAAAGCGAGGCGAGACATGTTTTCATGTCATGCTGCTTGTAGAATAAAGGTTTAATTACAAGCTCGTATCAGTGGCATTAAATGCCAAACCACGTACAGTTATAATCCCATTATTGCGGGGTTTTTTTAAAAAAAAGTTGCAGAACAGAAAAAAAATCTGTGGATTCCAAAACAGACAGTTTGAAGCGTAATGCTTTAGTATTAGAGCTGAAGAGATTGGTCGATTAATGGATTAGTCTTTAGTAATTCATCCCGTAGCACCGGCCAGCTTCTTTATCTGATAGAAAATTTAGATTTAGGACAGTTTGATTCACAAAATGAACACTGCGTTTTCCACATAGATAACAGATCAGTAAAAAGATGTTCACAAATCGTATATATTGCAAGCGTTATTGCTATCGTACATCTTCACATGTGAAAAACAGGGAACATTCCAACTTTCACTCCAAACAACAAGCACAGGGACTTGAAGGGGAAGAAAGGAGTAAATACACTATGAGCATCAGGAGGCGGTTTTATTTTGTCTTTTGCTTTGACAATCCGTCTATCCACCTCATTCACCGTCAGTCAGACAGCTAATCCGGAGACGGAGATCCTGGGCTCGTCTGTGGAATGTACAGCTGTGTGGCATACGGATAATACGACATTTTAATTTCCGACATGCAGCCCCCACCCAACAATCGGCTTTCCCCGGAAACTGGGGAGGAGGAGGTGGGGGCAAAGGCTGTGAAGTGCAGGGTGTCTCTTTTTTTAATGGTAGGGCTGAAGGTAGGCCTTTTTGGTGCTTTAAAAGCTTGTAATTATTATTCTTCAGTAGAAAGGAGATATTGGTTGAAATGGGCTGTGATCTAAATTGATCGGTGATTGGACCTATGGACCGTTTTCCTAGTACATTTCATTTTTTGCAAGAAACCGGAGGCTCCAAAGCACGCGTGGGCGTTTTGCAACAAGGGAATCAGTCGGTGTTCTGAAAACAGCAACAAGTTAACACAACAGTCCGTCCAATAGTCAGGTGTCGTTTGGAACATCAAAACCGGTTTCACTCTCTGTTATCGTCCCTCCAGTTCATAAGGGACATAACAAATACCTTAAAATTATATAAAAGAGTACACGAGGTCTGCTACAAGTCATTTCTGTAGGAAATTGCCTCTTTGCGTTCCTCCATCGAAGCAGCAGCTAAACACAAAAAGGGACGTTTGTGCTGAAAATACTTTGGGAGGGCGTGTTGACTTCAGATAAACTCTGGCTCGCGTAGAATGAAGTGTGGACGTTGTTCCTCGTCTACGCCGGACTATTGTTGTGAGACAGATTCTATCAACCGAGAACATATGCTTGGTTTCAACTTGACTGACCTTTAAGACGACCCTGCTGAACCATGTTATAAACTGCACAGGTGGATTTACCAAAGTTTAAATATTTAAATCTGAGCTGCTACAGAGGCATCACAACAACAATTATTGACTGGTGTTACGAGTTTGGTCATATTTGGTAAATAGCTCTGTTTCTGACTAAAAGGAATAAGATTTCTGCTAACATGGAGGAAAACATCCCACTGTACGTCAATACAACAATGTATTAAACGGACATTTAGGTGACAAGCCTATAAATCATGATTTGCTCCCCTTACAGAGGGTGTTCTCTGATCAAAAACAATGACGTCAAGGTAATAGCAAAAACAGGAACACGAACAAAGAACAGAATTAACTGGAAAGTTAGTCACTTCATACGACAAGACAATGCGCCGCAATAGATTTGGGGGAAAGTACTTATTTCCTCTTTTCAGACCCATTTAGCTCGACTGAAGTGGATTCTGAACACGGTTTGTCAAGTGAAGAATACACTACTGAACACATGGAACAGCTTCAATCTATCTCTTAATGGTGTTGCGGTTTTAGCCAATAGGTAGATGGAGATTATCATTATTTAATGCGTTTGATAAAAACAGGCTTTAAAAAGGGTTGTAAATACAGCTGTACACACACCTGTATGTTCCTTGATGCTCGTTCCTCACAGTAACTACAGTGACAATAATGACGTAAAAGTCACAATGAACTTAAAAGTAAAAGACTTTACACTGCGCATGGACAATTTAAGATACAATTCTGAAATTTTACTGGTCAAGTTTGTGTAAAACTACAATATGTAACTCAAGTTTCCCAAGACGTATACAGGAAATATCAGTTATTGTTAAACCCTTTAGGACTCCAAATAACATTTTTATCTAGAATATCGATGTGAGTAATAATAAATCCCCGTAAAAAATCCCTGAATACTGAGTGGTACCTTTTGCCAGAAAATGTTATCAGTTAGTTCCTTGAACGGGGAGATTAATTTAACCAAATAGTTTGACCAATGGTTTACATCTTTCTCTAAATCCCCCTCCTGTCAGCTACCAGCTGACCAAAGGGAGATTCTGTTTTATGTCATCGTTAACAGAAAAAAAAAGGGACTCTGGGCAAAAAATGTTTTTTGTAGAGATTATAAGTATAATACACATTTTAAATTATGATGAAATTAACCAATAGTAGCAGCTTTAAAATGTGTGTGACAAAAAAAAACTGAACTGGCATCACGAGCAGCATCAATAGTGATTCAATCGCCTGTACTAAGTGCAACAAGTGTGTTTAAATAAACTTAAATGTAATATGTCAGAATAACAACGCCCACATGGCAGAGCATCAGATTGAGTTTCTTCGGGCTTCTTTGTTAAACTTCATTAAATGGGTTTGACTATAAACAAAGCCAATGGGCCTTTTCCACGAAACCCAGCTAACTATAGATAGGCTGGTTTGACGTTTCATTAACAAATAGTGAAATAGAACATTAATATTAATGACTTGTTTAAAAGGCGAAAATAAATCAGGAATCTAATGCTGGAAAAATAAATATCATCCATTTTAAGTGGCCAACCGAACACAGTTAACAGACCACGCGAACAATACAAACAACCAATCAAGGTTTTGGTGCAAGAAACAACTTTAACGAAACCAAACACCGCGAGTTAAAAGCCCTTAACTTCTTCTAACTATTCACTTAACTTAAGTCTCCTTGGGACACATGCTTCTTCACACCTTACCAACAAAGCCAAGCTAGCGCAGTGGCTAAACTTAAGTTACATAAAACGCATAACTCAGCCGCTACGATACGACTTTTGTGAGATTAAACGGTGGGTTTTGACTGTAAAATGTGAACGTACGCTAACTCGGTAGCACACGTCTGGGCTACAATCACAGGCGAGATATTGTAAACTATGCGGCAAAGTTAGCTAACCGAGGAATGCGGCTAACGACACCGTAAATACACTTCTCCGGACAAAGCGAATAAACGACATAGTGCGAACACTTTCTCGATGGACATTAATCATTCCGCTGTCTGTTAGCTATTATAAGCCGTGATTTGTTTTAATCACTAACGTCGCACTGCAGAAGTTAAACGAACTTTTCTTTTTTTTTCCACGACAGCACCCAGAAGGATTCGTCTATCCCCTGGCACCGACACTCAACACACAAAAAAAATCTGTTCGCGGAACTCCTTAACAGTTTTTAGCAACTTTTTTTCTATGATCAAGAAATGAGAATAAAATATGTGTGATTACAATTTTAGAAATTGCCACGCAGCCAAGTTTGAAAGTCCTGCGGTTTGGAGTCGTAAAACCATAAACACGGAGCGCTCCAAACTAAGGACTGCGTCCGCTCCAGCGATTAGACGTAGCCTTAAAGTAGGCAGCAGACCGGCAGACTGGGAACGAAGTTTTGGATTCCTCCTTACCTTTCTCCTTCCCTCCTAAATGTCTCCGTCAATGTGCGCGAGTACGAATCCTTTCGACGCTAGTTCTTCGGAGCATCTCGAGGCCAACGTCCCTCCATGACGACCCGACAGAAAACCTCAATTGAAGAGTCTCTCTCTCTCTCAATATCTTCGTCGCGGTAGAGTCTCCTGCCGCCCGATCGCGTCGGTCTGCGGTGGTGATGGAGGAGAGCGAATACCAGCCTCACAAAGATCGCATGCAAGCGTAACGATGGATCACTAGGGCAAAAAAAACAAACCCTAATTTCCGGTTGGCCAGAGTGGGTGTTGTCTGAACACGCATGCGCTTTGGACTGCCACCTCTCAGGTGAAGAAGATAATATTTCTGTTTTTTTTACATCTACACAGACAGTATTTCCTTTTTATTACTTGTACATCTTGTTAAACTTTGTTGTTTGACAAGACATCTCCATTTAGGTTTCAAATATAAATTATAAACCTCCGAACATACAATATAATTAGCAATGCGACATCTTATTTGATTTATGATATAATTTCTAACCATTGCTATTGTTGACTGTCTCCATATATTCCATATGTATATATATATTTTTAAATTTTAACTTTTGATACAAGAAAAAACAATAATTATGAACAAAAGCCAATGTTAGTAACAATATTACTCATTATGTTTAGTGTCCTTATTCAGTGAAAGAGAGAGAACTCTCTCTGCTTTTTCTTTTCTGCTTCCAATCACTAGTGTCCAGCAGCAATCTGGGAACTTTTATTTTGAAGTAAAAATTTAGAGGCGCCCCCTAGTGTTGATTAGGGAACATTATGGTCGTCAACCTTTCTACTTTACTACTACTGTCTCTAATAGTGTAACTAAAACATCTAGATCGAATGGAATCATCACTTCGATCATCTACTTTGCATGAGTATCTGGTTGCTTACATAAAGGTAATTAGTAAAATAAATGTGGGCCAGTAGACTAACAAAAGTTATCAAAATGCCCCATAATAGGTAATCAATAAAGCACGATAAACTGCAGGTAAGGTTTATACAACCAGTGTTGGATGATGAGGAAGGAGTACAGCAGACGCTTTTCATGTTCGCCCAAGATACTGTTTTTTTTCAGTGAACAGTAGGAAATATTCAATAGGGGGCTTGAACACTAATAAAACTGGTGATCACATACTTCCTATTTATTTTCTATGTAAAGAAATGTTTCTTATTGTTGTCATTTACATTTTATTTGTTACTTATCTTGGGCATAACTTAATTGAATTGGACAAAAACTGAATTGTAATAATGAAAGAAAGGCTGCAAAGTTAAAGGCACAGCTGGAATGTGAAGGAACTCGTGTTAATGAAGCAGGAACTTTTACAAAATAAGCCACAGCATATAGGTCACCGCTATAAAACATCATTATTTTTACCTTATATTAATAAAACCAACCAATATAAAAGTTCATTTTCAACAAAGTTGAAATGTCTCTGCTGGGATTTGAACCAAGGGTCTACTGTTTTCAAAACAGGCACTTTGACCGACTAAGCCGACTAAGTTTTCCATAATAACTTTAAAGTTAATTTATTTTTACCATGTTGGAATTATGAAAATGCTGTTAAACTGTATTGTTAAAGATCCCGCCGAGCATTGAACAGGATTTTTTTTCAAGACAGAAAAGAATGATTTATTACAAATATTATTATATGTAATAAGGGGGGGAGGAAACCTGTGTTTGCCGCATATCTTGCTTTTTAAGACATTGCCAGGAAAACAAAAGAAGTGATTTTCATAGGGAACCAGTGGGTTAATGGTTGGTTAAAAAGAATATTCGAAAAAATATTCAAAAAATATTCAAGAAATTCCACACATATTCAAAAGAATGATCGATTACAAAGATCATGATATGTAATAAAGAGGAAGAAAATCTTTGTTTGCCACGTTTTCATGAAAAGCACCATTTTAATTATCCTCGAGTTTGCAACAGACATACCGAGAGTTGAATAGAAGTAACGGTCCACTTTTCTCACAATAATTCCATCAGGTCTGACTCGGGAATCCAAAACATATTCAAGAAAACAATCAAAAAATATTCAAGAAAAAAGACATATTCAAAAGAATGATTGATTACAGAGATCATGATAAGTAATAAGGGGAGGAAGCAAACCTGTGTTTGCCACATATCTTGCTTTCTACAAAACTGCTAGAATTTTTTTTCTAAATATTCAAAAAATGATCAAGAACATTTGAAACGCTAGGACTTGAACCCAGGGTCTCCTGATTAGAAGACAGGTAATTGCAAAAATGTCCGTAACCCTTCAAAATGTTTGATTGAACGAACGCGGCTATAGACAGTGTTGAGGAGTAACGGAGTTCGCATTTAGAATACAAATCATGAGTAGCTGTATTCCGTTGCAGTTACAATTTAAATACATGCTATTTAGATACAGATACTGGCCACTTCGAACGTACGCGGGCCGGACTAGTACAATCATATGGAGGTGAGGCGCTGACGAACACAAAAATGTGTCAGACTTGGGCCTAAAACATTCAGCCAGCTGGAACAGAAGGACACACCAGATTAGGCCTGTTTAGTAAGCAGGACTTGATGCCCACATTCCTACACTTCTAAAATGCAATTGTTTCAAACCTACAAGACAGTCACTTTGACCAGCCAAGTCACAGCACCTCTACATATGTCTTTTTCACAGATATGTAAAAGTATTCATTCTCATCAGAAGAGAAATTTTCAAAACTTTATACAAACAAGATGATTAAGTTGAGGTCTGCAGGCATTTTGAACAACTTTGTCTCTCTCTCATAGCAATGAGACAATATGTTTTTTAAATTGTGTAATGTTTGTTAAACGGTTTTGAAGCGTACCAGCTCCTCTACTACTGACTCACTTTTGGGATTTGATGAAATATATAAAAATGCATGATTTTATCTGCTGCAGTTTCAAAATGAAGTTCTCTTTTGGCTCTTAAACCGAAGTAAAAGTTCTGTTAAATTATTTCCGTGCAGAATAAGAAAATGGAAAAAGTTGTCATGTGTTTTAAGTGGTCAATTTATTTAACTTGCAACACATATATTTAACAGGTATTTAAAAGCTGTTAACAAATGTATTAAATCAGCTGAATGTTACTTCAGCTTATGTCCTTCCTTCATACTGCGGCTTTAATGTTGTTTCACTTCACAGCTCATTGACACCAAAACCAGTTTAAACGCTCTTCGTAGTTCTAACCATTGACACCAACACTAACCAATACTGACATGGACTCGCTCAACATGCTGCGACAAACTGTGACGTTCTGCATGCACAAATTCACCTATTGAAAAACACACAAACTGTATAAAATACGCAAAATGAAAAACTGTACACCAGCACAAAAACACATCCCGGCTGTACGAGTGAGCGTGTGCCAGTCAGACAGACGGATCAAGGAGGGGCCTAAGGCACGATACGCTGCAGGCAACACGCATTAACTTGCATCAAAGTCCAAAAAGTCAGCCCATGTCAAACCGAGTATTCAGTGTACCCGGGGCTCCATTCACACTGTAAAAACATCACATCCGATGCTACAAGATCACAGGACCACTTCATGGTGCAGCTTTTTTTTTTTTTTAACAGAGCATCATTCAACACATGGTAACTGGAGCAAACAAGAAATTGATTATAAATCTGTTCACGCTCGTATTAAAGTGAACACAGTAAAAAGTTCAGCTCCCGGGCAATGTTACTTCTTCTAAGTTTGTCTGAAGGGAGATTTTGAAAGCTAAAACACCCGTCTGTGAGTTTAGTTTAAAATATCATCTACATTGATCACAGATAGATATTGGTCGGGACCAAAAACGGAGCTAAAAGAGGATGAAGATTGTACTCACAATCATCAGCTGGCCAAAAATATAATTTGCTGTCTAAAAAGTAACATTATTTTAGATCTTTGCACAAGATAAAATAAATAAGATCCCTAATCTTTTAGGACTTTAGCACCTTCAAAGGTTCCTGTAATACATCACATTACAGGTCATTTTGCTGACGCTTTTATCCAAAGCGACTTACATTGCATTTTTAACCTACAGCTTTTTACTTTTTGCCCTGGGAGGAATTAGGAACCCTCTCTATGCGGCACCGTCAACCGCTAATAATAATTGAATTCAAGCTCCTACAAACATGAACACAATAAATAATCAGAGACACAAATAAAAAAAAAACATTCCTTCACCTTGTGATGCCAAACAACCAGAAGAAAAATGAATCAGCTAACTATTTAAAGAGCACCGAACACAGCAGTGGTGCTATATCAGCTTTTAAATAAATATGAAATGAAAAGTTATTTGTTGCACCGTCACACCTGCTCTACGTGAAGTCATGGTGCGATTAGTAGCTACACTCATCAGACACCATCCACACTCTGCAGCAGCCGGGGGGTCACCTGGAAAAACAAAGACACTAAAATACTGTGCAAGAGCAGGAAATAAGTCCAGGCAGAGGCTCTATCTGAATACACACTGTGTACAGGAACAATGTGGCTGTTAAAACCATGTATGTGATCTCTGTTTGTAGTCATTCTGGCTCTTTGTGGCTGATTTTGAGTCTTTGTTGTGGTTGTTTAGTTCTTTTCTGTCCCTTTCTGCTCTTTTAGCAGCTATGTGGTGTTTGTGTCTCTATGTTGTTGTTTGTGGTAACTTTGTGTCTGGATGCTCTCACAGTATCTTTTTGCACTTTAAATCGTCTTTCATATTGGACCACACAGGTGAAGGTTGGAAGGAGGAACCACCTGATCAAGTTACATTCGCTGCCAGTCTCACTTCTAACAACACGTCCGGTAAGGCTTTCATTCTTCACACGGATGTTTGAGGGCATTTTTCTTTCTATTCAGTCTGTGATTCTGATCTATTCAGAATTATAGTCAACTGAACCAAATATCAGTAAAATCTTTTTGTTAGATTAGTTAGGTTGAGTGACAAAAAAAGCATTAAAATATCTTAAAATAATCTCAATCCAGGCACATTACTGAGTCAAGTCATGACGAGAGCAATATTCTGGAGACAAACTACAGTTTTGAAGTTGAAGCTTACGGAGTCTTGGGTGTGCCACTTCAGCAATCATATGATTTCCCAAAATATATGTGTTATAATAAAACGATATATTTATATATACATATCTTTAAAAAAATACTAAAAATACGTTTAAAATCTAATTGTAAACATCAACAAAACTCGAAACAAAACTTTTATTAAATAGTATTACTTATTTTGTCTGTAAAAACTGATATAGTAATTCAATGTCGAATATTATTGCGAAATCAATTTCAAAATCAATTTAAATTGAGTATTTTTTTCCCATTATTTGAAGCTAATTATTGTGGTGAAGATTAACAATGACCTTTTTGGTGATTTTGTCCAACACAAAATACAAATCAGTTTGAGTTACAAATGATTAAATTATCAAAATTATTAGTAGTAATATTTCATTAAACAATATCTTTATCATTGCTTTTTTGTAGTTAGTTTATTAACATATGTTTAGTTTCCATTTCTTTTTTAATTAAAATTTCATTTGGCACAACCAAGACTGCATACAACAGTCGCATTAAGCACACAGGTAGTTTCTGGTAGAAAACATAAGAAAATGAAAAGAACATAATACTGTGGGTTGAATGGCCATCAGCATGAAAAGCATGACTTGTTTTTTCTTTCTATTTTGAGATGGGATCATCAGGCAGCTTCGTTTTAATCATTGATATTATTGCACAAAAAGAAAAAACAAACAGTATTTTGCACGAGGAGCATTTACACACACACACACACACATCCTCGACTTGGGTTGGTTTTCCATGACCAGCGGCGTTGCCCCCGTTGGTGGCCGAGCAGCAGGCCTCCATCTTTTTGGTCTACACGTTGATGGCGTGAGCGTGCTTCTTGCACAGAGGTTTGTCTTTCTTTGAGTAGAAAGGCTGGCCCTCGAGGTTCACATTGCAAACCTGCAGGTAAAACAAACGTTGCAAACTTGGGCCAAATAAAGTTCACAGTGCTACTTTCACACAGAACAATAGTGTTCTGAACGATATCTCTGGCTGTGGGTTATCCAGCAGAATGAAGACAAACAGATTACTCCAAACCTGGATAAATGAAACCCAAACTATCGGCCTTCGCATATACTTGTTTCCCCTTATGTCGCACATGAAATGGTGTTTGTTTCTCTTTCTTACCGCACAGACGAAGCAGGTGTCGTGCCAGGTGTGGCCCAGCGCCTCGATGAACTTATCACCCGCCTCCACAGGGAACTCACAGCCATGACACTTGGTGCTGAAGAGTGAGATGTAATCTGACAAGAGAGACCAGAAAGAGCCCGTTGAACACAAAAAACACAACGTGAACAGTGTGTAGCCCCGACCTCGCGCCTCTGACGTCGGGACAGCGCCAACATGGTCGTACCTTTCTCGCAGTACGGCTCCCCGTCCTCCATGTGGAAGAGGCTGTTCCCGAAGGGTTTGCCGCAGGCCGCGCAACAAAGCAGGTGGTATGCCACGTCTGCCGCAGGCGTGCATCACTTCCTGTGACACACGTGACACAACATGTCAGACGGAATGAGGCGTGCGCATGCACCTGCGCGCGGCGGCGAGTGTTTAAAGGCACGTTCAAATTGTTTTGTCGCGTTTGAAGTATTTGCCACAGACCGCTGCGCCTTGCTAGATCCCGTCAGCACGCACTGCAGGCACACGGGCGGAAAGGCATGAAGGCCGAGCATCTCACCCCCATGATCTTGGTGTTGCAGCGGGCGCAGGTCGGAGCGAAGAACTCCTCGTAGCAGTTCTCGCAGTAGACATTGTTCTGCTCCTCCACGAAGCTGACGTCAGCCAGAGACATGTGGCAATAGTGACAGTTGAACTCCTCGGGGTGCCAGGACCGGCCGAGGGCCACCAGGAAGGGGCCCCTGGAACAAAAAACAGTAAGAGCGGCTGTCAGGTTCAGTTTTTAGGGGAAATGCTTTGATGACTTCTTCTTGTTAATTTTTTTTATCACTTTTTACATTTGATATTCAATACAAAAACAATCAAATATATCTATTATCATTAGTCCATGAAGTGTCTTTGAGTTTACATTGAATGTAAACTGGTATAAACAATTCATAAAGTCATAAAAAGTTATAAAAAACATAGTACATCTTTAAAAACCCTAGCGTAACAAAAAAATATATATCTTATGGAACGTAATTATTAATAGAAAAGTTCATGGGAAGTTAATGCAAAAGAATAAAAAATAGAAATACAGATTCAGGATTTAAGGAGAATACCATTCATATTACTGCAATACCTGTATTTAAAAATATATATACCCATTGATTAAAAAAATGTATTAGTATAACGATGCAGTCCAAACTGGTCTAAAGTGCAGCATAATATAATATATATATAATCAAAAATGGTGTAAATGACCTGATGACGCTGTTGCAGGATCCACAGAGAGCCGTGCGGCTGCTAGCGGCAAACCTCTCCGCCCTTTGGGCCACACCCCTCGCCACAGGTGCAAACGGCGCGGGGCTTGGTGTGAAGAGGGCGGGGCTAGGAGCTGCGGGTGCGGAGGGAGAGGGGTTGGAGACGTAGGCCGGGGGAGGAGGAGCGGACTGGGGCAGCGGCTGTATCTTCTTGGTGGTGGTCGTCATTTTCCCGGGGTCGAACTTGTCGGCAAAGTTGGTGTCGGACACCCAGGGGGGTCGGTTAGAGGAGGCGGGGCCTGCCGGAGACGGGGATGAGGCACCAGCTTGAGGGTGGGGCTGAAGCGGAACAGGAGGTGGACCTGCAGAGAGGAAAGAGGAAAACAATTTAAAGGCTTAAAGCTTAGAAGCTTAAAATAACAACAACAATAAGCTGTTTCTGTTGTTCTCACCTGGTTGCGATGGGTAGATGCACGCGGTGCTGACCACCTTGGGAGGGGTGGAGCCAAGAGGGATCTGAATGGAGCTTTGCTGAGTGGGCGGGGCGTGTTGAGTCGGGGGCTGCTGGTACTGTGGCGGTATTGGCTGCTGGTACTGCTGTGGGATTGGCTGCTGATACTGCTGCGGGATTGGCTGCTGATACTGCTGCGGGATTGGCTGCTGATACTGCTGTGGGATTGGCTGGTACTGCTGCTGAGGCGGGGCTTGTGGGGCCGGGTGCGTGGCCGGAGGCTGACCATATTGACTGGACAGGGATGAAAACATCCTGATTCATTACCATGACTTTGTGAACAGGCAGTTTTGAGTCTTGTGACTTATTACAGAAATGAAGTTGTATCTAATAGATAATTATTTGACATGCAAATCACTAAATTACTGTTTAATGGGTGGTTTAATTCTTAGATTTGTACACGGAAAATACATACACAGGATACGATTTAATAAAGAAAAGTGAGAAAAAACGGCCAGTGTCAGTATCTTCCAACCAAGATAAAGGTGTAAAGGTTGTCATCGTTTGAGTCAGTTACAAGAAATTCAACATGTTATTCAGCTGATGAGGATGTTGTAACTTGACAGTTACACGGTTATGAACTGAGCGAAGTTTGAATCCCATCAGCGGCATCCAAATAAAATGTCCAATGTCAAATAAAATGAATGCTTCATTCTGTTTCAGTGCTTGTTGGCTCTTTCTCAGCCTCTGGAACCTCTTTTAAAGGCACAAACAGACCTGAAAAAAAAAATCCGTCATGGATGATTTAATTATGCTCAGAGTTTAGCAGTGTGGCGTTTGATATTCAGCACCAACATGCTATTTTTCAGAATTCAAGACATATTTTGACGAGGTACGACGACATCTTCACACACCAGTTAACGAGAAGCACACTGAGGCCTTGAGTCCACGCATGGTTCTGCAGAGCAGTTTTAAATGAAGAAGCCTTGGTTTGATGGCAGATGTTGAGTTACGCAACGTGGGAGCATGAAGGGAGATAAAAAAACGCTGGCAATATTTGGACTCGAGTGCTGTGTCCCCGCAGGTGTGGATACCTGGAGGCCGCAGCTCTGTGCTGTAGACTGTAACCAGCGGCAGACTGTCGCTTCAGGCTGCAGGTTGCAGAGATAACAACAGCAGAGGTCACAATGACGATCCGTATGCTGAAAGCCACCAGGGCGCTGACGATGCATCAGGCGGCTGTTTTCTAACCACAGTCTTTTCAAAAGTGTGTTTTCCTTTCATTATCAGCCCTTAAAAAGAGCCAACAAGCACATAAAAACACTTTGACCCAATTCAGATAACATCATGTGAGTTCCAGATGTTTTTACCAGCAGAAATTCAGAGATTCAGATTAAAACCGAACGGGTTAGAACACAACACCGTATGACAACAGGCACAACAGTCGGTTAAAGCTACGGAGAGCTGAGAGGGTCAAAAAGACACCAGTTTCTCCAAAAAACGATTGTATCCTTACAATCGACAACACAATAAAAATCCCACAGCTGACGGGTTACCTGGGAGGGGCGTGGCCAGTTGAGGCTGGGTTCGGGGGCGGCTGAGCGGCGGGGGCGGAGCCGGCAGAAGGCGGAGCATGCTCAGTAGGGCTTAAGCACAGAAAGCGTTAGGAGCAACAGTGAGAGAGAGAGAGACGCTGGGAGCTGGAATCATCATTTACGCAGTACATTCGCAGCATAAAGGCAGACGCTAAAACGCTACTCAACACGCACAACTCACATGCTGTTAAGATCACATTAGTCCGCATCAGATTAATAAACACGCGGAAAGAGGAAAACATAGAAGGTTGTTGTTGTCTCATGCAGAAAACAAAAAGCTTGATATCGCTCTGGTTGAAAATGTGCAGTTATATTCTTCTTGATCAGTCTGAAAATATATATTTTATTTGTAAAAAATATGTTTTTTCTTCTTTTATTGAACCCCGAAAGTTATTACTTTGCTACCTTTTTACTTCACTTAATTCAATAATGACGTTACAAAGTCTGTCCTGTTCCCTCAAATAAATTGTTTTTCAAAGTGTGAGATATATTCGAAGGAAAATATTTTATTTTGTTACATATTATATTAAAACTGATGTCTTGTCGGACATCTGTGAATCACTGTGTACTGTATTAGGCTGCAAAAAGGGAGTTATACAAATAAAGTTTGTTTAAAGTTTGTGCATTTTTGCATTAAAATGAGAAGGGGAAACGGATAAAGAGTTAATAAACTACACATCTGTGATGGCGGCATACAGCAGCTTTTAAATGAATGCAAAAAATGACGGAAAAGTAAAATCAAGTCAATATGACACCCAGAATAAAAAATATAGTTTTTTGATCTATTTAAAATATCTGCATTTAAATGTGCATCGTACGTCAGTATGAACAGAATTTACGAAAACAAACATATTTGTGTTTTATCCCTCTGTGAGTCACGTCTGAGCTGCTCCCCTCGGGATGACTTAGAGGCAAAAGGGAAAAACCACAGTCTCTTTATTGGCGGATAAAAGCTTGACCTCCGCTCCTATTGATTCATGTTGAGTCATTGCACGGCGGACACAGACCGACGGGAGGACGGTGGGGGCAGCGGGGATCGATTGGGCATAATGGAGGGATGATTAAATAAGTGAGCGGAGCGGAGAGAGCTCCATCCATCAGTGCTCGGGATGGAGGAGGGGTGGAGGGTTAAGAGCTTTGTCCGTCCTCTCAGAGGCCGAGCAGACCTCCGATGCACAGCGTCTGATTCTCCGTCAGCCCGGCCCCTATTTCACAAACGCTTGGAGAAAGCAGCTGAAGAACACGGCTCAGGAGACACGGAATGAGACGCCTCGTTTAGACAGACACTCCAGATGTTTGGTCCCAATGTACCAACGTTTTATCTTCTGCAGCCGCAGGATGTTTTCTACAACCTCTCAGTTACTTTTTGTAAAGATCCTGAAATGTTTAACTAAATACTAAAATTCCTAATCAAGTCATGTATTTATGTCATGGTTTTTTAAGTGAAGGTTGTCAAGATGTCGGTTACTCTCTGCCTTTACTTAAACAGTTGTTCATAAACCTGCAGCATAACAAAACATTCATTATAGTTTTATATTTAAGTGTTTAGAGTGTTTAGAGTTTACTCCGTCACAAGTGAATGACAACCTACTAAATATCAGTGATGGTCGAAAGTATTCTGATCTGATCAAATACACAGGTGTTACAATTAAAGGTAAATCTTTTTTTATTTGATTTGCAAACTAACTAAAGCGGTCAGATAAATGTATTAGACAAGACAACTACTCACATACACTGCTCCACCAAAAATATCTGTTGATCTTTAAACATCATGATAGTGTTTCAATCCTAATATTTGGGTGGAGGATAAGTAAAAACTACAAAAAAAGGTTTGTGATCCAGGAATTGAAATCTATTATTCATGTAAATTTAACTGGAATGGAGTATTGTACTGGAGACTCTTCCCCCTCATATGACAGCCAGAAGAACAAAATGCTCTAATGCACTTTGATCAATCGATACCATCTTTGATCCGTATTAAAAGACTCTATTAATGTGAGCTCATGTCAGACAGAAAAACCTTTGTGTTCACTGCTCCCCCTTCCGGGGAAACCTGACGCTTACATCAGATTAATAACTAATAAAAAAGCTTTCTATGAATCTGCTGGCTGGCAATCTCCAACCTGCAGTTCAATCATGCTGCAAATTAAAATGTGTTGTCTGTCTGTTACTGTCTCCGTGCAGACCAATGTGCTCAGGGTTGCCTTCATTATTATCATTGCTGTTATTATTATTATAATTATTATTATTAATGAAATACAATACCATTTAACATTAATTAAAATAAATGAATACCATACTTAATACAAGTCAATATTGTGTATTATACACTACTTACATTTAACATGAGATTAACATATTGATATATAAATTTACTTGGGGTTTTAAAGCAACGCTTTACATAACCAAGCTGTTGAATAAATGTAGTGTGGTATAAAATGCAATTTTGTGTATAAAGTATAAAGAACATGTAAATACTTGTGCCAAGCTGTTGCGTAAATGTTCTTTTCACTGCTGCTGAATTAAAGAAGAGGAGTCTAGAAGCAGGCAAAGAGGAGTTTACCTCACAAACAGGATCATTTAAGGACAGAGGGGACCTAACGGGCCGGGAGGAGAGGTGAGGTGTTCAGGGAGGAGCAGAGTGTACGAGTGAGCAGCCGGGGGGGTCAGCAGCTGTCCTACGGAGCTCTGCTGCCTACCTGCTCCTCCTCAGAGCCGCCTCCTCCTCCTCCTCCTCCTCCTCCTCCTCCTCCCCTGGTAAACAAACACAGATTTGTCACATTTGTCTTTCATGACTTTAGACTGTAGAAGGTGATCTTTACAAATAGACGTTGCATGGCGGGTTTGTTTTGAACACAACGGTTCAACCAGACCGACAAAAGAAGAACACAGAGAGACAAAGATCCTGTCGAAATGCCTGGTCGCAGGTAAAAGACCTTCAAGTTTAGCATTGAAAAGGAAAAGAACAAGAAAAATATTTAGAGGCAAAGTGCACCTTGGAGATTCAACAATGATTGAAGGTCATTTATACTTTTGGACTTGGCGCCCAAACTATGTCAAATGGAAAAAAATCCAGATTTTATCTCTGTTAAAATAGTTAATATTGAAGTAAAACGTAAAGTGGTGGGGTCAGTTATATGGAAATCTGTGGTGAAAACGAAACAGGAAACTCACAGGACTCGGTGCCGGTCACGTGGGCCAGGACCCGGAAGGACTTGGACTGCATGGTGACTGCGCAGCTGCGGCGGCCCCATTCACCCAGGTCCTGGTCTTTCTCTGCACTCTGGACGGCCTGATAGACCGGGGAGTCGCTGTCTACGAGACCGTCTTTAACTGGGAGAGGACTGCAACCCCACCGTACCCCCCCCCACCCCGCCGCCCCGCCCGTGACACCCCCAGGTCAATGCCGAGACGCTAAAGCTTGAGTGGACTCACTAAAACCTGCAGCACTAAAGGGTTGTTTATATTTTACACAAAGGATGAAAATTGTTGTGGTGCACGGGACGAAAACACAGAAAGGAAAAAAGGAAATCAAGCTGGTATCGATTTGATTGAAAACCGAGACAGCGGATGCAAAGGAGAGAGAAGCATTATATGAGAAATGAAACGTGTTTCAGGATTAGATGTTTGTTTGTCAGACACAGCATGAAAACATGTAACCCACTAACAGAAGGAGAAACGGGGGTTCAGAACATTCAGTTTGTCACCAGTTGCGCCTCGTTCCTCCAGTCTATTTTATATTTCATGTTTCTACCCAGCGGAGCCGGAGTGTCATTGCTTTTCCATTTCAATTAAAGATTTTTGTGGAAGCAGAGCATGAACAATTGGTTCAGATGTCCAGAGCAATTTCATGTTTTTGTTCTCTCAGGGCAGAAAGAGGGAGAGAGAGAGCGGTTTTCATGCACACGCAGCAGCAGCACATCTCCCGACGCCATTTTCCAGCAGGATGGAAAATCGATTGGTTGTGTGAGAACAGGAAGAACACACGGCGGCATTTTTCACCAGGATCCCCACAACACACCACAGCAACAGATGGATCTCGGTAATGCTTCAGAGAGTAAAACCGGATGAAAGAAATGTCTAAAAAATATTAAACCTACTTAAAACAAATGGTAGATTTAAAAGATACCAGGCGGCAACCTGTAAGTTTGATCCCGCAATACTGTTTCTGAATGAGATGTGAATGCGTGAAGCACTTCAAATCCCACATTGACCACAGAAACACAAATTCCTCAGCGCACCAACAACTACAAACAAACCTCTCTGAAAACCTCCAACAATCATAAAAACCAGAGCGCTGCACCAACATGTGTTCAGTAACCGTTTCCTCCTTCATAACCTCAGACAACATCACGGCAAAAGAGCCAGAACTAATGCCGCTACTAGAGGGAGGAAGAGGAGGAGGAACAAGAAGAGGAGGAGGAGGGAGAGGAGGAGGGAGAGGAGGAGGAACAAGAAGAGGAGGAGGGACAAGAAGAGAGGAGGAGGAACAAGAAGAGGAGGATGGAGAGGAGGAGGAACAAGAAGAGGAAGAACAAGAAGAGGAGGATTGAGAGGAGGAGGAACAAGAAGAGGAGGATGGAGAGGAGGAGGAACAAGAAGAGGAGGAGGAACAAGAAGAGGAGGAACAAGAAGAGGATGAGGGAGAGGAGGAGGAACAAGAAGAGGAGGAAGGAGAGGAGGAGGGAGAGGAGGAGGAACAAGACGAGGATGAGGCAGAGGAGGAGGAACAAGAAGAGGAGGAGGGAGAGGAGGAGGAACAAGAAGAGGAGGAGGGAGAGGAGGAGGAACAAGAAGAGGAGGAAGGAGAGGAGGAGGATCAAGAAGATGAGGAGGAACAAGAAGAGGAGGAGGGAGAGGAGGAGGAACAAGAAGAGGAGGAGGGAGAGGAGGAGGAACAAGAAGAGGATGAGGCAGAGGAGGAGGAACAAGAAGAGGAGGAGGGAGAGTAGGAGAAGAAGAAGAGGAGGAGGAACAAGAAGAGGAGGAGGGAGAGGAGGAGGAACAAGAAGAGGAGGAGAGGAGGAGGAAGAAGAAGAGGAGGAGGAACAAGAAGAGGAGGGAGAGGAGGAGGAACAAGAAGAGGAGGAAGGAGAGGAGGAGGAACAAGAAGGGGAGGAGAGAGAGGAGGAGGAAGAAGAGGAGGAGGGAGAGGAGGAGGAACAAGAAGAGGAGGAGAGTAGGAGGAAGAAGAAGAGGAGGAGGAAGAAGAAGAGGAGGGAGAGGAGGATGAACAAGAAGAGGAGGAAGGAGAGGAGGAGGAACAAGAAGGGGAGGAGAGAGAGGAGGAGGAACAAGAAGGGGAGGAGAGAGAGGAGGAGGAACAAGAAGAGGAGGAGGGAGAGGGAGGGAGAGGAGGAGGAACAAGAAGAGGAGGAGGGAGAGGAGGAGGAGGGAGAGGAGGAGGAACAAGAAGAGGAGGAGGGAGAGGAGGAGGAACAAGAAGAGGAGGAAGGAGAGGAGGAGGAAGAACAAGAGGAGGAGGAACAAGAAGAGGAGGAGGAAGAGGAGGAAGAACAAGAGGAGGAGGAGGAACAAGAAGAGGAGGATGGAGAGGAGGAGGAGGGAGAGGAGGAGGAACAAGAAGAGGAGGAGGGAGAGGAGGAGGAACAAGAAGAGGAGGAGGGAGAGGAGGAGGAACAAGAAGAGGAGGAGGAAGAAGAAGAGGAGGGAGAGGAGGATGAACAAGAAGAGGAGGAAGGAGAGGAGGAGGAACAAGAAGGGGAGGAGAGAGAGGAGGAGGAACAAGAAGGGGAGGAGAGAGAGGAGGAGGAACAAGAAGAGGAGGAGGGAGAGGGAGGGAGAGGAGGAGGAACAAGAAGAGGAGGAGGGAGAGGAGGAGGAACAAGAAGAGGAGGAGGGAGAGGAGGAGGAACAAGAAGAGGAGGAAGGAGAGGAGGAGGAAGAACAAGAGGAGGAGGAACAAGAAGAGGAGGAGGAAGAGGAGGAAGAACAAGAGGAGGAGGAGGAACAAGAAGAGGAGGATGGAGAGGAGGAGGAGGGAGAGGAGGAGGAACAAGAAGAGGAGGAGGGAGAGGAGGAGGAGGGAGAGGAGGAGGAACAAGAAGAGGAGGAAGGAGAGGAGGAGGAACAAGAAGAGGAGGAGGGAGAGGAGGAGGAACAAGAAGAGGAGGAAGGAGAGGAGGAGGAAGAACAAGAGGAGGAGGAACAAGAAGAGGAGGAGGAAGAGGAGGAGGAACAAGAAGAGGAGGAGGAGAGGACTGAGCGAGGATAGCACGGTGTTCGGCATTAACTGACAGTGGTGAAGGAGGAGGAGGAGGAGGAGGGGGAGGAGGGAGAAGAGGAGGTGGAGGTGTTCTTACCCTCCGTCGGGCCCCTTCCCCTGCGTTTGTCCTGCGATGGCGTCCATGATGGCGTCCTGCGAGTACATGCTGATGGGCGTGTTGTACTGCGCGTGGATGATGGTGGCGTTGCCGCCGGGCCCTTTCACCTCGATGGGCTTATGGGTAGGCAGGGCGGCGGGGTTGAAGCCGGCGCTGTTGTTGGCAGGAGGGGAGACGGAGGGTGTGTGGGGGGGGTGACGGAGACGGGGGGAGAGGACCGAGGTGGACAGATGGGTGGAGGGGAAAGGAGGAGCGATGTTCGTAAGGGAAGGTTAGCGAGGAAGAAACAGGCCGCCATGCTCACAGCAAACGCTTGGACAGGAAGGCTGTTTTCATCAGAAACAGCTGATAGAGCCACACAGAAATCTCTTCTCTGGAAACACATGTTCCAATACTTATCAACCTTTAATGTTCATATAGAAATTCATTTTCTCCAATCTCACCATGCAGAAAAGATTCATACAGCAGGCCAATCCACTCGTTTCTATTTTAAAACTCCATCTTGTGTAACTGTCAGACGCTTCACGTCGTCTCTGTGGTTTCTGTGGTAATTGAAGCTTGAGGAACGTCAGATAAAACGTGTCAAACTGTGACCTTTATTCTAATGCCCCAAAATACATGAAATAAAAAAGATGCCATCCGTGCAGAATCGCTGCGGGGATTCAATCAATTACACCCCTCCCTCCCACGAGGCCCCATTTTTTAAACATACGACTTTGTCCGTGCACGCATGCAGGGTGAATGAGCACGCTGCAAAGAGCAGAGGGACAGTGAGACATCCGCAAAAAAGCCAGCCTAAAACACACAGCAAACCGCGATGGTGCACGTTCACGCTGCACCGACGGCAGATGATTGTCCAAAAAATACAAGTAATTTCGGTAATAATAAAAAAACTCCTTTTAGCTTCTGTACCAGGTGGGTTTAAGGTCTAAATGGCCGGTAGCTCACCCGGTGCTCCCTGCAGGCTGAACCTAATTCCAAAGTAAATATAGGAATACTTGAGGGCCTCCATCAACAATAAAGACCCTTGCACCTCAACCAACATGTTGGGCTTCCACTACATGCCGCTACAATTCTGTGGGGGAACCCAAAGTGCTTTCTGGAGCCTGCAGCGTGGAACCTCCGCCTCATATCTGTCGAGCATCAGACCACATTTTCAAACAGACAATCTGACATTGACGTCGTAATTGTCGTGCCGTGTGAAGATAAACTTCTCTCTCGGCTCTCGTTTTTCATTCTTTTGTTCTGAAATGTCCTCTGCTAACCGATCCAGTGTCAGAAAGGTCAGCTTGAATCAGGTGGAGGCCCATGTTCTATAATGGGCAGGGAAACAACAGGGGCTTCTATGCTTCTGGGCGTTTTACCCACGTGTCAATTAATGCACAATAATGTACTTCTCTTCATCCCAACAGGGACCACAAAGACACCCACAGAGACAAAGCCATGCCTTAAAAACGACACACGATGCACTCAGCAGGAGGGGACACTGACTTGGGGGCGGCTGGGGACAAAACCTTGTTTGACCGACATGGAGAGGAAAGAAGGAAAGAGAAGACGATTAGCCGTCAGAAAACACGTTTGCATGTTTTGTGAGTTTTAACAGCAGGACAAGTTCCCGCTGCAGAAAGGAGAGAAGTGAAGGTCAAAGGTGAACCCGATGTACTCGCACTGCCCTCACCGCTGCACAGCTGTCAGATCAGCGAGTGAACAGATTCTTCCTTTAGAGGCAACGAGACTTTGACCTTTATTGCAGCGACAATAATAAGAGCAAAAAAACTCTCGAGCGATTTGCAAAACAGAGCATTCATTCCTGAATATATGTAATATCAAGTTCAAATATATTATATATTCAATGAATTATTACTACTATAATTGTTGGAAATGAGCCAGATATTTGGATTCTTAAAAAAACAAAAATAGTGTGATAATAAGTTCCGTCGTCAGGTAACAAAAACACAACGATCCTTTTTTTCAGGGTGAAAGTCCAATACAGAAAGCGTACGGACAGGATGTGTGTGTGTACATGTGTGTGTGTGTGTGTGTGTGTGTGTGCGTGTAAGGTTCCCTGACCTTTAACAAACAGGTGTTTGGCCCCTTTAGTGATGCTGTAACCGAATCACACTGTGAACTGGGGAAACACCAACGCGCGCGTGTGCGTGTGCGTGTGTGTGTGTGTGTGTGGCTGTGAATACTTATAGTAACAGTCACACACTTACAGCCCTGTAATATACCAGTGTAGAAACAGTTATGAGTTAAAGTAGGTTTAATCAATAAATTATGCTGTAGGTAACCAAATGTTGCTGCAACTAATATACAACACATATATACTTTGTATATTTTCATCATTTATAGTCATATTTAGGTTCAGCTATGCTTTTTTGGGGGGAGACTTAATACACTGAATGTACTGAGCCCATTTTTCTCCTTCTTGGGGTTAAAGGTCAGCAGAGCAGAGGTTTTAGGGGAGTCAGTTATTGATCTCTAATCAGCGTGGAATCGTTCTCCCTGAAATGTCTCCAGTGTGACCTGTTGGTCCACGTGGCAGGACGAGGCCGCTAAAGGCAGCAGAGGTCTCAGAGGAGGAGCTGCTGGTTCACGCTCAGAGAAAAGCAACAAACCGTAGAATTAACTGTCGGTTAAACATTGCAAAGTAACTACTTTTGTTTTTAAAAAAGGTGCGAGGCTTGGTTAGCTGATAGCTTAGCATCTGTTCCCATTGCTCATGGAGTGAGAATAGAACGTTGAGATGTTCAATGTGTTCAAACCAGCCTGATCTCCAAAACCTGTTCGTAAAAATGGATATGAAAATCTTGAAGATACAAATTCGTAGTGATACATACTAAATAAATACGAACTGGCAGCTGATGACGTCGCCCTGTTCAAAGTGAACGGGGACCTGCGCCCCGTAAACACACGTCGTGAAGTCTAACGATGTGAAATAAACGTGTTATGATTGCATTTTTAACGAGAAATCAATGTTAACTTGTAAGAATAGAATACTAACCCCAACCCCCTCAAAAAATCCAACATGGCGGAGAGACGTTCACTCAAGGGGCGTGGTTAACCACCGCCAGCTCGTATGTATTGTTACGAATTTGTTGTTACGAATCATTTTTACGAACAGGTTTTGGAGATCACGTTGGTTGAAACACCCGCATCCCCTGGTGTGACATCATTTCTTTTCCCAGTTGGCAGGACAGCACCGCAGAACGTCCTGTAATTGGTCCGAACGGTTTAAAGAAATGTGTTCACACCAGAAACAAACGGAACCGTGGTTCAGCTGTTTGTTGCTTCAGGGAGCGTCCGCTTGTAATTTTAGTCTTCCAACTAAAAAGTCAGGTTCACGTCCGGACCCAATGAGTTTGGGGCGAAAGCGCCCTGAATCCTCGCTGAAATCCAAAGAAACAATAGTAATTTTCCCCTCCAGACTGCACGTGCATGTAGAGCCACTAAAAATCTGAACTGTACGCCGTTATTCAAAAGAGAAGCCGGGCATGAGGAAAAAAACGTGGGCGTTCAGCCCTCTCATTCTACCAACAGCTCTGCCTCCAAGACCCTCCTCCCGCCACGTTGACTCCTCCTCTCCGTCTCTACGTACCCGGCAGGCCGACCCGCCTGAACGGCCGCCATCTCCCTCAGAGCGTCCCCTGAGTACAGGCCGATGGGGGAGTTATACTGCTTCCTCTGGGCGGGGCTGACGGCCGCCGGCCTCCTCCCGGGGGAGCCTGCGTCTGCAGGCCCGGGGGAGGCGCTGCAGGCCGACGGGCGGCCGTTGACCTGCACTGACCGAGGCTTCGGGTGGAGCGGGGGGTGGGAGGAGACGGGGCCGGGAGGGAGCAGAGAATGTTGGGTAACAGCTATCAATGACTAATCAATATGTTTTTTCAGACCAATCAGATTGTAAAAGGTGTAAAAATGTATTTTAGTAGGAACCATAAAGTGAATCCATGAGGATTTCTTCACCTTGTTTTTGCATTATTTTAGCTCCTTATTACTAAATCAAGTGGTTTCTCCTGTTTTGGGGTGTTTTAATGGTTCATCCGCTGGCTTTTGAGACATATTTTTTGAGACGAGGATGAAGCTCATGTTCTTCTTCTCTCGGCCACCAGGAGGTGACAACTCATTGTTCTGAACTAGTGGCTGAAAAACTGAGGCTAAGGAGGAACTAAAGGGATCCTTCCACATTTAGATGCTCACAAGGAGAAAAACAAAAACCAATACAGGTGCTGCCAAAACTTCATTTCAAGTCAAAACGTGAAAGTTAAGTTAAGAAGTCAAAAAACATGAATCAAATGTAAACAATGTGTTTTTAACATGTTTACAGTAATGACGGACTGGATTTTTATCAGTTTTCTGTGTTTATGTTCAGATTACAACATATTGTGATCAATACCAGATGGAAGCTGATCAGTTTCACTACCCAGGGTGCATTTGGGGGAAGAAGGCATCTACCGTCCGGCTATGTGCAGCAGCAGAAGTGCATTATGGGTAAGCTACCTGTTGGTGCGGGATCATGGGCATGGAGGTGTCGAATCTCTGTGCCTGCATCGGAGCGGGACGCTTTGACCTGAGGGAAGGAAAAGAAAAGATGAGATGATTTGGGGTTAACTTTCATTGGCCGTGCTTTGTTTTGTCATCAACATTTTTGTCCACACAACCAATGAGTTTATGAATTAATCGTTTAGCAACTACGAGATACAATCTTTCACAGGAGGTTATAGATTATAGATTAGGTTCAAATCTCTCCCAAAGGTGTTGAATGCAACATAAAAAATTGACACATTCACTTGTTTTGGTTATATATCTGCTTTGTACCGTTACGTATTAAGAATCCGGACAGAAATGTAACTAGTTGGGTCCAAAGGTTTCTGGGGAAGGAAAGGTCATTTGTCTAAACTCCTGTGAAACCTGTTGTATTTAGAACCAATTTACTGTCAGACCAGCGGGTCGTATCCGTCATCCGTACATGTGATTGTTACCAGAACCATGAGAAAAAAACCCAAAAGGGTCAAAAGAAAGACTTTCAGCTCCAAGTAACACAAGCGTTGCTGCCAGTGAAAATGTTGTTGTGACCTGCAAAGAGTGAGTGTTACACGATGTGCTCTGCACGGGGCCGTTCAGGTGATTCAACACTTTAAATGGAAGAAAAGGTTGACACAAAAAAAAAAGAGTAATCATATACAGCAGCCTAGAAAACAGCAGCTTGTGTGGAGGAATGTTTTCATGCGAGTTCGAGCCCTTGAAGTGGTTTATTCAGCTGAGGGGTCGGAGGGGGGATTTTCTCAACACGTAAAGGAACACTTTATCCTGCAGATTATCACACACAGTGCTGGATCCAATGTGCAGCGTTACACAATGCTAATGTAAACCTTTTGTCTTCAAAAAGACACAGACATCGGCACATCTTGTTGTGTACTTCTAGACGAACTGCTGGAATGAGTCCAGAAGTCTCAGATCAAGAATCTGACGGCTTCAACCTACTGACATTCACAGATCTATAACGGCCACTTTGTGTTGTTTGGATGAAATTAATCCTCAATTAAAAATGTATTTTTATTTTGTTATTCTGCTATTGATTGTGTGTTTTCCACAGGGGTCAAAAAGCTTTATATATATTTGATTTCTGGCCTCTACTTCCTGACCTTTGTGTCCACATCAGACCTCAAAGTCCGCTTTAAAACACGTGAGTGACGAGAGGAAGTCTCCTCGTCCTCGGGGCCGATGTTGTTCCTTCCTCACCAGAGGGTTTGTAGTTATGAAAACTCTGCTGCGGACCAACATTCATTTCCCCACCGAGCTTATCAGATCTCCTGTGAAAGACACCTTCAGGTTACCGCGAGGATGCGTTTTGGTCAATGTTGGTCCTGCAAAACATCTGCAGCACACATCCCTGCCTTTGTCTAATTAAGCGAAAGCATTTAAGATGCCAGCAACCTCAGAACGATCTATCTATGTATGTCAGACAAAACAAACGTTGTGAAAGTGTCACATTCGGCTGGTTATACTATTTGTCGTTGATTCGAAGTACATATTTGGACGCGAGTTGAAGCCCTCACTTGGTCATGGTGAGCGCCAGGTTGTAGTTAGCCATCTTGATCTTGTTTTGGGCCTCCAGGTGGGTCATCCCGTCGGTGCCCACGCCGTCTATGGCGACGATGACGTCACCCTGCACCAGGTTACCCTGCGCCGCTTTGCTTCCCGGGGTGATCTGTCCAAACACAGAAAAACATGGCATGTAGATCTCACATTGAGGATCTTTAATCGGTCACACGATAGGATGACATCAGCCACTCGAGAAGAAACCCGATAAAAAAAAGTTGTCTCTGGTGTAAGAAAAGACCAACTGAAAGCAATATTCACGAGTAAACATTGGCGATCCTTGCGTCCTCTTTCAGATGGACGCTTGCAGGTTCTATTTGCACATCAGGTCAGCGCACACGTCAATCTGTAACCGCCAATCACTTAGTCACTAAGAGCAGGACGGAAAAAGGGTTCACTGCTTTAACGTGGAACAATCAATCAAATGGGGACGGAATTCATTAATGAGTTAAAGTCCCTTTAATCTGAAAATCCACCTCAAGAGGAGAGTTTTGATCCTCGTTCGCAACAAACTAAAAGGGAAAAAAGACGTCGGCGCACAAACAGTTGAAATCATTTAAAATCTCTAAAATAAAACGCAGAAAATCTTCTAAATCTGGATCCCGACCGTCTTCAGGCAGATCAGCAATGAGACAAAATTAATTAATTTCATTCATTTTATTCGACTATAAGCTCACAAGATTTCACCTGAACCTGTGTTAAATTAGCACGAAATTACACCTGTGATTTCGAAGTCGTTGATCAAATAGTGGGTAAGCCAACATTTGTTTATTACCAAACGCAAAGTACAGCTGACGCTGAACAGTCAGTTATTTGGTCATTAATCAAAGTATTGGACGGATTAAAATGTTGAATCAATGATTGCGCTGGACGAAAAAAAACAAGAGAATCAGAAAATTTGATCCCGTCCCGAGGGGGACATGAAATGTCTGTATCGGATTCTATCCCAATCCATCAAATAGCTAAAAAATAGTCATTAGTGGGTGTTTATGGTTAACAACCGTCTTTTTTTCATTTTTGTCCACCCCGGAGACGACAAAGCAGGCTTGAAGCCTTCCCAACGTTCTCACCTCGTGACCTTTCACCCCCCCCGAGTCGCCGTTCAGCCTCGTGGCCTCTGTGGCGCCTCGGACACAAGTGTTCATGCCTGAGTGTTAAACGCTGGACAGCTGTGTCAAAATCATGTCTGCTTTGTCTTTCTCTTTTTCTCACTCGTACCTTCAGCCTGAATAATGTGACCTTTGAGGAGAAGAAGAACAAGGCGGTGAGCTCAAGTACATGAGTGCAGATTTGAGGTTTTCATACTGTAGGCTACTTAGTATTTATGTTGAATACAAAATAAATATTGTACTTTCTCTTTACTACATTTATCCGACAACTTACATTGCAGATTTTTCATACTGGAGCTACTTTGGGCGTCCAATTATTTTCCCTGCCGACTATATTGCTTATTGTTTGGTCTTTAATTAGTGTTTTTTCCAAAATCTTCAACGGTGAATGTTTTGTCCAAAACTCAAACATACACAGTTTAAATAGCGCTGTGACGCGTCGCTGCCGCCCTTGACTCTCGCTCTGACTCGTCGGGCGACATTTCCACTGAACGTAAATGCGGCGTGAGGGAAACATCGCCCCCTGGAGACCAGCTGTTAGCCGACACGAGTTTGCACTCTGCTCAGTTTACCTTCCAGTTGGAAGGATTCCTGCACACCGGCAGTGAAGAAGAGCTCGAGGCCGAGGGGAGCTTCAGCGCGGCAGGCTGCGACCCTACTTGGGTGGCTTCTGTATTTATTGCGCCACGTGCACGACAAAAACATGAACGTTGAACTTGCACTTCATAAAAGGGAAAAGTCATATTCATGTTTGGTTCATGGTGAAATATTGCGACTCTGAAACCTGTCTCGTCGTGGCTTGGTTGGTTAAAGTGCTTGTCTCCCCAGCAGGATGCCACAGGTTCGTATCCCAGCAATGCGTCAAATGTTGGGCAAATAGTCTTTTCAACTATCTACCATGCATGCATAGTTACTCACTTTCAACTAAATTAAGAATTGGGTTGATTGTGTTGTTTCTTCAAAGATAATCAACATATTAGGTATCATCATGTTTGTTGTGGTTTGGTTTATTGTGCTTCTCTGGTAAACAGGACATTCGGGGTTCACATCCCCGCAGTGCTGAAGTCAGATAACTTCGGGCAGGAAATTGCGTCACATTGAAGCCTCGTGTTTGCTGAGTCCGTCGGATTTCAACCTCCAGATTATTTCGTCGCAGCCGCTTTGGATTAAAGTGAACAAATGTTTTGTAGAGTTTGTGTCACTGAGTTTGAACAATGCGAGTCCTGTCCAGGCGGCAGAGTGGCCCTACTTTCCCGCCGAGCCATCGACACTGACCCACATACACTTTACACACTTCTACGTACCTCACAGGGATGAAGCCATCACCTCTGAAAACAACCTGGATTCTCCATCCAAAGTTACAAATATGACTTTTATTGACCACATTGCCCCAACAGCAGAGACTCTGTAGGTCTGCAACAGTAGAAGAAGAGCTGATAAGACGTGTGTGTGCGTGTGTGTGTGTGTGTGTGTGTGTATATGTGACCTTCAGAGGCTAAAAACAGCCTTCTGCCTGTCAGCAGCCACAGACGCTCGCTGCCACTCTGCAGGCCTCAGCACGCTGCCGACACATGTGTCCGCGAGCTGCAGGAGCGTCGAGAAGCGCAAGTTTCACTGCACAGGTCGCCGGGGACAAATGAGCCTTTTAATCATTGTTTCGTCTTTGTGGTCACTCTGCATCTTTTCTTTCTTCATCTTTGCGCTCGCTCGGTATTCGGTCCAGGACTTGATCCCGAAAGCAAAAATAATCCGTCTCTCTACCAAAACTGCATTACGGCAGCGTGATAACGTAACGTACCAAATAATAGATGAGAAAGGTCTGAATCGGTCCTGGATCAAACGTTGGGGTTCCCTGATGTGGAACGGTTTGGGAGACCCTGACATGTGAGCGGATGCGTCGGGATCAAGAGCTCACTGAGAGCCGAGTCAGCGCGGCGTGTTACAGCACGCGTACAGTTACCCGGAGCTCGGCTTTCACGCGGACTCTAGAACTTTATATAAGCAGCTCACTGCAACGAGAATTCAAGTTGGACTAGAAATTAAATGCAAATATCTGCAGAGTTGGATTCTTTGAACAAATTGAAAAGGACAGAGCTGTTTTACAGACCTTGAAAACTATAATAAAAAACAGACACTGAACAATTCTTTCACATTAAAGCTGATTATCTAGACTAAAATAAGGGAAACAAGCACTCTGACATACTTTAAATATTTATATTTATTAATTAATGATATTTATTTCATCTCTTCATTTTTGAAACTGAAAGTAATCTGAAGGCCGAGCTGTTGTTCATCATTTATCATCTAATCCTGAACCTTCCTCTTTCATGCTTCTCGGGCTGAGAGTTGTGTTCGGTTTCTTTTATTCGTTTAACTCTCTTGACATTTCAGGAGGCCCTTTAGGGGAAAATGTCAGTGGGCTTTATTTGAGTTGCAAAAGCAATGAGTTCATGTTCCAGAACATCCATCAGGTCAGAGCGCATGTGTTGCCCTGGCGACTAATAACTGGACGACATCTGCTTGTTTTTTGACAAGTAGTGCGATAAGAGCTACTGCATGCTTGAGGTGCTTCGTCTGCTGTTGATTCATGTCAATATTACGTCAATCCCTCGTGCTGTCTGGCTTCCTTTCCGTGGCGCTCAGCTTCGAGCCCATTGCCACCTGGAGTACAAAAATCTTCACAAACGTATTTATTCTTCTGCGTCCACAGAATGTGCCAAAACAGCTGGTCGCCGTTATTTTTAGCAAAAACAGAAAGGAGGTAACAGGGACTATTTTCAGCGGTGTTGGATGGCCTGGTGAGTATTCGTGGCAGCAGAGGGGCGTAGGATTGGAACGAGGCTCGATAATGTGCTTCCCCAAGAGAATCGACCGCAAAACATCCACATTCACGGTGCAGCAGACGAGTGATTCACCCTCGTCTGCCCGTCCACCCCACTGCCTCAGATCCCGAACCCTGAACACGATGCTCTGAACCTCCGAACCTCTCAACGCGAGGAGACAACCAAGCGGCGAGCCCGGCGGGATGACGGGAAGCTCCCGCCTTCGCCGGCTCACCCAAAAACTCTCCGCCGTCGAGGCCCCAACACACGTGGTGTGTGGGAATATTTAACCCCAAACAGCCCGGGTTCTTTGTGTTCAGTCAGGGTGTGTGGGGTGATGTCCGAAAGCAGATTTCACACACACACACACACACACACACACACGGTCAAAATAAACACAATGAATGCATTTGGGACTTTTTTCATGCCAAAATGACAACGAATGAATGAATGAATAAATGGACCGACACAATGACGTCCAGCAGCGCGCGCACACACACACACACACACACACACACACACACACACACACACACACACACACATGCGTACAGTAGTCTCAGTCATTCAGAAACAGCTGACGAGGAGTTTCCCGTCTGTTTGTGTTGGTAGTGAAGCCTCGGAGGTGCAAACCGACGTCCCTGGATTAGTTTGATACTGAAGAACACTTTGAAATGCCTGAAAAGTTCTGCAAGAGTGTCTTCTTTTCTATGACGGAGATCCATGGATTTATTTAAAATGCCTCCATTTCCTCAGTGCATCACAATGAGGGACATAAGTGTCTATAAAGAGCTTAACCCAGTGTTTTTTTTTACATACACACTGATTAAACCAAAGGCAAGTTTATGCAGAGATATACAACATTATCTGCAGCTAACAAGGAGTAAGCCAACTGCACCTCTGGTCTATATTGTCCTTCTTCTCCTCTATGCATCAAATCCCTTCCAGGAATAAATGCAGATGCTCTTCGGACCTTGGGACACGTTTCCCTGCACTCTGGTCGATTTCTGCACCGTCATTGAAGGTCAGCAGTCAGCAAATCCCGTCACACACTAGAATAACACACACTAAACCTGGCTTCACACAACGAGGAGGCTTTTGAACCTACTCAACATTTCTACTTTTTTTTTTCTCTGAGATGAGCATCCAGCGTGCAAGGGGTCAGAGGTCACAGATTCTCAGAGGATTCAACCTGAGAGTCTGCGGTTGAAGCAGGCAAAATGACACGCCTCCAAAATAAAAGCCTCCATGTCATGTTTATCTGCCTCGATTACTATTTTGCTGAATTGTTAATACAAACAGAAACAATGTATTAACTATTTTAATAATGAATCGTTTTTTATCATAATTTTAAAGCTATAACGCTGAATATTCCGTGGTTCCAGTTCCTCTATTGCGAACGTTTTTTTGTCTGATTCCGTCATAGTAAAGTGAATAATCTGGTGCTTTGGGTGAAACAAGCAATTTAAGACATTTTGTACATTAAACAAATGAACTCTATTGCATTTTGTTACTAAACTAAATGAAGTGGAAGCAAACGCAATATTTCTAGAAGTAGAAATGCAGTCATTTCTATCTGTAGATAGATATCTGTCTGTAGACAGATATCAGACACCACAAAACACTGCGGATCTTCCTCCCATCGGCATGAAAACCTCAACCGTCGCGAGCATGATGGACAACAGCAGTGAGATAATGGGAGATGGAAAGGTCAAAGATCACAGCATCCGGACAACCCGCGCGGCGCTCCAGAGGGAACAAGTGGAGGAGCATTTTCTCTCTTCGTCTCTGCTCTATTCGGAGAAGCGCGGCTGTGAAACCAACACCAGCTCCAGTTTTAGGCCGGCGGCTCTGCTTTCGGCTTCCCTGACAAATCCCGGCAGCCGTCACGGCAGCCGCGGGTCTGAATGATTCTGAGTAAACCCACTCGTCGCAAGTTTAGCGTCGAGGCCCTTTTCTCACGCAACAGGAAGGAGACAGAAGACAAACTGAGCATGAAACGTGAAGCAGGGAGATGGAACGACTGCGGTTTCTCCCGGTGGTACAACAGAGTAGATCGAAAGGGATTCTTTGCCGCCATCGGATTCCATTCATTCAGCTTTGGAAACCGACTTGCAGTTACTTGCAAATGACCTCGCTGCGAACGACGTGTCTCCTCTCATCCTTGAAGTTACGCTTCCTCCATGTGAAAACTTTACATTAATGTATTTTTAATGGTTTTATCAGTATGGTACTAGAACTAATTCATAGAAAACCACTTTAACGATTTAACGATGGGATTTTGATTGACATACGAATCAGAGAAGGATAATCAAGAATCGTATTATTATGAGAACAATAATGTCCTGAAACAAATAATTCATTCGGTTTTAATTCATTTGAATTGTCTTTTCAAAGGCTTTATACATTGTTTTATTTTTCCTTACTTTTGTAAAGCACTGAATAGTTAGAAAGGTGCCATACAAAGAAAGCCGCTTTCTTCCTTTAGGGGGGCATCTTATTTTAATAGTGGATGGAAAAGAGATGACAGGTATAAACAACAAATGTCTCTCGCTTGTTTTGAAGGAGATGCGATTTCAGAGACAAAATATAAGTTTAAAAAAAAACGATATTTTCTTACCCTGGAGATGGTCAGGGGCATGTTGAAGTCCTTCCCCCCCTGCAGCCTGAAGCCCCAGGGCCCGGGGCCCGGCAGCGACACGGTGTAGGTGCTCATTGTTCCACGAAAAGTTCCTCCAAAAAGGACGACGGGGATTAAACTTTTTATTTCAACGCCCAACGGCAGCTGGATGGAGGTGTGGCTGTAGAAGGAGCCTCTAGAAGGAAAACGTAGCAAAATATATTAAATGGGTGAAACGATGAAGAACAAACCTGAAAATGTAATTATTTTTTAAATACGCCACAAGTCCACAAACCAAAACTGTGAGACAAAGAAAGAAGAAGAAGCAGAAGCTGAGAGACGAGACAGAAGAGAACTTGTCTGCTCAGAGGAGCTGAAGGGACAGCCTAAGAATAGCCAGAGATAGCACTGTTGCATTGTGGGGGGGTGGATGGCCGAGGCGGGGTGAGGCAGGGTGAGGCAGGGGCGGGCGAGGGGGGTATTGAAGCAAAAAGGAGGGGGGCGTGGACTTATATGGTGTGAAAGGGGACACCCGGTATGCCCGGCTCGCCGTGATTCACCGGGGCTAATATAGACCCAGCGGATGCTTCTGGACTCCCTCACCCACTGCCACCCTCGCTCACACCCCCACCCTCCCTCACCCACCCGCTAACGCTCTGGGTCTCCCTCGGACCCAATCAGGGGCGATGCCAGGAGTTGTCTCATTATCGTCGTGGTGATAAAGGCCCAAACTGAAATGCTATCCGTTGAGTGGCTCCGATAGCTGAAAGGTCAGCGGCAGATGGGCCGCGGCCGTCGAGGTTGCAGGTTCAACTCCCCCCCCCCCAAAACGGAGACGCCTGCAGCTAAGCATCAAATCCCAACCTGATCGGCCTGGTCACCAATCGCCACAAACAACAACTAAGACTTTAAAGCAGTGCACTCCCCCCCCCCCCTGTTAGCATTTCAGCTACAGAGACACTTCAAACTAGATTTTTTTTTTTTGCATGCAATATTTTAGAAATAAGAGGTAACGAATGACCCTGTTTTAACTCTGTTTTAACTTTTTAAAGATTTTAAAGCACACTATACTGCAACAATAAAATTAAACGATAGAATTAAAGAGAATTAAACATTTTAAAACGTGATGCCACAAATAATCTGCAGATTTTCCCCCAATAACTGATCATCATTGTCATTGTGTGTTTATAACGGCAGATAATTGTGTTAAAAATGGCAAAACGGACAATTTCAGTCGGACTCTCAAAGATAATTAAGTTTATTATCAAATATGTCACATTTTACTTAAAAATCTCATATATCAACACATTTTCTGTCAAATCAACATCATGTTACTACGTATCTAACATCACTATTTTCAGTGGCAGATTGATCCACATTTCTAGTGAGTATTTCTGTGGCAGCAGGACAGTGTGTGTGGGGTTGACTAAATATAAACTAGTGTGTGGTCGTGGTAATGAAGAGGTCACCCAGAGAAACAGTGAGGCTCATTGATGCTTTTTTAATAGTTAGTTAAAATAACGAAGATATTTACTTTAAGCACCATTATTTGAACTACAGTATATAAAATGACTTCCTGATAAATAATTGATATTCGACATTGTGCAGCTGTGATTACAAGTCAAACTAGACTCGGCTTCTGTCTGTAGAGGAGCAGTATGTTGCAGTAATGGTCTTTTATTTTGGCAGGCACTAACAACAGGTGAGAATTCCCCGACATAAACACACACGCAGGAACACACATGCACACGTACACACATTCACACAGCTGAGCCGTCAGCCTGTGTGAGGTTCCGTGTAATGCTTACAGAAACGTGTTAAATAACTTTAACTCAACTAAACCTCACCACACGTTGTCGCACTCGGTGTCACGCTTCATGATTGGGTTTCGTTTTCTTCGTTTTGTCTCCGATGATGAGAGACATATTCTGTGTGACCCGTGTGACATTCCGTAAGGGGCATAAAAGTCCTGTTAAAGGATTTGACACCCGTGTTGAGTAAGAGGTTTCTAACATCTCTCTATTAGCTCAGTTTTTGGTCTGTTTGGGTCTTTTTTTTATGTTTTAACGTAAAAAGCATCCAAATAAGTTCATGAATGGGAGGTGTCATTGGGGGGCAGTGACGGACGAGCTGATCCCAGAGCAGCCTGATCTGCTCAGCCGGTTATGTCACCGGCTAAGTTTAGACCTTTGTCACAGAGAGGAATCTGTTGCAGGGAGCTTTCCAACGGACCGCCGCTCTTCTCAAAAACCATTTCAGGTCCACATAAGTCTATAAAATTCAATGTAACTCTCCAGAGATGCACATTAACAGATGCGCTGGATGTAATATTTCAAATAGTGCGTAATCTACCTCCATGTTTGCTGGTTACACCTCCGTTGTGGGTGCGACGCAAGGCCTTGAGTTACGTATCAATTTGACTTCCTGTGTTTGTGGTTTATATTCTCTCCACGCCAGGCTCCATCTATCTTGGAGGCAACGGTATTCACTGCACCGTTGTCTCTGACAGACGGCGTCGTGCACCTTCATCTTCTTCCTCCTCCTCCTCTACGGCCTTCAGGCTGAGACACACAAAGCACGAAGGCGGGTAAAATGTGATCTGTGTCGTCGTGGAAACGAAACAGATACGCACAGCCGGTGCGTTTTGACCCGAGGAAAAGGATATGGATGAATGCCCTTTGGCTATAAAATATCACGCACCTGAAGATTTCTAAATGATGGCAATAAAGTTACGCTTATTGTGTAATTACTATTCATAATGCCTTGTTGTACATTTTAGGGAAAATAAAATAGTAATATTGTGTCTACAGTCATAGAAAAGTCAATAGTAATATTCTTACATTTGAAAATGAACTTGCCAGACAAACTCTACTGACAAATACACACCAAACACGCGCGCACACACACACACACACACACACACATACACACGCCGGATTCATCGCCCTCCTCGTGTAGCTGGGAATTGTTTTGTCGCTGCTTTCCATGATCACTTTGCTTTGTCGTGAACTGAAAACAATACTTTGCGGTCTATATTTGCACCCAAAAGTACTCAAATCCTTTACTTCAGTAGAAGTAGTAATACCACACTGTAACAATACCATCGTTTCAAATATTAGTGTACTAAAAGTATGTTAGTATAATTAAGAAAATGTAGTTAAAGTATAAAAATGTGCTGTTATTGTTGCACTAGATATGCATTAGATGCATTGCATTAGATATGAACTCAATTGATTTGATTACTTTTGCACTCATGTAACATGTGGGCGGATTCTGAACTATTAACTAATGATTATTTTTATTGTGACCTTTTCTGTAAAGTATTTTTTTCGATTTAAGTTCATGTTTTGTGTAAAGAAATATTGAGAAACCGTCAGTTACCCAAAGCCCAAAGTCACACCTTCACAATGTTTATTTTGTCCAACGGCCCAGACTTCAAAATCACTACTCATAGATTATGATTATTTATAATATTTAAAAAGGGAACACAGACAATCTTTGTTTAAAAAAAACATGATATGTTTTTACATTAAATACTTCAACCATCAAAATAGTTCCCGGTCAATATTCAGCTGTACTTGTATAAACTGTTGGGAAGTTAATGAGTCATCATCATTTATAACCCTTTGTATGCTTTGTGTGTAAACATCTCAATGTGTAAAGTAGTTATGATGAATAAGGCTGCGTAGAAATATAACTTGGCATGAAAATAAAATGACTTTTACGGTAATGGAGTTAATGTAATTAGTTTAGTTAGTAAAAATCTGCTAAAATGTTCGTTCACAATGTAAATGAACTGACTTGAATATAGATTTTTGCATTAGTTTTATTATTTCTGGTGAATACTATAAATCGGTAGACAACTTGAGCCTGAAGGAAGGTTGATAGAAAAAGTGATGAATTGCACTCGTTATTTTGTGTCTTTCACGTTGACATCCAACAACAAACCGCCACGCTAATAAAAAGAGAGCTCGTTTTTAGTGAGTTGCCACAAACTGATCACGAATGTGCTCAATGTCTTCACCTTATATCTCAGGTGAGCTGGCAAACAGACCCACCCGCTGCTCCGGCAGCACTGTGCTCCGCCCCGCCGGGCCGCCCCGCGCACGACAGTCAGCGCACCACCCTGAAAGTGGAACAACGCGAGGTGAGGGGGCACAAACAGGTGGGAAAAGCCGTGTGTGTGTGTGTGTGTGCGTGTGTGTGTGTGTGTGCCGGGGGGGGGCGACACCCTTCCCTTGTGTGGCCTTTTTTTCTTGCTCCCCTGAGGTCTTTTAATAAGAAAACGGGCCCCCTTTCCAAGGTGTAGGGTCCCCCCCCCGGGAAAGATCCAAAGGAGCCTGGGAACCCCTGTGGGGGTGGGGGGTGTGGAGGAGGGGTGTAAACCGTGGATTATCATTAGCGGGGTTTTTTATTTAAAGAGACAGGAGTCCGGTGGGAAAACTGAAATACACCCAGAGGAACATATCTTTTTTTCATCTATCTTTATATATAATATATATTTTTTGCAAGTAGGTTTGAATTGACAAATATTACAGTATTTCACAATGTTATTCATGGTACGCTTTATTTTAGCGTTAGCCATTTATTTGTGGTTGTTAGTTGTCTAGAGATTTGTCGTTGCGGTTAGCAATAAACAGCATGCTTTTGTCCACAAAAATGCAAACAGCCTCTGAAACATTGTGTGTAAAATCTGCAAATTGGCACAATATAGGTCATTTCTGTCACTAGAGAGGAAAGCACAGATATCCGACAATGAATATAATGAATCATAGATATTTATTATTATTATTATTTAGAAAAATAAACAACACCAACCACCATCGAAGTAACCAGGAAACAAATCTACAATAGATTACCTTGTGTTCCGAAAAAAGTACAAGAACCAGAAACTTTATTAAACCAGAATTAAGATGACAAACACCTCCATTTAATTATGTACTGCATCAAACTTCCGCAATATACTGTTAAGTACTTTCTTCTTTATATCATGAAATAGTTTAACAGCCTGGTTTAAGCATCTAATATGTTTATTGTTCGGTTACTTTGATTACAAACACTTACACTTGCCATGTGTTATTCTATAGAAATGTTTAGAAAGACTTAACGAATACACAAATAACTTCACTCAGACCAACAAGTCAGATGGGCTTATCAAAAGTTGCTTCACAATCTATAATGATTTCCCTTTTCACCCCCGTAACACGAACAGCATCACAATCACATTTCCTCAAAACTGTCCAACAGCAAAATACACACTTTAAATATGCAATTAACAACACAATAGAAAAAACACACAAATATAATGGAAAACAAAAAGTGAACCACAGGGAAACATTTATTATATCTTGTTCATTAATAAAAGTGCAATTGCAGGCCTCAGAGATTTTAAGTTTTGGTGAAATAAAGAGGAACATTTGATTCAATGTGAGGAAAGAGGAGGGAAATTGTAGCCATCATAACTAAAAGATCTATTGGACGTGATGTAAGTTTATTACACGGTCACATTCCATGAAATTTAATTTTAACAAGCTTTTTCTCAATTTTCAGGGTTGTTTCTGGTTTGAATCCGGTTATTTTACCCTTTTGCGCTCCATTTACCGCAATTATAATCAAACCAAATTCCACTCAAACCCTTTTCCCCCTGTACAACAGACATATCAACCATTAGCTAAGCCCCACGCGATGATTGGACGATCTCTGTTCAGTGGAGGAGGGAAATAGAAGGCTTTTGTTTTTCAAATTAAAAGTGGGGTTTCATGTAGCATCAGTCTAAAAGAAACCAAAGAAACGCTCAACTCGTACGTAACACTGTACAGGATTAAGTGTGAAACACACAGATAAATAAATCAAAAACAACCAATAACAAGAACACAATATGGTAATGATAGTATTATTTAGTTTTTGTAGAAAAATTGAAAAGTGCGCTGCAAAAAAACTCAAACATCTCGTCTCACATTAGTAACTTTTCCTGAAACACCATTATTTTTTTGCTTAAGAGCTCGTGGCCTTTCCGTCAATCTGGGACGAGAGCTCAGGCGCAGGATTGGGATTTTCTTTGGGTCAAATTTAAAGTAAAACAGCTTGGCTTAACACTGTGCGCTCTCCTATTTGTACTTTCTATAGACAGAGTCGAACTCCACAGAAGAACCACCTGTGACTCCGTATTATAAAGGTAAGAGGCTTAAATAAAACAATGTAGGTATTCCAGGCTTTTAATCCTTTAACCCATAATTTAAAGTAGTTTTAAAGAGCAATTTAACACTGTAAAAACCTGACATTTACAGAGCAGTGATTTTAAATCAATGAATAAGTGACATAGGACCTGGCATCAACACAGATATCAAAATTAAGATCACAAAAGTTCTGTATTAAATTGTTTAACAAATTAAAATATTAAAAAATTGATTAAAAAAAATCGGCTGAATACAATTTAACCTTTTTTTGCAGAGGGAAAAACTTTTTAAAATCAAATGTAAGGGAGCTTCACACATTTATTTTTCATTCATCTTGGCACGGTTCCCCAAATGAATGTGTGTGAGCAGAGCGTGACAATGCCTTTGCATTGTGTGGAGGGTGTGAGGTTTCATCGGTCCCTCTCATATAGCAAAAACTAAATGCAAAAGAAATTGACATAAATTTTGAGGTGCACGACTTCTGAAATGGAATGACTCATTTTAATATTGTAGCTCGTTTCTAAACGTGTGTAAACGAGAGTGGAGGTGAGCTGGTCACGTGGCTGCAGGTGCTCTACCCAGACCCCGCCCCCGGGTGGCTGCTATTGGCTGTCTTTGGGCGGCCATTGCAAGAACCATTGCGCCCGGTGGGAAGGAAGGGGCTGGTCTCCGAGGTGATGACGATGCTCGGGATTCGACCAATCGTGCTTCTCCTATCGCGTCCCTCTGCAAAATCCGTCTGTCAGACCGAAAATACACAGATATCATTTTATATTAATGATTCTTTCCTTCAAATTTTGGGGGATTTAAAAAAAAGAGTACAGTTTTTTTTCATCTGGATTGGAACGCAATTACTTTTATTAGTATTATTTATAAGTATTGGACAAGTTATAGCACTCTGAGACAGACTTTTAGAGGTAAATACATTTAATATTAATAACTGAATCAGCACAATTATATTACACAAATTTCAGGGCAGTATTTAACACAAGTTCAGAAACACGTATACATTGAGTATATTATCTCTAATATCTGGTATCTACTACTACAATGACACCAAAAGCTTAAGTAAGAATATATATATTGATAATTCATGATGGATAAATAGACGTGACTCACGTTTGGGATGCTGCCGCGTTCACTGACTCCTGCCATGGAGATGTCAGTGTCATAGGACGTCTGGAAGAAAAAACAGACACAGGTAAGGCTGTAAGGGGATTATCATACGAACCAGCATCCTGCAGCAAACATTAATGTTAGATGCGATGATATTAAATCATTAGATACACTTAAACTAGATTTTAATCAAATCATCAGAATCCGTAAGGCAGAAAATCTTGATTAACCATCTGTAATAAATCACACAGAATTGTATTATAGCTTTAAAAAAGAATTCTTTCAATCATTAACATCAAAAGGAGAAGAGATTCTTTTCTGATCTGAGGGGAAAAGTTAATCGAGCAGATCAAAGAGCACAAAAAATGCACAAAGTTCAACAGATTAACGTGAACACCGGTGTTATGGAAGAAGATGCTCGTCGTTTAACTGCCTCAACTGACCCTTGAAGTGACCCTGAATCCCTGCTCCCCCTCAGGTGACCCGCTAACATCGCCCTCTGAGTCCGATCTAACGATAATAATCTACACAGAGAGTCTTCTTGAACAGTCTGCAAACCCCTTGTGGCCGGTTGTTGTCAAGCGGCGTCTTTGAGACACTTTTCAATGTCCGTTTTTTGGGGGCTTTTTTGTATAAAGAACTAATATAGAGAAGTCAACTACAACTCCCAGCATGCACTTTAGAAAGAACAAATCCCCATGCTTCACATTCTGATTCTGCAATGGTTTTTGTTGTGTCTTACAGAAGAAGACTTTGTGTTTGGGATGAAAGGAACGTTTCAAGCCGTACGTGAAGAGCTGAGCAACCATTAAAGCCAAAACACACAAAACAATCCAACCAAAGGAGGCGAGAAGGCGTTTACTTTTTCAAAGATGCCCGAGTCGTGGCTCTTCATCTTGGACTTGAAGCTGGAGGAGGGTTTGAATTCGGGGAGCTCGGCGGTGTCTCTGCCGATGTCACAGGACACCTGGCGGCTGGCGGGTCTGGAGCCCACGCTCGAACCGTCGGCCTCAGTGTCCGTCAGACACTGAAACAAAAAACGCTTTGAGACACGCGATCGGCCTCACATGGACTCACGCGCGCCGCCGCCGTTCCCGATGCGAGCTCACCGATTCGCTGTCGGAGGCGGAGGAGAGGCGGGAGTTGCGGCTGCCCTGCCGCCTCTGCTGGCTGCTGACGTCGGAGGTCTGGCTGGTCACGGTGGAGCGCCGCGTCGACCTGAAGCTGCTGCTGGCCGAGCGGAGTTCGCGAGGAGGAACGCAGAGCAGAACGCCGAGGAACGGGATGTACTTAGCCAGCGCTATCCTGCGCGGAGAGAGATCACAACGCCATTTAGACGAGGTGGAGGACTGGATAGAGTGGCCCCGGAAGGTCGAAGGTCGACTAATTCTCCTTAACCGATGTTAACTACAGTTATATAAGCTGTTTACTTTTTCATCCTGCAGCTTTCACATCTCATCATGTGTGTCCGTGTGGGATTAATTCCCCACAGTCGAGTCGTTGTTCAGGTTAACCGAGCAGCGGTTAGTTCAGATGAGCAGATGTTTAGTGCTGTCAAATTCAAAAGAAATGAACTGGAAGCTCAAGTTATGTGCAGATTTGAATACGGTTTGTGGTTCACTGTCAGTAAGGTGCGGCAACACGTTGCTTTAGTGAAGCTCCAACTCAGTGCAGAGATTTGAAAAATCAGCCGACTAAATTACCCATCATGCAACACCGAGACACTGACTAAATGTAAGTTTGAATCACTCTGTTCTTCTTCTGTTTGTACCAAAACTATTGAAAATTTAAATAATACATTCGCTGTTCAAAATCATAGCATTTAAATTAAAAAAATCTTAGTTTAAATAGACAATAAAAGCATTTTCGACCGCGCGCGTGTCTGCTACCTGTATTTTGGGTGCGTGATGGCGTAGATGATGGGGTTGTGGATGGCTGACGCCTTGGCGATGACGGCGGGCACAGAGTTCATGTAGGGAGTCAACATGTCTGCGTACCTGCAGCAGAGAAACAAAGCAACAAGGAGATAACACCTTTTCCTGGTGCCGGGTGGGCGGGAGGATTTTTTGGGGGGGCGTGTCGGTTTTTACCCGGCGAAGGCGGTGAGAGCGACGGCCGAGTACGGCGACCAGGAGACGACGTAGAGCAGGATGACGATCAGAGCGATCTTCGCCATCTTCCACTCGTTCTGCAGCCGGTGGAAATTCTTCGTCGAGTCTCGACCGCTGCCGTGACTGTGGATGCTGCCGTTCATTTTCCCCACGGCCCTGAAACACACAGGCGGGCTTGTGTTACCGTGACGACAGTGAGTCGACACTCTCTTTTATGTGTTCATCGGGAAAAACAAAAAACGGTAATCAAACGCACACAGACTGACCGGTTGGTGACGCGGATGGCGCGGAAGATGAAGAAGTAGCAGTAGATGATGATAAAGAGCGGCAGGAAGAAGACGAAGATGAAGAGCAGCATGGTGTACGCTCGCACCGACGGGGTAAAGGTCATGTAGTCCCACGTGCACGACGTCAGCAGGCCCTCGGGGACGTAGGCGCCTGACGGGGGAGACACAGGGAAGTTTCAGAATCCCGTCACTCTGTTGGATGTGGCACAAAAAATGCTAGATGATACTGAGGAATACGGTTCTCACTCCAGCCGAAGAACGGCGGCAGGCTCCAGCCGAGGGAATAGGTCCAGGCCCCCATGAGGATGAGCAGGGCCCGCCTCCGCGACATCATCCCGATGGAGGTCAGAGGTCGCGTGATGACGAAGTAGCGGTCGAGGGCGATCACCGTCAGCGTGATCATGGAGCAGATCCCGAAGAGAGCGCCGCAGAACGCGTACAGCTCGCAGCCTGGAGGCGGAGGAGGCACAGCTGAAACCTCTCTGCGATGTTAAACACGTCGCTATTATTGATCCTCACTCTGAATCAACGGTGTCGTGCTTCTTGGAGCCGACGTTAACCTCGAGGAAGGCAAAGCGACCTCCTCTCTGACGGCTCAATCAGTGCCAGTGGGGCATGTTGATCTCTGCAGCTCGGAATAGTTCATTGTTTGTGAAGGACAGCCTCGGATTGTCTTTTATTAGTTAAAACGTCTTGTGCAAAAAAAGAAAAAAAACAGCTTGTGTGAAATGTGTGAACTGAGCCTTCAAAATAAAACAAGCAAGGAAATTAGCTAATGTGAAATCTGGTGTTTTACAGGCCGAGCAGGTGTCAGTTTACGTTTTATTAATGAAAAGCTGCGAGTCATAACCTGCCTCAAATTAAAATGACCTCTGAAACGTCTCCTTCTGAGGGACACTGAGGGGGGGGGGGGGGGGGGCGCACTGTTTTTCTCGGGCTCCAGTTCCCTAATTTCCACCAATTTTTTTGGGGGGAGAGAAACCCGATGTTAAAATGAGTCGGGGGGGACAGGTGAGACCAAATGGCCCAGAGGAAAGGGTGAGAAACTGCTGCTGCTTCAAGTTTCAAGATTTTATTCAGGGTTTAAGAACAATGTCTGTGCACGTGTGTGTGTGTGTGTGCGTGTGTGAGTGTGTGTGTGTGCGGTGGGGTACCTTTCTCTCCAAAGATCCACCTCTTGTGCATGCTGGTGGTGAAGAAGATGGGCGCCTGGGTGACGCACATCAGGAGGTCTGTGATCGCCAAGTTAATGATGAACATGTTGGCCGGCGTCCGTAGGCTGCGACTCCTTTAACACACACACACACACACACACACACACACACACACACACACACACACACACACAGTGTAGTCCATTGACCACATAGACGAGCGACTGCTTATTTGCTAGATTGGCTAGATTGGAATTAATTGAGCTTTGAAAAGATTTACAGAAATCATTTTTTTTTTAAACTCAACAATAAGAGTTTTTGTGATTTTGACGTCTTTGCGAAATGAGGTTTTCATAATCAAGGCTCCTCCCGCTGTGATGAGCAGGAAGCCGCCGTTAACCGGCTGAGTGAGCCGTGTGATTGCATGAAGTCCGTTCGCAGAGGACGAGGAACAGCCGGCACGGAAAAATCACTTAGTGCTGCTTCTGTTCTATAATTAAAATGAAATCAATGAGGCACACACCACAGACATCAAGGTCCGATTGCAATGAGAGATCAATTGCTGTCCCATGAATGGTGCCAATCAATATGTGAGCCGAAGTCATCTGAGGCGCTTAAGCTTCTTCAAAAGACTCCAAGATGAAAGAGGAGAGCGTGTTGTTGATGGAAGCAGGCAGCCGTGACACATTAAAGAGGATGCAGACGTAATGCAGAATCCACCTCTGCTCTGAAAACCAGCTCCAATTATTACCACTTCTAACTCCGTCTTTCCTTTAAAGACTTGTTTCACTTCTTCTTTCAACACGGAGGACAAAATGAATCAAAATAAATTCCTTTTGTACGGACTGACTCTCAAAGCCTCTCAAAGAGCAACAGCATTTGAAAAGTTAGTCATGCTTTTATCTCCTGGGCAAAATTTGCATTATTTTTTTTTACAATCATTAACTTCATTATCAATTACATTGTTGAAACCTGCATGAAAACGGCGTTTGGTATTCTAATTGTCATGTCATGAGTGCGCGTAGGAACACGCGTTGTCTGATTCTGAAGGATGGATCCATTTTTCCGTCTTACTTGCTGAAGGCGTATATGACCAACACGTTGCCGATGATGCCGGTGATGCCGATGGCGAGGATGACGGAGCCGATGGTGTAGTGGGCGTGGTCGGGCACGTCCACTGTGGGGTAAGGGTGCGGGGCACGGGACACCATCGCCACCTGGACGACCAAAGAAGAAGATGGATCAACGCGACGATGCTGCGGGTTGAATTCAGATCACATTAAAAGGTGGATTGTACACGTGAACAAGAGCGGCTTGTTGTTTCATTATTTACAAGTCACAGAGCATCTGCAGTTAAACACATGCCAGGAGTCCATTTCTTCTCATTAATTTGCTCTTTCAGGGACTGATTGTTGTTTAATTAATTTTCTGTAGTGACTGCAGAGAAGATAACTGTATGAGAAGTGATTAAAAAGTCCCTTGCTCGGATGCCATGATTCCAGACAGTGAAAACCATGACATCCACAGACGGCTTTAAATCATCACGTACACCCGCCCGAATTCCTTTTGACGAGTTCAACACATCAATGTTTCTAATTAGCTCTGAGCTCCATCCCTCCGTCTTCTTCATACGCTCTCCCTGTTGCCACGTCAACGGCATAATCGTCATTCCGCCATCATCAGAAATATAAATCAGAGCTAATCTAAGTGAGTCGAGCAGCAGCCTCACTGAAGCTGTAATGGTTGAAACCACAGCTCCAGCAAATAAAGGATTCTATTTTCATTTGATTTAAAAGATATTGGCACCAGCAGTTTTGGCAATATGTCATAAACCGCTTCGAGCTAGTGTTAGGACGTCATAGTTCAATCTATATCATCTATTTAAACGCGCGTGTAGTGTGCACGTGTGCAGTCGCGTCGCAGTGAACGCTCTCGAGCTTTGTTTTCAGCAGGTAACCATGGTTACAGAAGATGCATCACAAAGCTTGATTAAACAGGAGCCGAACCATTTAAACAGGCGCAAACAAAGCGAGATGTCGATGCTGCCGTGAGCCATGAGAACAGAAGTCACATCCGGTGGGTTTTTGCTTCAATGTGTAGTATGTTATTTTGGGTTTTTTTGTTTTTGCTCACAGCTACGAAGGAGGAAGAAGAAGCTTCGAAGGACACGGAGGCAGTGATGGAGTTGGACTAGTTGTGACAGCCGATGCAGCAGGAAACAAACGGACCGTCTGACCGACCGCAGCCTCAAAGCTGAACCAAGCAAGTTGAGGCAGATTGAACATTTTGGAGTCACAAGTTGATCAAAAACGGCAACTTTGACATCTTTAAACCTTATTAAGTAGGAGACACAAAGATGATCACAGACACCTCCAAATATGATCGGCTAAATCAGCAGCTAAAGCAACATATATATATATATATATATATATATATATATAAATATCTCTCCTCACTCTGGGATGTTGGGTTCATTCTGTGTCTCATTAATGATTTTCAAAATTGAATCCAGTGTCTATTTTAGTGGATATAAAAATAGGCCATAAAACTATAGGAGGATTATTGAAATGTGCAGCAAGTGGAAGGGAGAAAACATGAAGTCCTGTCATTGAAAATGCTCATCCAGTCTCCGGCTTTTCGTTGAGCGAACCTTCATTATCAAAATGTTTTTCCATCTCGTCAGCGAGTGTTTCCGGCTGCGAGCACACCAATCCGTCCCCGCGTCATCCGCGGCGAGTCGAGGGCGGCGTGTCCTGTCACGAAGGATTCGGCGTTTAGCTTTTCCTGCTACCTTTGATTCGTCCAGGCTCGGTCTGATCCCCCCAAAAAACGACTGTCCTCCCCACCTGTGCTCCTACTAAATGTTAAACAGACCTGTCAACAGATGGAGAATCTTATCTGAACCGGGTGTGAAGTGGATCATGTTGGCAGGCAGCAAGCAGGAATCCATTTCTACTGTAATTACGTAACACAATCACGCCGTGTTCCTCCGCTACATAGAGCTTAAGCAGACAGCTCTCTCTCTCTCTCTCGTTCACTTTCCAAAATCGCTCAGGATCGAATTTCGAAATCCATGTTTATTCGCTCTCTTTTTTTCCTCATTCCAGTCCACCTGGTGATGTTTCTCTGGTGACCCGGTGTTAACGGAGTCTTCTGCAAGGCACTACGCGCCAAGTACAAGAGTGAAGAAAGCATTCAAAGCCAACCACACTATTTGCATGAGGGCAGAACAGCCAATGTGGCTGTTTGTATTACCTAACCACTAATAGTACTTATATTACAACAAGTACTACTACTAGATCTATGTGGAAGAAGACGTTTCTACTAGTTCACTTTTGCTGAATTATTCAACTTGGCCGGGTGTAAATAATGGTTGAATAAGATTAACAAAATTGGGTTGAGACATCTATCAAAGTTGGGATGAGAATCTTTTGTGTCCATGGTTGTTTGTCTGCCTGTTTGTTTGTCTGAGTTGCGATGTGCTTGTTTGTGCGTCTGCCGGTGTGTCGGTGTGCCCGCCGCTCCGAGCAGCTTTGCTCTGACGTCGAGTCAACCACCATCGGAGGAGATAAACAGACTGAGGCGACAAGAGCATGATGGGAAGAATACGAGCGAGGCAGCGCGTTGTGTCCATTCGTGTTCCCATCAGCTTCGGCATGTTTAGGAGCAGAGGAAGTCTCGAGGTCAACACTCATCATGCGATTAAAATACAAACACAAAGTGCTCCACAAAGCCCAAAGCCCCCCCAACTCCACTCCTCCCATAAGAAACATTCCTAAAAGTGCACTGCAATAGTCAATCCTGTCCGCGTGCGTTAGTGTCTCTGTAGTAGCTTGAGATTTAAAAAAACGGTGGCAAGTGTCTAATGTTCACCTCCGGTTTAATACCAGTTTGCTTCCAGTTCACCTCCAGTTCATTACCAGTTTGCCTCCAGTTCATTACCAGTTTGCCTCCAGTTCAACTGCAGTTCACCACCAGTTTAACACCAGTTTGCTTCCAGTTCAACTGCAGTTCAGCCCGGGTTTAATACCAGTTTGCTTCCAGTTCACCTCTAGTTCACCTCTGGTTTAATACCAGTTTGCTTCCAGTTCACCTCTAGTTCACCTCCGGTTTAATACCAGTTTGCTTCCAGTTCACCTCTAGTTCACCTCCGGTTTAATACCAGTTTGCTTCCAGTTCACCTCCAGTTTCATTACCAGTTTAATACCAGTTTGCTTCCAGTTCACCTCCAGTTCACCTCTGGTTTAATACCAGTTTTGCTTCCAGTTCACTGCCAGTTCAGCTCCAGCTCACCGTCTGTTTACCACCAGTAAAAGGCTTTGAGGTCTGAAAATCAAGTAATGCTTACAAAGATAGAACACACGCACACACACACACACGGACACATACACACACACAAATACATGTGTAGATACACAAATAGACGGGTCCGGGGCGTTGTGTGAGTTGTTACCCTTAAGGCACAAACAAACATAAACACTTTACACACATGTTCCATCTGAACACACACAGTATGTGTATTACGACTGGAGGAGGTGAAGTCAAACTGTAACAATTCTAATCATCGGCTCAGCATGTAATTATGTCTGTATGTGTTTGATAAACACATTTTGTATTTGGGTGAATAAAAAGGTTTTTAAAAAAGATATGGGCAGCATTATACATACAGTATTTTGACTTTTTCACTTTTCTTCTTAAAGAAATCTGGAGCTAATATTTTTTTGAAAATTTACCATGACATTTTCCAACTTAAAGTTCTTTCCATGAGTTTTTCCCCAAACATTTCTTGACTTAATATTTTTTTACATTTCTTGACTTAATATTTTTTTACATTTTTTGACCTAATATTTATTTACATTTTTCCCATAATTTTTTTACCAAATGTTTTTCAAAGACTTTTTTTCAAAATATTTTTGAAACATTAACATTATTTGGACTTATTTTTCACAATACGTTTTGACTTTTTAAAGCTTTTCTTTGCAATATTTTTCAACTTTTTACTTTTATTTGACAAAAACTGAATAAATAAGGCAGCAGTTATGAACAATACGGCTCCTCTCGATATAGTGTGAGGGAGCAAAGAGCGTCGGCCCTCTTTTCATCAGTCAGCCTTGAAAGCTTCCCATAACTGACTGAGCTGCTGTGTCACATGATAACCACACGCATTATATATATACTGTATGCGTGTGTGCGTGTTCCCCGCCTCTTACACAACAGGCACTGTAACGGAACAGATTCAGGTCAGCGTTTGATCCTCTCACAGATCAATAACTCAAACAACACTGTTTGCCACGGATCTCATTAAGTCTTTCATTCCTGCTGTAATCAAGCTGACAAAAATCCTGATTTTGTTTGTTTGCTTTTTTTTTTTTTTACAAATGAACTGAAATGAAAAGGCACGAATGTCCTCAGAAACCAAAGCAAATCGGTTGTGCGTTTTCCGGGACCCGACAGATCTCATGCACATGCAACACTTTATTCTCGCGTGGCTTCACCCTCAGACGGATTGATGCGGAGCTCTGCGCGCTGAGACTCGCTGAGCCGGTCAGCCATTCGAACTCATGTCATGTACGCGTCGAAGGAGACTACAAGCCAGCAGTGCTGCATGGATAGAAAGTGGAAAGACAGCTTTGCTTTCTTTTTTAATCCTCAACACACATCTCTGAAATTACCTTCCACAGTTCTGATTTTTTTCACTGCCACTCAATCAAACGAGCTCCCAAAAATGAATTTTAAAAGCGTAGCTTTTTATCCCTCCTCAGTAACTCTTTATTGTATTATAGGAGAACCAAATGTCCGGGTAACAGGACAGAATGTGACTGGCATTGTAAGAGACCGGACGGCTAACACTGATGTTCTCATTCTAAAAGAACGAGGGTTTCATCTATAAACAGTAAAAATCCATTCAGCTGATGGGTCCGTGCTGTGGATTTTTGAGTGATTTGTGAACCAGTGATTCTCAAAACATGTTTGAATTAAGATCAAACCTGTGAAATCAAGGGTTTATATTTGGTTGGATTATGCGCTAACGTTTTGAACCTGACCCATCTGTGAACTTCCTTCCTCAGAGGAGAGTCAACAGATCAGGACTTTATTATAATTAAAGCCGCTTCTACGACACCAGGATCCTTTGGGGTTTGGAAGATACAAGTTTGGGGCCAGCAGGAGGGATTATTTACTGATTATCGGCATGAAATTTGCTTTTGACCTGTTGCTCAATCCACTATGGATTCATGGCCTTGTTATTTACCACTAAAAGTATTAACAGTTTTCTAAAGATTCACGGGTCAATTTCCATCTCCGGAATACAATTAATAACAGACGCTTTCTATGTTCTTAAGCGTGTTCCCATCGCTGCAATATCACGCGGCTTTAACATGAAGTTAAATGAAGTAATAAATGAATGATCTGCTCTCTTTGTAAGATATTGATCACAGAAAACTAGAGCGACTAGAAGGAAAAACATCAACCTCAAAGCCTTTTTGGATAACGATCAACGGGAATACAAAGTCTATGTTTTTTGGACAAAAGCCTTCAGATCTTGATGTTTATAAACTGATAGAAAAAATAGATTATTACATGGATTTCAGTTGGATTATCAGGGATGTAAAAAGTATTCTGACCTCAAATTCTTCTTCAAAATAAGTTTTTATCAGCTTCAAACACTGGAAGTATGAAAGTAAAGGACGGTTATAGATGTGTGTAGTAAAAGTATTTAAATCTGAAGGAGTGAGCAGAAAATTAGAAAACATTGTAGTCCAATGCTTGAATGGATGAACTCTCCTCTTTTTTAAAGAATACAGTGTGTAGGTGTTTCATTCCGGGTCCTTTAAACCTACTTCAGTTCAGAGTTTGGGTATAAAAGAAAATAAAGGATTTAAACAGGGGATCTTGTGACCTTATAAATCCAGCCGCCGGCTTCACCTCCAGTGAATTATCCGCTAACGCACATATGAAACAGACTTTCATATTCCTCATTATGGCCTTAAACCCCTGCTGTGTGTGCGTGCGCTATATATTATACTGGCTGCACATAGTTCCTGCTATCAATGGATCTTTTTTATCCTTGCTGTCTGTTTTCATTCCCCTCATGCCTCCTTTTATTTGTTCGGGGAGGACTTCCTGCATCTTCTTCGGCCTCCAAACTAAATGACACAATATGCTGTAAGTCGCGTATCCTCCCAAAATGACCAGGGGTGGAATGCAAGTACTTTTTGTGTTTACTTCAGTGCCACATTCAAGGAAAAATGACTTCTCAGATTACATTTTTTCGTTCCGCCTGTCCAGAGGAAAACACGTGCCTCCAGAAGTGCTGATTTTGAATGTTTATGATAAACTGAAGGAAATACTCTCCGACGGAATCTTGGTTTTGATTGTAACTAATACTTCAACTGTACGGTATCGGCCCACACCTGCCCGCCATCCTTCCTTCTGTGAGTCACACGGTGATGAAACGTCACCAAAATCCCTGCACCGCCTCCACGAGGCCTTTTTGTGACGTGTCGTCTGAAAGGAAACCGCTGCAAACGGTTGACATAGCGGTCAAAACATTCCGCCTTCATCCATATTTGTTGTCGTTTCACCTGTTTTCTCTCACCTGTATCAATGACAGCACCATCAGTTACGCTTATGTAATTACAATAACAAAATCAGGCGAATGATGTAACATGTTTTTATATAATTCTACACCAATGCGGTGAAGCACAGAGGAGCGTCTTGTTGTCCGACCACAACAGGACACTTTGTACTACAGTAGGAAGCAGAAAACGTCTTTTTGACCTTTAACCCCTGAGGACAGAGAGGTGGAGGAGAGGAGAGAGGCCGGTGGCTCCATCTCTGATCGGAGCTCTTACCTCAAATTGAGGGCAGCCGAGCGGTGACAGAAGGAAACGCTTTATTGAGTCCAGCCACAGACGAATCATCTTCTCTGAGACCTTATTGTCAGGGAGAACTCATTCCCAGGCCGATAACGTCTGTGGGAAATCAGCTTATCGCTGGTTTCTGTGTGTGTGTCCCCACTCGTCACTGGAAAGTTGGCACGAGAGTGACTCACATTAACTAACGTCCAATCAATACAACGTCAGTGTTCTGACTAAAAACGCCAATGTGGGTTGTGTCACGTGCAAGCGCCGTCGGCCCTACCCTGCCGTTTCCCCCTCGCTCCACCTAATCGGGTCATTCTGCTAGTCACCCATCGCCGGTATCAGTATCCAAACCCCCCCCCCCGCCGCCCCCCATGCCAGACCGATTCCCCCCCCCCGGTGCCCACCCGTCCTGTCTTGGACTACCCCGTCCCGCGCCTGCGGTCTGCCGTATACTGCATCTGGGTCCGTGCCTCGCCCGTTACAGGTTGCTTCATCAACACGCAGCAGTGGGAAAAATGCCCCCATGCGCACATGGACACACAACCTAATCCTCAGGAAGTGCGTTATCAGTCCTCCGCCCGATCACCTGCACATCCTGCAGGTGTGTGCAGTAACCCCGACGCTGCAGGACGGAAATGAAGTCAGCCTTTTTTTCAGCATGACGTCTGTGCAGCTCCGAGGTGTCGGTGAAGCAGAGCGATAAGGAGACACACATTTCTGCACCGCATCCCTTAATCTGTGAGTGTGTGTGTTCCGATACCACAGCAGCAGCAGCAGCAGCAGCAGCAGCAGCAGCCTCTCTCAGCATCAGACAAAAATTAAGATGCATTATTTTTGCTGTGTGTTTACATAAAGCTCAGGGGGGGGGTGATGAACCAAACAAAGCCCCCGGAGGAGAAAATGCCGACGCGTTGAAGAGGTCGCGTCGCGCAGGTCAGCACGTCCTCCATCCTGTCTCCCTCTGTAAACATCTGCATTTCCCAACCTCTCAGTCAAAGTCTCTCAGATGGAGAGCGACACAACGCTGCGACGGCAGACGAACTGAGATGAACTGAGATGAACTGAGATGAACTGAGATGAACTGAGACGGCTCAGCAGAAAGCGGTGGAGGGTTTGAGCACATGCGCAAAGATAAACACCAGTTCAGATTGTTGCTCAAGTATCATCATAGGCTGAACTAATACATACAATCGTATGTCAAACTGTGAGAAGTGTCCATTAAATGTTGTTTTTATTCCTCTCTAGCCAAAGGGATTTCTTTTAATAAGAAGATTGACTCGATATTGTCAACAATATATGACAATAATATTAGTAATCTTGTGTCACTGTATTTTGAAAATATTTTATAATAATTTTGATTATGTGTCGAAGAGCGCAAAGAACTCTGTTGAAGATTTGTCTTTAATATTAGATACTGGCAATTGTTGTTTTCTGTATATAAATTAGGTAATCAGATTGTTTCCCGATCAATAAGACTGATTTCTCAATTCGACATTATCTAAATGACAATTAAAGAGGTCCTTTCTTTTTGCCTCCTTTTTACATTTTATTTTTTAGCAATTCGTGATTAAGGAACGAAGGAGTTCGTGTTAACCACTTCATTAAAGACACATTCAATAAACCCTTCACGAGTTAAATGCACGCAGAAGGAAAAGAGGATGGAGGCATTGACATTATCTTAGAAGCATGCACACGTCTAATAATCCATAAAACGACCTCCAGCCACGTGGAAAAAATACCCAGAAAGTTACTGACCGTCGAAGCCGCCGAGGCGGGAAACTGGAGCCCCGCCGGCCGGTACGCATCCAGCGCCGAGCCGTTGGCGGATGCTGCAGACAGAGCCAGGGTCTCCGCTTGGGCCACCGGGCAGTTCGGCTCGTGGTCGCCGCACGGGAGGATGCTCTGCTGCGTGGGAAGCAGCAGCTCGCTCTCCCCGGCGTTCATCCCCTCCCACACACACACACACACACACACGCACACACACACCTCCTACTCGCGCCCCTCCTCTGTATGAGTGAGAGAGAGAGAGAGAGAGAAAGAGGAGGGACAGGTGAGTAGATGTGCAACAGGTGGACAGGAACATGCAGGGACTTCTAATGGACATTTGCAAAATACCTGTTTTGATGCAACTTGTGCATCTCAGACACATTCAGATTATTAAATTAGTTCAAGTACATTTTTGCTGCCGTGCAATGACACTATTTGTTGGCATGGGCGCATGACAAGTACATAGTGACTGTACTGAAGTTGCTTCCTGCTCCAGTAGATTATTTCATGATAACATCTACAGACTGCAGAGTCTAAACAGGGTAAATGTACACAGCTGTGCTTTGCCATGCAAACAGTTCCCAACAGATACAAACACGCCACAGGAGAGAAATCAATACAGGAAACAACAGGCTTGTGTTTATTTCACTGCGTCTGCTCCTCCGTCTCCAGTAAGTGTCTTAAAGCTGCTTTCTTTCTCAAAGCCAGCAGGGGGCGACTCTTCTGATTGCAAAAGAAAGTCAGATTGTAATTTACATGAATCTGTTAATATGTGACCCTACTTCTCACTTGATTTATAATCCTAGTAAACAATGTAAATATAATTGTTTATGGGGATTGTAAAGTCGTGTTGTAAATGTTGTGTTGTATTGTGTGTTTTTTTAATACTTACATTACTAACATTAATACTCAATGAATTAATTCAGACTGATCTGACATCAGTTACTGTTTCAATACATTTATTGATCAAACAGCTGATGTTAGAAGAGAGAATAAGTTTCATCAAATTAAGTGTTTGATTTGAAAAGATATGTTAAATATTTCATTATATCTGTTCAGGGTTTTTTTTTAAAACAAAAGAAAATTGGGATTTAGCATAAATACTGCACTTTAGTTATGGATGATTTAATGTGTTCATAACTTCAATGCAGCATCTGGTGAAGGTGGATGTAATTTAAGTGAACTCTACAAACTGCTGCGTAGTTTAATCACACAGACTACGTGTGTGGAAATATAAATAAAAATATATGTTTCCAAGTGTGAGAAAGGGTAATTGTACATAAGTGTCCTTGGTTCACATCTGGTCGGGTTTTTTGTGGTTCCACATCTTTCTCGTCCTTCATTTCCTGTCATCTGTCCACTGTAGCTATCACATAAAAGCATCACATCCTGAAAAAAATAGTTAAGAATGGTGAAAAAATGAAAGAAAAAAACAAACAGCTAATTGTTTTCTGATTCCTGAAAGGTGAATGACGGAATGTAAAACGTTTCCGTTTGTTACAAGAATATAAAATATTATACATTATATTTGCCTTAAATTAAAAATCTAAATATGCCGTGAACACTTCAAAGGACATGAACACATCCGAATGTCACAGAGTTAGAGCGGTAAAGGATTTTCTCTGTACCTGAATGAGTATTGAGAAGTTGAAAGTGAAAATCCAGAACCGGAAACAGAAACTCAATCAGCTCCGACGTCGTAAAGAAGAGTAACTTCAGCCCAACTCTAGTGACCCCCTGGGGAGAGGGGGGGCAAACGGGTAATTCAGCTCCCGGTTTTTGTCTTCAGGAGTTCTGATTCCGTGAGGGAAACACTCTCCTGTTCTCCGTCATTCACTTGTCTGCTCAGGTACTTAACTCTTATTTACCTCCGGATTAATTTAATGCAGGAAAAAACAACTGAAAAACAAAGCAAGCGTCCAAACAAATCTGCTCACTTAGAGTTCCACTCCTGCAGCTCTCAACTAAGTCCTGGTGCATTCAATCATTCACAAGGTGTTGCGGAGGAAGTGAGAGGATGAGAAAGCAGATTCACTCAGTTGGACATGTTTATAAAGCAGCGAGACACACACACACACACACACACACACACACGCACGCACGCACACCTTCATGCGAACACATTGTGTCAGTGGGATGTGTGTGTCTCTAGGTCAGCGCTCTAATGGAAAGTCATTACGTTGATTATCTGCTGACCTGATGCTTGGACACTTTATGCAAATGGACGAGACAAGGACGAACTGATCACTCATTCAACCGATGAACACACGACTGCACAGTGTGTGTGTGTGTGTGTGTGTGTGTGTGTTACTCTGTCTCTAATGGACGACTGAGATCAAACTGAAATCACTTCAAATGGATTTTGACGCCCAAATCTGCCACAAGTCAGCGATCGCTCTAAAAATGAGCTTTTCTCATCAGGAATTTAAATCATTCATTAAATACGAATTGAGTAAAGTTTGAATTGTTCTGAATACGCATAAACGTTGACATAAACAACCCACCATGAACCAATTTGACAAACAAATCTTTCTGCGGAAACATTCTACAACGTGATTTCAAGGATATTTGATTCAAATGATTAAACATTTAAATGTGAGTGCGTGCTTTTGAATAACTCTCTGGCGCTTCACGTAGATTCTTTGCGCAGGAGGCACAGAGAAACACTCAGCAGGACACTTAAACTTCAGCTAATTGAGAATGCAACAGGAAAAAAAAGAGGAGAAGAGCTTAAGTCGCAGCTGCTGACATCAACCGGTTTAAGAATAATCACCATTAATGTGTTAATGTGTGTTAATGTGTGTGTAACCCGCATCCATTTAATCACCTTAACTGATGGGGAGGGATGTAGGACATTGACACGTAAGGACACACAAGGACACACAGAGAAACTTGAAGGTCGTGCCTCTCAGTTGGATTAAAGGTCTGTATATTCCACACAGATGCAGCATCCACAATGATTTAGAAACGGCATTAAGCCTGAAGGGAAAGGTAGATCGGGTCCATTCTCTATTCTTTAATTGTCCTTCAGCTGGCGGGAGATCTTCTTTACAAATATCTACCATTTAGGATGGAGGTACTTCTTCTCGTCTGACGTTTTCTTCCTCCTACACGTCTCTAGCAAACACCTGTATGCTTTTACCGTCAGACAAATTTCACATTTTTCAGCAAACCTGCTGATGTTTTCCACCGATCTGGTGCTCGTCTGTCTCTCAGGACTTCTGCTTGATTGCCAGCTGTTGCAAGAAGCTCCAGGGTGGAGGTGTGTGTGTGCGGGTGGAGGTGTGTGTGTGTGTGTGTGCGCGGCTGAGGGCATTAAAAAAATGAAAAGAAAAAAAATGATTTTTCGTTAAACCTTTAAATGAATTTTCTGTCAATCAGACGTATCATTGGTCACAGGCACAACCTTATTCAAAATACTCAATTATAAACCTGTTTTAAATGGATTTTTCAGAAAGAATTGCACTTTCTGATTCCTGTTTGACTTTTTGACACAAAAAACACAAAATTACTTTTACCGAAAACCAGCTGCTAAACGATCACTGCGTTCAAAAGACGCCTCGTGGAAAGTCAAATGCTGTTATGTTGCACACGTAGCGTCCAAAAGACCTTAATGACAAAACTCCCATCACAAGAAAATGGGGGAAATAGATATTCAGGTTCTAACACAGATTCTACATCACATATAACAATTTCAAACCAATGCTTCTGTCGTAAGTAAACATTCTGCTTTTAACATGTTATCCATTAGTGAACATAAAGGATTTACTGCAGCAGTTGGTGAAAACGCTTCTAGTTTTGAACTGTTAGCTAATCATTATTTCCATATGGATTTTACAGCTAATTCATTTCCATGCCGACACAATTATCCAGAGCCCAACTGGAAACCCTCACAAGGTTTCGTTTTTTTCATGAATTTTATTTTGTATTTTACATACAAATATAGTTGTCCCTGACGCTGTCAGTCAATGATAATGAAGTAGAAGTAGAAAGTGTCATACAAAGAAAAGTACAAGTACCTTGCATCTGTAATTAAGTACAATATCACATCTCTTGTTTTCTCGTTAAAAGGCTCCGGCGGCGCAGAGCTCTATGCTTCCACGAGGAACTAAACTTTCGCACTCATGAAAAGAAAAAAATAGATGACCGTCTCCCGCTTTGACGCTTCCATGCGGCTCCGACCCAAATCGCACACTGTTGTGTAATGCGCATTGGCTAAAAGTGCAGCGCGTGTGTCTCAACGCTGTCCACTCAGAATGATGAGTACAAGTACACATCACACACAAGTGATGCGGTAACTGTGTCAAAGGAGCGGCCGGTAGCCGATTCAGCAGGTTTTACTTTTAAAATGAATGTTTTTGACACACTTAGATAATCGGCAGTGCGGTTGAATCATCGTATAGTTTGGTAGATCAGGCTTTTTGTGTAGAGGCCTCGTTGGTTTAGTTGGGTGCAAACTATTGGCACCTGTTGGTTGGGCGTGTAGGCAGGTGGGACCAGCATGCACCTGGGCAGCCCAATGGTTTTAAACAGAGGCAGAGAGGCGACGCGTGAATGAACAATGGCCTCCCTGTAAAACCTGTGGCATTGTAATTATTGGGGGGGGGGGGTAGTAATTATTGAGGAGGCAGCACTGTGTCCTGGGCTCTAAAGGGCCCAACGAGTCGCCCCCCCTGCCTCACACACCAAGCACAACCCCAAACATTAATTTCCAGGGTCACACCGTGGTACAGATCATCAGTAAGGCTACGGAAAACAGTAGAAACTATTTAATCCAACACCGCCATCAGGTGGACCCACGAGGACACGCGCTGCCTGTGTAAAAATCTGAATATGTAGACAGAATAAAAATCAGAAGTAATCAATAAAAATAATATGTCACAATATATTTATTTTAAATATGTAAATTGAAAAGAATAGGTATTTTGTTAATGTAGAGTTACATTAATATGTAAATTGGGGAAAAAAATTATCTCTAGATTTATGATTTATGCCTTTTCCACAGAATAATAATACGCATAAAACAATAACCTACTCATAAACATATTTAAAACATTTCCCCATAACGTCACGAGTCGTGACGATGCTCTCTGACTCCACCTGCACTTCCTCCACCTGTCGCCCCGCCGTCACAGGAAGTCCCGTTCCAGCCTCCACCAATCCGCGCCGCGGTTTCCAGCTCCCGTACTGGGGGCGGGGCGCTGTAAACACTGCGTTGCCAGGTCACAGCAAAATCCCCCCTTTTATTTGAGGGTTTTTTTCCTTTTTGCGGAACGATCCCTGCGACGCGTCCTTCGCCCCGACGGCGGATTGATTTTTTGTGGGATGGACGCAGGAAACCGGATCCTGGACGCGGTGAACACAACGAGCATCCACTGGAACGGATTTACCAAAACACGGCAGTGGCGAGCGGGGACACCCGACCGGCGGGGACGGGGAGAGTGGCGTCATTTCGCCGTGTTGATCCGCTGCTGGATGGGTGATGATTCCCGGTGACTGTTCGTCCGGTGTCGGATTATCTCCGCTGTGCCACCGAAAGAGAGGCTTCCTCGTCCCGCCGGCCGGCCTGACATCACCGCCCGCTCGTCAGGGGATGAATCATCGCCTTCATCGCGGGCTGCTGGTGCTGCTGGTGGGGTTCGGGATGCTGTCGCTGTACTGTTAACACACATAAAAAAAAAAACACACACACACACACACACAACAGCACCTCCCGCACGCCCCCGCGCGTCTCCTCCCCCCCGCAGCGCGGCGCGTCTCTCCCCGGGAGTCAGCATGGAGGACATCCTGCGTAAACTGCAGAAAGACGCGTCCGGCCACAAGCACAAAGCCCTCCGCGACGCCTGCGTCTACGCCCGCGGTGAGTGCACAGCAGCTCCCCCCACCTGTCTCCCCCCCCGTCTCTCCCAGTCTCCGGCTCTAGTAAAAGGGGTAAAAAGGGTAAAAGCTTTAATGTAACGTATTAAAATTATTATTTTTTATTTTTATTATTATTATTATTATTATGTCGGGAGGCGACGGGGTCTTTGGCAGTGTTTTTTAAGGTGATCAATACTAAAGCCTTATAGTGAGGGAGGGGGGATGTTGGCGTCATCCAAAACAGGTATTAAAAAATAAAAAGTTGCAACCGCTGTATTATGATTTTTGATAAAAAAAAAAAATAAAAAAAAAGCACAGCTGGTCCTTTCAGAAGCATTAATTTCCTTTTAGACCGTTTCATAAAAACACGTGTGATCTTTGCAACAACACCGGCGCTTCCAACGCGGAAGGAACATAAACGCACCATCGTGGCCGACTCCTCTGGAGGCGGACGACCACCGATGTGCTGATCACCAATTAGAGCTTTAGGCTGTTTTTAAAAGGCATGACGTGTGATGACGTCACGGCCCACTCGATCATATTGCACACCAGTTGTGCTTTTAAAGATGACGTGAGGCGATGGGTCTTAATAAATGATCACCCACGCGGACCTTTCTGCTGACTCACTCGCCACCTTCTAGCCGACTGAGGGTTTGTTCCAATGCAAATGATTACCACAAGAGGAAGAGAGCGTTGCACATTTTGAATGGAAACTCCTCGCTGGTCTCGCCGGTGTCGGTCAGTGCTTTCTCCATGAAGTTCTCTCCTCAGCAAAAGCCTCAAACTGCAATCAGAGGACGTCACGCTAACAGAAAATCCATTGAACGCCACTGAAGCAGGAGGAAAAAGCGCTTTCCCACTGACGTCAGTGATATTTATTAGTAATAGAAGGCCAGCCTGACCTTTTGGTGGCAGGTGAAACTCCTGTGACACCGCGAGCAGAGAATGGGCTCAGATTGTGCTGATCTGATGCACGCACACGCGCGCACACACACACACACACACTGCAAGGACATGTTTAACGGGGCGTGAAGAGGTCGGCAGATCTTGGAAACAATCGTGTGCAAGAGCATCGTGCATGTATGAAATGAGGTCTCCGGTGTGACCGAGGCTATCCAGCGCGTCGTACTCCACTTATTTCCACCCTCTCACTGACGTGAACGGACTTCATGTTTTACAGACTGGTTTGAGACGACAAGCCCATAATATGCATCGGATTCGTTCGGCTCTGACGTGTTGTGAAGGACGCGTCCGAAGCGAACGCCACCTTAGACACACACACACACAGACATGCAGTGTGTGATAAACATACAGTGTAAGGGCAAGGACAGCCTGTGCAGAGTCACAGGAGACTCATGCAGCATTATTCTTAACTAACTTTTTTTTTACCCTGCATTTGTGATATTTCAGGCAAATACAACGTTAATAGACAGAAGCTTTAAGGGTGTCCTTAAACCAGCTGAGCCCTGCAGTTTTCATCAAACATACTAGCTAGATAATAAGCTTTTCCCATTCAACTCTGTGAACCCCACATGTGGTTAAAGTTTCGATGACCCAGTAACCATGGTGTTTTATTCCCATTTTCCAGTTATCACCATTAATCCCAATGTTCTCTTTTCTCCCGTTTCCTTCGTTTGCAGAAACCCTGGAGTCTCAGAATGGATCAGTCAAGATTTCCCCCTCAAAGCTTCGGTAAGTTGAACAGTCAGTTCATCTTCACCTCAAAGCTCCAGAGGGCCCGAGGTCAGAAACCTCATGAGCATCGGGGAGGCCGCTGCCTCAGAGCTGCCCGCTGTGCGTTTATGGCAGAGACACGGATAACCAAATATGAAAATTCAAAGTGCTCCTCTCCGAGCCGCGTGGCCAGCGTTCCTCTATTTTACGCACCATTTATGATTTGAGTGATAAACATCAGTCCTGGGATGCAAATATTGCATTTCAGCACAGGACTTGCGCTGTCGCACGTAACCGGGGTTACACACAGCTGCAACAGTATGGTATAATAGCCAAAAGTCAATCGGTCAGATTAATCAATGACCTAATTAATCGTAACTAAGGTGGGTGCACGGCCATTTTTGTTTTCTTTCTAGTAAATGAAGGATCTCTTCTTAAAGTAAAAGGTCAAATGAACGTTGAGAGAAAGGTGCCATGGATTCTGGATGCAGCTCAACGCGCAGTGAATTATTCATTCTGCTGTTTTATTAAGGATTATTGCTTTAAATATTGATGATAATGTATTTTTAATGCCGTGTGATGGTTCGCGTCCATTGGGCTCCTTTGTCTCTACAAAAGAGACACTTCCTGTGACTCACTGACTGAGGAACAAAACGATGAAACGCTGAACTTCATGAACAATTAAAGTTGCCTTTAATGCTGCTTAAAAATGTTACATTGTTAATCAAAGCCTTTTTATTTCCTGCTATGACTCTCCTGGTTGTATTAATATCAAAGTAAGTTACTGTTTACTTTTAGTTTCATTATGGCCAGATGATATCTAGAAGACAAATGTGAAAAGTACTGTCCGTGACTTTGTCTGTGGAAATATTCAGACAACTGAAGCTGTTGCCGAACCACTGAGAGCAACGATGGGGAGGCAGTGTTGTGCAGTGTCGTACCGACGGGTGTGTTGTTGCTCGTGTGTTTGCAGAGAGCGATGTCTGCTGCCTCTCCAGATGGCTCTGGAGTCTAAAAACACCAAACTGGGACAGACTGCGCTTACTGGGATGCAGGTACCTCCACTGGCTCCGCCATCAAGGTTCAGGATGGAACGTGTGGTTGGCGACCACATTTTGGAATTTCCCTTTTTACAAGTAAAATGCGTCTTCGTTCAACTGAGTTGGACATAATCAGTGAGCATCAGCGTCAATCCACTCTGACATCTCGGACTTTTGCCACTGCAGAAAATAAGCCTAAAAATCTGAATTTATTTATTCGGACATCAGGAGGGAAGCTGCTGCTTGATGAAAACTCTCTTCCCTCTGCTGTCGTCCAATCAGAAGCTCCTGTGCGAGGACAGGTTTGTGGGCGGGGTCAGCCGGGAGGTGGAGGTCCTGGAGAAGCAGCTGCTCAGCCAGATGTTGGAGGCCATCAGAGTCACCCCATCCCTCCACGAGGACTTGCAGGTGGAAGTCATGAAGGTAAACCTGCCTGCATATATTCCTGAAATAGTGTCAACTCATATTTGTCATCTGTGACGTTTTCCTTTCATTTTATTTTTTTACTATTTTTTTATTATTTCTGTATCTGCCCCAGAATATTAAACGTCCCTCTCTTTGTTTCTGTCTCCTGTGTGCAGGTCCTGCTTTGTATCACCTACTCACCCAACTTTGACATCAACGGAGACTCCATCCTGCGGATTGCTGAGGTGGGACACAAAGGACCTCGTCATATATTATTACAAAAAAGAGACGTTCTGTTTGCTTTTGCAAAATGAATCAACAATATGCAGTAATGGATATTGTAGATTACTTCAGTACCTCTGGGAACTGAATCCAAGAAACCACAGTGGTTTCTACTGGTTTGAACGGGCCGTCGTCTTCTAATCGGAAGGTGGGAGGTTCGATCCCTGGTGAAAAGCAGGCAGTTCACGAGCTCGGCCTATTTTAAAGGTGACGCTGTGCTCCATCCCTACTCAGCCGGAGGCCTTGTCTCATGCTGTAATCTCATCCATTATTCACATAAATTGAGTTGTGCTGCACACACACACACACAAGGGAGATATTTTCCACCTCACAAGCTGTTGCAAGTTGCAATACTGGACTTACCTGGTTGACTTTAAATGGATTAGCTTTCACATTTATGACGGCGCGTAAGTTAAAATTCAGATTGTGACATCAGTCTTTCCTCACCGATGGATTCATTGGGCTGTAAAGACGTCGCGGAGCAACTCAGTCGCTCCCGACAAATTGTCACTCACGCCCTCTCAGCGCTTCTATCACGGCTCAACATCGGCAATGAAAGGAAGCAACGTGAGTATTTAGTTTGGATGAATAATGAATGTGCAGCGCTTTCCTGCGTCATTCAGAGTGATCGCAGTACTACAACGTTCAGGAGAATGGCAGCTTATAGGCTTCATTTGTCTTTTCTGGCGAGGTTTAGAGCTTTAGCACAAGAGAGGGCTTTTTCTTTGTTGTGGAGAGACAGTTGCCAGGTTGCCGTTGGCAACCATCTTGAGAAATTGACAAAATACTTTCGGTTCTTATCAGTGGCAAAAAAATGAACTTATGAAAAAGTTGGGACAGCAAAAACAATGAAGTCCAAAATACATATATAAAAAATATTTTCTGCTGATATTTAAATGCTCCGAACCAGAGAACGCTGCACATGTGTTCACAGGCAACTGGCCGTTTGTGATGACTATTTTTAATGCCAGGAATTGAGGGGGAACACGTGATAAAGCTACTGCATATTTCTCAATTAACCAAAAAATATAGCTAAAAACTAATATTTTCAGTTTTGCCAAACAAATGCTGACGGTCACCTACATGGCAACCGCTTTAAAAAGTTATCATTGAGCCCGTTTATGGAACATTCTGATCATACAGAACATACAGATCAACAGCTGAGCAGCAGAACCTGCTATTTATTGTGTTTCATTAATGTTTCTGTGCTGTTTATGAGCATTAAACCGCATTCACATTACAACTCAAGCCGATTACAGCTGCCTCTGACACACACTTCCCACAGTCACCTTTTTAAAGAGTGTGTGTGTGTGTGTGTGGGGTGGGAATGTTACACACAGGATATATACTTTTTTATCAAGAATTTATAAGCTGTCTAAATTGAAACCATAAAGTGACCGAGGCTCCTGCAGGGCCTCCACCTGAGCAGGAACATAATGAACAGGCAGTAATCCGCCGCCCTCGTTATCTCCGAGCTCCGACCCAAACGAGTGTCGCCTCTGGTGAGTTTTCCTGTGACTTCATCACTTCACTCGGCAGCACAGTGAGGCTCGGCACAGGTTACTGATGCAGTGATTGGCAGCACTCAGGGATTTATGAACCACCTGGAGCTGGAGGTTAATACCGTGTCACTTACGTGACTCAAAATTAGCTTTTTAAAAGTGGTTGCCAAGTCTGCAACAGGGCCCTCAGGTTACATGTGGATGTACCTACGATTCAGTTTTTCATGGTATTGTGGCATTTCCTTTTGTGCTGTGTCAGTGGCTCATGTTTTATCAAGCAGCTGTTGTTCCCCTAGAGGACAGGAACGGCATTCTGGTCCTTTTAGGACTGCAGCCATAAAAAAAAATGAGTAGAATCAGTAACTTTGGTTGCTTTGAAAAAGTCAAACTGCTGGAGCCGGAGGAGGTTTTCATTTTGGGAGGCTGCACCTTACTCTGTTGTTCATCTCTGGGTCCGGGAGGCTCTGTGATGCAGGTGGTGGAGGTGGAAACATTAACATCACGAGACCTTGTGTGCTTAAACCGGCCGATCCCCTCATGATACTGCAAAGCACTTTTGATAAAAGCCGGTGTCGTTTTTCACAGAGGGTTGCGTTGCTTAGCTGCTCACCAGCTGCTCACTACTTCCACCGATTGCGCCCCCACCTCCCCGCCTCCTCCCCAGTTACAAGACCAATGGGAGGGAGGAGGAGGCGGGGTGGTACCCGTTGACGCCATGGAAACCTCCTCCTAAATCTCCCTGATAGTTCTTGGAGGCTGTCAGGACCTGATCTGCTTTTGTGACGCCAGAAAGGTCGCCACAGCGACAGAATCAATTTAGTGTGTTTGTTTTTGTGTGTGTGTGTGTTTTTAGGTGTGTATCAAGACCTACATGTCCAGCTGTCACCAGCGCAGCATCAACACGGCGGTCCGAGCCACACTGAGTCAGATACTGGGAGACCTGACGCTGCAGCTGAGGCACAGACAGGAGGTCACTCCTTGGCGCAGAACACACACCACGCAATGGCCGTAGACACGGAAGGATAAATGTGATGCAATCAATCAAAGAAACACCATTGCTGCTACACTCATATTAGCATTCTGACTGATATTGCTTTTGTCTGTTTTTATATCGTTCAAAAAATGTGTTCCACCCAGAAAACAAATAAGTAACTTGTGTTTTTGGGGCGAAAACAGGCTTTTAGGTACAGTTTCAGTTGTATTTTGTTACAAGCGTACTGAGATCTCGATGTGTTTAATCTACGCGAACACACAAAGTGGCCCGAGTATGATCAACAACTGCACCCGCCTCAGAAAGACCCTGTGTTGTGCTCCTCCACAGGGGTCCGATGGAGACGAGGCGACTGCCGTGCCGCTGCACAGGAGAGGTAAGTTCACGTGCAGCGACGTGCGCTGAAATACGCATCCGGCCCGCTGTGCAAACACGCAATAGAACCCTGAATAGATACATGGACAAGTGGTTTGCTGCCATGTGAATGTTTGTGTAACAGGGTAAAGCTGCTGATACAGTATTATTATTTTTTTTATGATTTTATATACACATTTTAATAAAGTAGGTGGCATCAATTCACTCGTTGTTGTATGTGTGTTTTTGCAGATATTTCTCCCACCAGCCAGGCGCTGTGTGAAGACGTGGTGACGGTTCTGACAGTGTTCTGTGAAAAACTGGAGTCGGTGGACAGGTAACAACGGCAGTTTACTTGACGTCACAGTCTTTTCTTGTTGTAAAAATATGACAAAGTCAAAATATGGGGGAAAATATTAGGTTGAAAAACGTCATGAAGAAAACGTCAAACTATTGGGTTGAAAAAGTCACAATATGTTAGGACGGAAAAGAAAAAGTCAACTAATAGGTTGAACAATGTCAAGAAAAAAAATTGTCAAAATATGTCACGGGAAAAAATTTAACAAATATTCGGTCAAAATGTTTTGAAAAAAAGTGAAAAAATATCAGGTCGGAATATGTAATTTGCAAAACAAATGTCAAATATATTTTGTCGGAAAAAAAAAGTTTTAAAAAGTGTTAGTAAAAATATGTTATGTCATTAGGTCAAAATATGTCATGAAAAAAACGTAAAAGAACATTAGGTAAAATATGTTCCTCTGAATGTTCTTTGTTCTTGCATCTTTCCATCCTCCAGTGAGAATCAGCTCCTCCAGCTCTTCTACCTGGAGTGCATCCTCTCGATGCTCAGCAGCTGCCCTCCCACAATGCACCTGTCCAGAGGCTTCACCGACCTCGTTTGGTAAGACGTGACACTTTCGGTAATCGAGTGTGAATGAAATTGTGTCAGTGAACTCATTGAAATGCTCAGGAGATGCATCGCATGACTTTCTAAATCTACAATATTCCTTCGCCCAGGAAGCAGCTGTGTCCGTCACTCGTGGCGATCATGGGAAATCCTGTCAACGACAAAACGATCGCTTCCCACCACGGCTACACGGGGCCGTCGGACCGCCTCTCAGACAGACACGGTCTAGGTAACTCGCATGAAACCGTTTCCTCTCCATATTTTCCTGTTTTCCTCTTCAGAAAAATGATCTTGTTTATAGATTATTCTGGTTTAGGCCTGTAGACGATTTTGCGTCTTCGCCCTGCAGGAATTGGCCAGGAGGTCGACCCCTCTGGCGCAGGGGTGTCCGATCACGGCAGGGGGTCCGGCTGCTCCTCCAGCGCCCCCGCCAGGATTGCGGCGGTGGTGCGAACCGTGTGCTACATCGCCGCGGAGCTCGTGCGCCTGGTGAGCTGCGTGGAGTCGATGAAGCCGGTGCTGCAGTCGCTGTACCACAGGATCCTGCTGTACCCGCCTCCTCAGCACCGCACCGAGGCCATCCGCATCATGAAGGAGGTGGGAGCAGGAGAGCCGTAACGCTGACTTTTCTCCCCGCGGCATGCTGTCACTTCGCAGGTTTCCACATTCAGGCAGCCATTGGTTTCCCATCAATGGATACGTGTGTGTGTGTGTGTGTTTTAGATCCTGGGCAGTCCCCAGCGGCTCTACGACCTCGCCGGGCCGTGCGTGGCTGAGCCTGAAACCAGGAAGCGCTCCTTCTCAAAGAGGAAGTCCCACCTGGACCTGCTGAAGCTGTTCGTAACTCATGTTTTTCGTTTGAGTTTTTGCAGAATGGACTCTCTGAAGTTGACCTTTTCGTATAGCCTCTTGTTATAACGTTAGGCTTTTCCCATGGAGACAGTGTTACTTTGCACAAAAGAGCCAGATGTTTTTCATCGATGACTTTCTTGAGAAGAGGAGCAGTATAATTAATTCCTCGCAAGTAAATTAGAATTAAACTCGGGTCTGATTTTTACTAAAAGCCACCAAAGCGGTTATATAATGTGGGTTTTATACGCTTCTTCGTCCTGCTTCAGAGTGATGGACGGGATGACCGAGGCCTGTATGAAGGGAGGCATCGAGGCGTGTTACTCGTCGGTCTCCTGTGCCTGCGCTCTCCTCGGGGCGCTGGAGGAACTGTCGCACGGCCGCGGCATTCAATCCGAGCAGGTACGCCACTGCGACAGGACGCCCCCCCCGAACGAGGCGTGCCGCCGGCATTCTGCGCTTCCCTGAAAAAGAAATCGAGTTTAGCTGCAATCCTCTTGAGAATCTGTGTTTTTCCTCAGGCTCCGCTGCTCCTCAGGCGACTTGCGGACATGAAAGATGGGACGGAGTCGACGCGCGAGTCCATGGAGATCAACGAGGCCGACTTCAGGTGGCAGAGACACATCCTGTCCTCTGAGCAGGCTCCCTGGGAGCCCTGCTCCTCTTCCTCCCACGTGGCTGCCGAGCGCAGCCCCGACATCAGCATCAGCATCACCACGGAAACGGGCCAAACCACCGTGGATCTGGAGGCGGGGGAGCTCGCCGTGGGTCTGGCCCAGACTGCCCCCGAGGAGCGTGGGGAGGACGCACACCTCCCCTCGCTCCCGTCCTGTGGGGACCAGGAGGGGAGCCAGCACGAGCCGAGCGTCGGGGCGAGCGGACGGGAGGAGGGAGGACGGGGAGAAAAAGAGAGAGCTGGAGGAGGAGGTGGAGGAGGAGGAGGAGGAGGTGGAGACGTTGGTGGTGGAGAAAGAGGAGCTGTTGTTCCTCCAGATGTGGTGCAGCGAAGTCACGGCCTGGTCTACCCCGACATCACCAACTTCCTGTCTGTGGAGTCCAGGACCAGGACGCACCCCGGAGGAGGGTCGCGATACAGCGAGAGCAACTTCAGGTGTGTCAGTGTGTAAAGAGCAAAGACCGAAATGATGTACACTGTATTTGCCAACGTTTGCTGCCACTACGCCGTGACAGTATTCTCCAATGCAGCGTGATAAAAAACAACTGCTCTTCCACATAAATGTATATTTCTTTAATTAGATATAAAGTCACCGTCTGCCTTTATAACCACCAATCAGCAGTGTAGAAATGACATCACTGACCTACCTGTCGGCTCCCCAGTATCGAGGAACAGGACTTGTCGCGCACCGAGTTCGACTCGTGCGACCAGTACTCCATGGCCGCGGAGAAGGACTCGGGCCGCTCCGACGCGTCGGACATCGGCTCCGACAACGCCTCGCTGGCGGACGAGGAGCAGCAGACACCTCCGCGACTGCCCGAGACACCCGCTCGCTGCGCAGCGCCGCCCTATCTCTCTAGCTGCTGCGCAACCCAGGAGGCCGACCAGCAGAGCGCCAAGCTGTTCGCGCAGTCGCTCGCCGCGCTGCTGCCCCGGCTGCTGGGACTGGGCTCGGCCGCCGAGGTGGACCTGTCGCTGCAGAACTTCTCCTCGGCCTTCTGCTCCGGACTGCAGGCCGGTGAGAGACCGAATGCAGAGGGTTAGATTCAAACCCTAAGAGTCTGAGTCTGAGTGTGTGTGTGTGTGTGTGTGTGTGTGTGTGTGTGTGTGTGTGTGTGTGTGTGTGTGTGTGTGTGTGTGTGTGTGTGTGTGTGTGTGTGTGTGTGTGTGCACGCTAAACAAACACAAGGTATTTGCCGAAGGTGGAACGATCCGTGCAGCTGTCTCTTCCTGTTATAATTCAGCTGTTGTTTGAGTCCCACAGAAACACTCACTGATGAATCTCTGAATACACGACTCTCCGGGGTATTCAATAATATATATATATACATATATATATTTTTTAAATTTAAATATATATATATATTTTTTATATATATATAAATATACATTTTTTTTTTAATTTATATATATATATATTATATATATATATATATATTTTTTAAATTTATATATATATTTTTTTATATATTTTTTATATATATATATATATATTTTATATATATATCTCACAAGTCAATTGTGAGTTTCTTCTTCTTCTTTTAGCCTCTATAAATAGTTCATCACTTCACAGCAGTTTTAATCAAACATTTTGGGCCTTTTTATGCACTCATTCCGCTTTATCTCCCCCCCCCCCCCACTCGTCTTCCTCTGAATACTACTACTGAATATTTTTTAAAATCATGGTTAGTTTTTTGTCCCAAAATGTCAGAGGAATGTATAAATAAGCATTATTCGGATCTACATCCCACAAAAGTCATGTGTTGTTGCCCTCTCTGGTCCCCCCCGTGTCCCCTCCAGGTGGGATCCACTCGCCAGGCTTCGAGGACGGAGACACCCTGAGCTGTCAGTCCCTGATGAACGCCGACGGCCTGTACCTGGTGTCGTACTACGCTCTGCTGCTCAACCTCAAACTCTGCTGCTGCGACTACTACCGGCGGCGCACGCTCGCACCCGTCCTCAGCCTGGTGAGCAGCAAACCCCCCCCTACCACACACACACACACACCCTCCCCGGTGGTGGAGCTGCACACTTCTACCACCGCTGCTCGCTTCATGCATGAAGAAGAAGAAGAAGAAGAGCGGAGGAAAATGATAGGAGAGAATATCCGGAGGAGGATGGATGCTGATGTGTGCTGTGTGTTCCTGCAGAAGGAGTTTGTGCGTCTGATCCAGAGCAGTGGCATCCTCGTGGTTCTCTCTCAAGCCTGGATCGAGGAGCTCTACCGTCAGGTGTTAGAGCACAACCTGCTGGGCGAGGCCGGGTACTGGGGCTCCCCGGAGGACCACGCGCTGCCGCTCATCACCGTGCTGACCGGTACGCGCGCCTTCACCTCAACCTCTGTCGTTTTTTTTCACCTTGAAGATGACTAAGCAGATGGGAAACTTTGGACATTTTCTTTGACACCATGTTGCTAAAATTCTTCAGAACCTGTGTGATTGCACGTCATTGTTGGCTAATAGAATCCTCTAAAATAATCACAACAATTGACAACTTATTTATAAGTTCCCTCCTCCTCCTCCCCGCTCAGATGTAGACGGTCTGGGCAGCAGTGCGATTGGAGGACAGCTGATCAGGAGGGCGTCCAGCAGATCGCCGCTCAGCTGTGACAAGGCGGGCAGTGACACAGTGTTGGCAGGTCAGTGGACCAAACCCAAGGAAAGTCACTGATCGTTCATTCACCGATTTACCCAGTGAACTATTCATTGGTTCCGTATCGCTACAAGCCGAGCACCATTAATTAAAATGGGTTCGCTCGGCCCTGAAACCGTGTTAAGTGAAGCATCCCGGGTTAGTGATGCTTGGTCACGTTCTCTCATCTTCTTTTGTGTTTCTTTGGAAATTGGGAAGCACAGATGAGCAAAGCAATAACTAATGTAATGACAAATAGTGGGGTGTTTAGTTTATAAAAAAAAATCAAAATCAAACTGGACTGTCGATATATATAATCATCAATTAACGTAACCTCCAGGGGAATATTAATAATGAAATAGGTTTATTGGTTGAAGAATTTATGTTTTTTATGTTTATATAACAATATATTTTGGGTTTGTCTCCATTAATCAAAGCATCACGTTGTAAAAGTAAATATTGGTGGACGGTACGGAGTGTTTCATAAATGTTATATTTCCCCCCGCCGCGCCTGGATTATTCTATTTTAGTCTAAAAAGGACAAAAAAAAAGGTTAAATTGCAAAAAAGCGGAGTGGGGATAGAAAAAGCAAAAAAGGGTGTGAGGGGAAAGAGAGAAAGGAGAAGGCCGACTCAGAGAGAGATGGAGAGAATGAGTCAAGGACCACCTGCTCTCCTTCTGCTGTTCCCTGGAGGACAAAGGCTTGGGCGGGGTTGCCATGGTAACGGCTGCTGAGTCACTCCCCCGATGACAGATACGCTCTTTTTAGTTTTTTTGTTGTTGTTTTGTGTGCATGTGCATCTGCTACTCCGGCCACTTATTGTATAAACACGGAGTAACAGCTCTGCTTTGCTGATGAAATTTGTCGTCCGATCTGTTGCGTCACGTCTTTGACCTCATTCAAGCGTTTGTGTGATGTGTTTTTTTTTCCAGGGGCAGTGTTCTCGCGCTTCATCCTCACCGGCGTGTGGAAGAACCTGATCGACGTGCTGTCCACGCCGCTGACCGGCCGCATGGCGGGCAGCTCCAAGGGCCTGGCGTTCATCCTGGGGGCGGAGGGGGTCAGGGAGCAGAGCCAGAGGGAGAGGGACACCATCTGTCTGAGTTTGGACGGCCTGCGCAAAGCGGCCGCGCTCAGCTGCGCTTTGGGTGGGCGTCGCGTCCGTCTCACGCGTCTTGTGTTAACGAGAAAAGAAACTGTGCACGTTGTCCCATCCGACTGTCTTTCTCCTCAACATGCAAAGGTCAAAGGTCAGGGTTGTCTACGCTGCCAATAGATGTTACCGAATGTTAATTAAAATAGGTCAAAGTCAAATAAGAGGCACGTTTGTGCGATCTCTCATGGAATCGTCCCGCCCGCGTGTGGCTCCTTTCTGAATTTCAGAATGTTCTAATTGGGTCCAACACAACAGCATTGAATTAAAATGGCTTTATTGGCACGTGTGGATGCAGCACAGATTGGGGTTGATTGACCTTTCCCTCCATCACCGACCAACCAATCACTCCCCCACACCTCGTTGCACACAGGATCAATCCGCGCATGAAGAGTCCCTCCTCCCCAATACACCTCAAGAAACGTCCATTCCTTTCTCAAAGAAATGAACCTAGACTAATTGTATTGTGTATTTTGTGTATTTTTGAATGTATGTGCTTTGTTTTGTAGGTGTGGCTGCTAACTGCGCCTCAGCTTTGGCCCAGATGGCCGCAGCCTCGTGCGTGCAGGAGGAGAAGGAGGAGAAGGAAGTGGGCGAGATGGGCGACGCCATCACACAAGGTACCGAGAGCCGCTCGCACCGCGAGGGGACGCTGGGATGAATACACACACACACACACACACACACGCACACGATAACACAAAGCAACCTAAGCACGGGCCTTGCACATGTAACCTTATCAGGCTCCACAGCAAAGAACGACACTGAAGGCTGAAACATATGTTTTCGCTCTTTGCCCAACTCGCTTTGGCCAAAGTTTGATTGACAGATTGTTTATCCAATCATCTGCCTCGTATTTAGTGCGTGTGGTGCCTGCCCTTTTTCCCATCCATCTCTGACGATGGCGTCTTTAGGAAAGGTCGCACTTGCATATTGATGCTTGGTGACACTCTATGATGTAGAATTCTCTCGGGAGTGAGAATCTGGTCTTCCAATGAACGGGAGTACGCACCATCAAAGCTGGATTAAGTGGTATAAAGCTTGTGGATGCTTGATTGTGACATATAATACCTACATGTGTACCGTATGTTACACATGTGCAGTGAAGCAGCGCGTGGAACATCGTCTGGAGCAGATCGGTCGTCCTCAGGGCGTTCGCCTCCACACGGCTCACGTGCTGTGCATGGACGCCATCCTGAACGTAGGCCTGGAGATGGGCAGCCACAACCACGACTGCTGGCCGCACGTCTTAAGGTGCACACACACACACACACACACAGAAATAATGCGACAGGCTGCAAGGTACTGAATATTGGTGAGCTTACACAGCAATGCTAGCTGCTAGCCAGTTTCCACCATCCATTTCTTCTACATATGCAAATGTAGGCAGTTGTATGCAATTTCTACACCGGTTTCGGTAAAATTGACTCAATCTGCCTGGTATTCTACCGCGACCTCCCACTGCGCTCGCCTCCCCTCTCTCTCTCTCTCTCAGGGTGACTGAATACGTCAGCTCGCTGGAGCACACTCACTTCAGCGACGGCACCTCCCAGCCGTCGTCTCTGACCACCATCACCCAGCAGAGCCAGCAGGCCGGCGCCGTGGACCTGGGGACGGAGCTGAGCTGCGAGCCCAGCCCGGAGGCCTCGGAGCTGGGCCTGAGCCAGCCGGTCATCCAGCCCCTGTCCATCCAGGAGCTGCTGAGGGAGAGGAGCAGGGGCCGGGGTCCGGACCTGAAGAGCGGCAGCCTGATGACTGGGACCAGTGCCGCCAAGGCCGTGTGTACGCTGTCCACGCAGGCCGACCGGTAACATTCATCTCAATAATCACACCAGTACACACATGTTTTTTTAGTACTTTGATAAATCTCCACTCGTCTTGTAATGCAGCAGATGCTTTTCTCACAACAACCACAAGGTGGCAGCAGCAGCAGCGCTACCTGAGATTGTGGATTAAACAGAGAATTGGGTCTAGGTCAAGTTCAGAGTCCTCACGGGTATCTAAAAGTACAAACGTGTCTGTACAAGTGTGCGGGCCAACAGTTCTGTGCTGGTTAAAAGTTTGGCACAAGCAGGGAATAAACTGTGTTTATTTCAAGGATCATCGCTTATGTAACCGGTTATGCACGCTGCTTTTAGAGGCAAAGAAATGTTCCCTCTGATCTGTTGCAACAGATGGACAGAACACATTTCCAAGCTTAAAGTGCAGCCAAAACACAGTAAATGGTCCTCTGCAGCGGGCTGTGAGCTTCACGGGCCTTGAAACCTTGTTCCTCTGCACTTTGCTACAATGTTTTCACTTCACAACCACTCAAACGCTGTGATTCTTTAATGTAATTTTCTCCTGTGGATTTTCCCGTAGGTGTAATGAAAACACTGTGTGTGCGTGTGTGTGTGTGTGTGTGCGTTCCAGGTTGTTTGAAGAAGCCGTCACCAAGCTGAACCTGGTCGGCCTGGTCGGCTTCCTGCAGCAGCTCAGGAAGGCGTCTCAGTCTCAGCTGTTTGACTCCGTCACTGAAAGCGGAGACTATTCTCTGGCAATGCCAGGTACACACACACACACACACACACACACACACACACACACACACCTCCATCAGTGAATCCTTGCATTAGCTAATACCTTGAATGGACATATAATTAAGCTAAAGTGACCATAATTCTGACATTAAACTACAATCCATCTAGAAGGAATACAAGGGAAACTAGAGTTTCCTTCTATTCTTAAAAGCTCTTTCAAATGACAGATTTACAGACACAGAATGGCTCAACATTTAATGTCTCTATCCCCCCGAAGGGGAGGCCAAGTCCACCCTGGACCGGCGCAGTGCTCTCCATCTCTTCCGTCTGGGCGAGGGCATGCTGAGGATCGTCAGGAACCGGAACCGACCTCTGCTCCACATGATGCGGGCCTGGAGCGTCGTGGCACCGCATCTGGTGGAGGTAGGACCGCTTCTATCTCCCGGGGGGGGGGGTCAGCGGGGGTCAGCGTGGGGAACCGCTTGGCGCAGTTACGCAGGAACGCCATGTCGTGTCTTCGCTTCCTCCTTGCATCTACGTTCTTCTCAATGAGATGAATTCAAAATGCCCCTTATTGTTCTTAACACGGGGTCTTTAACCCGGGGATGACATGAAAGAAAATGACCTTCAAGAATTAGCATCAGACTGTAGCTAAAGCTCGCTGCTAAGACGGTAAGAGGTTCTTCGTCCCGCAGGCGTCGTGTCACAAAGAGCGCCACGTGTCCCAGAAGGCCGTCTCCTTCATCCACGACGTGCTGACCGAGGTGCTGACGAGCTGGGCGGAGCTCCCGCACTTCCACTTCAACGAGGCGCTGTTCAGGCCCTTCGAGCACATCATGCAGCTGGAGCTGTGTGACGAGGACGTCCAGGACCAGGTGGAGTCGACTCGCACCGACACGCAATCCATAAAACCAGGCGCGCGGGTTCGCCCAAACGCGGTCAGGAACGAGTCTCCGGGTTTGTCTTCCCCCCCCCCCCGCAGGTGATCACGTCGATAGGCGAGCTGGTGGAGATGTGTTCCCCTCAGATCCTCTCAGGGTGGAGGCCTCTGTTCAGCGCTCTGAGGACCGTCCACAGCAGCAAGAGCGACACCAAGGACTACCTGCTGGGGGAATACTCCATGGGTACCAACGCACACACACCTTTATAGAAAATAAGTCATCTGACGGAAACAACCTAATGCTGTTTTTGCCCCCCCCCCCCCCCACTCCTCCTCGTGTCTCTCCTCCAGGGAAGTCCCAAGCTCCGGTGTTTGATGTGTTCGAGGCTTTCATCAACACCGACAACATCCAAGTCTTTGCCAACGCTGCGACCGACTACATCATGTGCCTCATGAAGTTTGTCAAAGGCTTAGGTTTGTCTCACTTCATTCGGTTCACTACTCTGACACACAAAAAGGTTGTTTTTACCAAGTCTCTATTGTGTGTGTGTGTGTGTGTGTGTGTGTGTGTGTATGTATAGGAGAAGTGGACTACAAGGAGATCGGAGACTGTGTCCATGCGTCGGGTTACAGCTCCACTGACCTCTGCCTGCCTGCTCTGGACTACCTACGCAAATGTTCCCAGGTATGACGCTCTTTTTTTTAATTAGAGTTTGTTAAACCCCCCAAAAAATCATCGATTAGCTTCTGATAGAAGAAGCATAGATGCACGTATTCGATCAGGGGGACATAATTGAGCTTTTTGATTGACAGCTGCTGGCAAAGATCTACAAGATGCAGACCAAGCCGGTGTTCTTGGGGGCGCGGCTCGCCAGCCTGCCAATGAGATCCCAGGAGCGCTCCGTCAGCACCGAGGACGGGATGGACTGCGTGCTGCAGGAGTTTGACGACGAAACGGGTAACGAGACGCAACGGTCTCGTTTCTCTTTTTTTATTGAGCTTTTCTTCTCCGTCGATCACTCTCTCCCTCGGCCCCCCTCCCCCCCCCCCCCCACCTCCTCCCCCACCCCCGTCCTGCAGGGCTCATCCAGGTGTGGATTCTGTTGCTGGAGCAGCTCACAGCGGCGGTGTCAAACTGTCCCCGCCAACACCAACCTCCGACCCTGGAGCTGCTCTTCGCTCTGCTCCGGGAGGTCTCCGCCGTGCCAGGTAACGCGCACGCGGACGGGGGGGGCGGATCTTATTGTTGCCGATCGCTACCACAAAAGAATCCGTCACCCCGACCTCAATCCAAATGACCTTGCGCCTCGTCTCCTCACCCGCAGGTCCCGGGTTCGCCATCTTCTCCGTCATCCAGCTGCTGCTTCCGGTCATGACGCTGTGGCTGCAGCGTAGCCACGGCGACCACTCCTACTGGGACGTGGCCGCGGCGAACTTCAAACACGCCATCGGCCTGTGCTGCGAGCTGGTGGTGGAGCACGTCAACAGCTTCATACACTCAGGCGAGGGCGCAGCTGTTTTGTCCCGCTGGCCACACCGCTGCACAGCAGATTGTTTCACATTTCTTTTTCAAACGGAACAGCAATCACCCAGTAAAAGTTTGCAAAAGTTTTAGTCCATCAACACCTTTTCCTCCAAGTTCTCAAGCAGTGAGAAGTCTTTGAGATACTAAATAGTTACACCGACGTTGCTCCACGTAAACCGCGGGTTAGCTTCCACTGTTGGCCGCCTTTTTGAGATAAGCTCTGGAGAACTGTATTGTTTTTAAAGCTAAGCCGTCCTCTTAATCGGGCAAAGGCTCCCTGGCGGTCAAATATTTTTCGTGCTCCTGCAACAACATTTGCCATTTGTCCTTTTCAACCAATGCAACACGCAGTAGAGACGAGATATTCTTCACGCACCGTCACGGATGTGATGAATTTTCATTGCTTGCCTCGTGTACAAAGTGTGTTTGTGCAGACAAAGTGAAGCAGATTGATGACTCGTTATTCCACTGCCCTCTTTAGTCAGATTAAATTGCAGCCACTTCGACTCAATCCTGCGTGCTAACGGTTTGCCTTGTTGTGGTGTGTGTGTGTTTGTGCCTCTGCAGATATCGGTTGTGAGTCCCTGATCAACCTGATGCTGAAGCATCTGTTCAAGCTTCTGGTGGCGTGTGTGTCTGAGCCTGCAGAGACCATCTCCAGAGTCGGCTGCTCGTGCATCAGGTGACGACGCTTAATCACCACACTGGAAATCGTGTTGACAAAAATGATGAATCGTCTGAAACTGCTTAGAAAGGAGAAGGCGGCTGAAATATCTACCGTGGCTTGTCAACATGCAATAAATTGAAAATGAAAAATGAATAATAGATAATTAACGGTGGACAGTCGTTAGAAAGTGTGTGATCATTTCTAGGTTAGAGGTCATCTAAGCCCTGTTTCTGTCCGTCTCTCTCAGGTATATTCTGGTCACCGTGGGTCCGGTGTTCACAGAAGAAATGTGGAGGTTGGCGTGCTGTGCCCTGCAGGACGCTTTCTCGGCTACTTTAGAGCCCGTCAAGGTAAACGACACGATTACATGCAGATCTCAAGTTGTGTATTTTTAAAACTGTTTAGCCGTAGATAATGGATCTGTGTGTGTGTGTGTGTGTGTATCAATAGAGGGGACACAGCACCATTCTATTCATGCAATTTGTGTTCTTCTGACCGACTGCTGCTAAGCAGCTTTGCAGCTTAGAAACAAGCTGGAGGGGGGGGAGCGAGAGGGGGTGAGAGACTTTTAAGTTTTTAATGTCTTCATCAAAAGCATTAAGAAAGACAACAATGAAATGTGGGGTCCATTTTTTACATTTTGTCCTTTTGGATCCGTCTCGCAGATGATCACCTTTTGTCGAAGGATATCGGATAAAACTCTCTTTATCTCCACAATGCGTCGGGAGTTTCTAGGGCTTAAAACTCTCAGTTTAATATTTGAAATCTCAGCATATAGCTTAACGTGCTCTTAGGCACACTGACCGATATTTGTTTATGTAACAGTTTTTGTGACTCTTGCAACAGTTTGGTTTTATCCGGGACATTATATTTCTTCTGGTCTTGTTGCCGTTTACATAAGACTGACCTGTTATCAGCGAGGCAATAAATATGCAATGACTACATTTTTTTTTACCTTTGTGTATGCGAATACGTTACGTGCATTCCAATTAACAAATTACTTTAGCTTTTCTGAACCTCAAAATCAGGACGTCAGATGAATACAACGTCATTTATTACACTGCTTCATTTAAATGTAGGCTTAATTCACCAGATGAAACGTGTTTATCCAAATATCCTATTTTACACACTCACATTGATTTGCAACAGAGGAGGATTTTCTGAAACACCCGGATGTAAATGGGAGGGAACGCGTGGTGTTCATTGGAAACTGGCAGCCGTGAATATGACGCTTAGTCTTTAACATGAAGCTTATGGTTTCCCACACGTCCGGCCGCGACCTTCCACTCGGCCTGTGGAAAAGGCTGCATTTACCATAAGCACTGCAATGGGGTCACATCAGATATAATGCGGAGGCTGCATTAAACTGTGTAAAACCTCCTGAGTTCAGCAATAAATCCACATGTGGCCCAATTATACCGCGTTGATGGAGTCGACGTTTTTAACACAAGCTATTTATTGTATTATTGTATTTCGACAGGGGTTTGCATCATGCAATCAATGGGGGAAGTTTTTTTTCTTTCTCCCTGAAAGTGTATCTGTGCCTCCCTGTTGCATCAACGCTCAAACGTCCACCGGACACAAGAGGAGCCTGCAGGTTGACTCTCCTCTCCGCGTCTCTCTGCAGAACCTCCTGGCGTGTTTTCACAGCGGTTCGGACAGTTTTTCCGGAGACGCCTGCGAGGTGAAGGTGGCGGCTCCGTCTCACTGCCCTTCGGCCGAGGCGGAGTACTGGAGGATCAAAGCAATGGCTCAGCAGGTCAGCGTCCCCCGCGAGGACCGCGGATGAGACGGAGGATTCATCGTATTTTTAACCGCGTAGAAGTCAGACGGGAACGTTGAGTCACTCTCAAGTACACGGCTCGATGGAACAAAGTGCACAGCGCAGCGTTCAGCGGCGGTCCGTGTCTCTGCAGATTAAAACCGTATGATTATGTCACGCTGTATTGCATTTGATTTATCAGCTTTTCTATTTCTGCCTCACCCGGAATCCGCTCTTTGGGCTTCTCGGGCCGAGGATGTAAAAAAAAAAAAAAGAGACACGCACGCGGTTATGAAACTAAAGACAGTAGAATAGTGTAATTCTGTAGAAGTGTCCTTATCTGAGCTTCATGCAGAATCTCTTTCTTGTCAGCCAGCAGGGAGATGATTTATTTATTGAATTTATCCTTTAAAGTACCACCACATCCTTTACAGCACATGGGACCCGTAAAAAGACCCTTTCGCCCCCCCAGCAGGGCTGAAAGTAATATTCACGCATATTTATTTACAAACATTATATGCTAACTGCAGCACGCAGCTGTCCTCTGTGTGTCCCAGGTCTTCATGTTGGACACCCAGTGCTCTCCGAAGACGCCCAACAACAAGGAGGGCTTCGAGCACGCTCAGTCCTGCGTTCTCGTCATCGAGCTGCCGGCGGACCAGCAGGCCAACGGGCACGCTGAGAAGAGGTGCGCCCAAACGCCCACGCACAAGCCCGCTTCAAACCGCTTTCATTTTCCACCTTCACGCCACAAAAAAAAAAGCTTTCAGCACGAATTGAGACATCGGTGGTAATTGTTTCGGAGGAGTGTTGTTTGAAATAAGGACAAAACTGACCGAATTTGCTTGTCTTTCTGCTGCTGTGGTTGAAGGAAAATTGGGTGAGGCAGTTTTCTTTGACGTTGTTCCTCGGCACATGTTGGTCTTAATGAATAGTAATGAAAGCGACTCCCTTTGACCGGCTCCTGAACCCGGCAGGATTCCGTTCCGCACCATCGTGGTCAGCCTGCTGTCGCACCAGGTCCTGCTCCAAAACCTCTCCGACATCCTGCTGGAGGAGTTCGTCAAGCAGCCCGAAGGCAGCGAAAGGGTCACCCCCGTGACCTCTGACCCCGGCCGTGCCTCAGCGGGCTTCCTGCGCTACATCTCCATGACCAACTTGGCCACAATCCTGGATCTGCTGCTGGACTCTTACAGGTTAGTGCAACTAGAACATCAGACGATATCCAGATACTGAGAGCTGCTTTCTAGTGATGATGATGATGAAGATGATGATGATGATGGTCGGCTTCACACTGACTGATTTCTCCCGCAGGACAGCGCGAGACTTTGACACTCGGCCCGGCCTCAAGTACCTGCTGATGAAGGTGTCGGGTGTCTGTGGAGCGGCTAATCTCTACCGTCAGTCCGCCATGAGCTTCAACCTGTACTTCCAGGCGCTGCTGTGCGCCACCCTGAGCCAAGCCGACAGCATGACCGCACAGCAGGTGGCGCCGTCTCAGCCCTCGGGTTGTTTTTATCTAATACCCATAATGTCCATTTTATGTCAACGGTGGATCTACACCCGCCCACCCTCAGCGCTACAAGGCTTTTTAATTATGTTATCAAACGTTTTTTAACTTGATCATTTCTCATAAATCCACTTCATGTTTAAAAAAAACACCCTTTTCACTACCTACGAAGTTAGTGGACCAGACAATAATAATAATAATAATTTTTATCTCAAAAGAAATAGTGGTGGTGCAAAATCATGTTAACTATTAGAATTTAAAACATCAGACGTGTGATCGTCAGCTTGAAAATGATTCATGCAGCTTTACGTTGATTTATATTTGACCTTTGGGAATTTAATTTAATTTAATCAGTTTTTGGGAATAAATGCATGAAAAATAATGCAATAGAATTTGAACAAATGATTTTTTATTGATTAAATCAGACCAGTTGTAACCTACTAAACACGTGAGGACCTGGAAACATTGTGATAATAAGTAAGAGGTCATCAGTGATCAAGAGACTCATCAAACCTTTCGTTGTATTTAGGTGAAAAGGATGCTGCGTGAGGAAGATGAGGGGAGCTCTGATTCTTCTCATCCTGGCTCTGCTTCCTCTGAGGACGAAGACATCTTTGAAGAGACGGCACAGGTGATGCAAACACACACACACACACACACATAGACACAGACACACACTCAGCGGTTCTCTATTGATAATAGGTGAATTCCAACTCATCCATTTCCCTCCTTTCCCCCGGGCAGGTCAGCCCCCCTCGCGGCCGGGACAAACGTTATCACTGGCGGGCCCCCATCCCGTCTCTCAGCGTGCAGCCGCTGAGCAGCGCTGACTGGGCGTGGCTTGTCAAACGCCTCTACAAGCTGTGCATGGATCTGTGCAACAGCTACATCCAAATGCACCGCGACCTGGAGAGCACGCTGGAAGAGATGGCGCTGCAGAGAGGCGGAGGGGGAGGGGGAGGAGGAGGAGGAGATCATGTCTTCTTCCTGCCTCTTTTCCAGTCCGAGACTTCCACTCCGACTTCGGCGAGCGGGCTGTCGGCGAGGGGGACGCCGTCGGAGGACGGCGGGCACAGGTGCCAGGCGGCCGACAGCTCGGCATCCCCGGGGGACACGCCCACTCCCAGCCCGGGATTCAGGTCTGTCGCCTTCAGGGTGCATCCGTCTCATTAACGGGTGTCTCCACCTGCCACACAACAGCTGGCGCCTCACGTGTGCACCGGCATGCAACCCCTGCACATGTGTTTTACTTACATGCCTTCTCCTCTCCATTTTTGCCCAAGCCATGAAAACTCACTGGCGCGTTGCTCATGTTAACTTTGCCCTTTTGTGAAGTGACCCGTCCGGTTGCGGTGACCCGTTCCTTTCGTCCTCACAGCTGCACGGGGAGTCTGCCCCACCACATCCGGCCCGAAGGCGAGAGGAGGAACTCCGGGACGGCGGCAGGCTGTGCGGGAGGAGCGGGACGGAGAAAGGAATGGTGGGAAAGCGCCGGGAACAAACTGTACACGATCGCCACGGACAAAACCATAAGCAAGCTGATGATGGAGTACAAACGCAGGAGGCAGCAGCAGGCGCCGCAGCAGCAGAGCCACGTCAACCTGTTCATGAAGGAGCAGGGCCGGGCGGCGGCGGCAGCGGCAGGAGGCGACGGCGGCGGCGGCGGGGGGGAGAGGCCCCTGCAGAGGCCCCAACATCTGGTGGACCAGCAGGGTCCCGCCATGAGGCACTCGGTCAGTGCGGGACCCGAGGTTCTGAGGCAGGACAAGAGACCACGATCAGGATCCACCATCAGCTCCCACGGCATCTCTCTGAGGGACGCCGAGGCTCAGATTCAGGTGCCGATGCAATTTTATCCTCACACAGATTCTTAACAACATAAGCAGTTTATTAAGATAAACTGCACTAAAGAACAGTTGATTTAATGCAGCTTTTGTCCTCTAATTTCAGTAAATCCGGTGGTGGGATGTTTGACAGATTTAAAACAAGATCTTTAGGAGAATAAGTCTTTACGGTTCTAGTGGGATCTTTTCTTATGCGTCACTATTTTAAACATTAAGGATCTTCTTTCTCTCCCGTCGCAGGCGTGGACCAACATGGTCCTGACTCTCCTCAATCAGGTCCTCCTGCTGTCGGATTCCTCGTTCCTGGCGCTCCAGCCGGCGCTCTACGCCTGCATCAGCCAGCTCTCCTGCCACGTGAGCGACGGCCGCGTCCGCCAGGCGCTGCGCGAGTGGCTGTGCCGCGTCGGCAGACTCTACGACATCAGCGTGTGACGTGGCGGCGAGGAAACCACCGAGGACGCAGACGGACGGAAGGCGAACGACGTTGGTTTGGCGGCGTGGCGGATTCCTGAAGTAATTCACTAACTTGATGCAAGGCAGAGTCATGAGCACGCCGGTTGGTGGTCTCTGATGTCCTCATGTGGACCGGTGCCACTTTTCGAAGAGCGGCACGTGACATTAACGGCGTGCGGGATTTAGCGGCATCTGGCGGTGTGGTTGCATGTTGCCACTCCGCTCTCTTCTCACCAAGGCCGCGGTAACAAGCTCTTTTTCTCTCTCCCGGAGGCCTCCCTGACCACGATGACACCACTCGAGGAGCAGTGGAACCAGCGGTTTGCTCTCCCGCAGCTCCCGTTGCCGTGGTTTCACTAGCGCGTTGCGTAGCGCTGTTGAAAGGCTCCCGCCGGGTTTGGTTTGTCTGCGCCGGGCTGCTGTAGATACACGATGGACTCCAAACGCTGATTCTTACTCTGCATATATTAACTGAATATTACAGTGCATTTCTGCTAATCGGTCACGCGGGACGCTCCGCGCTGGCCCTTTAAGTGATTGGCAGGTGAAAGGACGTGACGTGAGAATGAAGGGTTTGGTTTGTGTATGAAGGATTCTTTGTATTTCATGGAAACGTACTGTGTCAAAGCTTTTAAATATGATATGCTTGTTGTCAGTTTTGGGACACGCTCATGATCCTGTCGCAGTATTGTCCCCAAATGCTCGATAAACAACAACTTTGAATTTTTGCTTCAGCCTAAAGTGGATGCAGACTTCAAAGTGTGCAAATGTGCAGAGTTTTGATTGCTGTTTAAGTTTATTTGCCCTTTTTTAAAAGGTCCCCAGTGGCGTTTTCTTGGAACACTGCTGTCAGCGGCTGTTGGGGGGGATCAATGGCGTAGAATTAGATTCTTGCAGCCATCTGTCCGTTTGACGCTCCAGCTGTTCAACATCCGAGTGTTTCTTTGCTCCCATGAGCTGTGAGAGCGTCAGATTCAAACCAAAGGGACGCGTCCTCATCAAAGCTCCATGTGGTCAAAAACGCTGCAAGGTACCTTTTGAGGAAAAGTATATTTCGTTATAACCATGGAGGGAGGGTTGAACTCTGCTTTGGCCATTATTACTTTGCATTGTTGTATTTAGTTCCCAATCAGAGCGTTCGGTCCGTTACACCCGACAGAGACGTGCTTTACATGGTACATAAAAGTGTTTTTTCTGCGGTGCATTTTCTATATCCAGCTTTGAATCCTGTGCGGCCTCATTTATCACCTTCAACTTAATTTCTGAATGTTTATTATACACCCTAAAAAATTCTGGAATTATTATATCACCAAAGTGGAGTTATCGAGTATTTATTTAAACCAAAACAAACTCACAGTATGTTTAATTTAATGTTGAATGCCTATAATATTGCTCTTGTATGTGTTTCAATGTATTTATGTAAATGCTTTGTTATTAAGATACTTATCCCTCAGATTTACAGATTACTCTTTGCTACCCATCATGTTGTCAAGTGTGTCTTTGCAAGAAACCTAATGTGCATCTTAGTTTACTCTTCGCCCCAGTGTTTGCAGCCTGTAAATATCAATTCAGCTGTTTTTTAATGTAAGTGGCAACCTGCCGGCATGTGAAGCGAAGCAGATCGAGAAGTGCCTTAAACTTGCATCCTTTGTAGTGAGCATCAGGGAGCCTGAAGCCTCCTCCAACACAGCATGACGTTTATTTAATCGGAGTCACGCAGCCCGTGACGCAGGTTTAGGGCGGGCTTACTGTGACTGGCGGCTGCTTGTCGTTGTCGTGCAGCTGAAACGGTTCAGTGGGTGTTTCATGTTAAAAGAAGTTAATTGTCGCCTTTCGCTCGTCTGTTCGCTTGTAGTTTTGTCATATTTTTTGTGCGGCTTTTGCGGCTGAGTCGCTTTTCATTTAATAACACAGCGTGTGCAATTGTTCGATATATATTATTCAGAAGAAACGAATGGACTTTTGTGTTCAGTTACTCTTTGAACATACAGCAAAGTGCTCTTACGGAGCTCTGCTCAAATCCATCTTCCACATCTGCTCCCGCCGTCGTTTCCCGATTGTCCAAAAGTTTGACAAACTGCTTCACAGCGTCCCGCTTTCTGTCCCTGCTGTCTCTCAACCCCGCCCGGCGTCCCTGACCTGTCCTCGTCCGTCCTCGTTCCCTGCTGTTTGAGGATGAGCATCGTGTGGACAGATGTTGTGTGATCAGCAGGGGGAGGATTTAGTTGGTGTTAAGTCCGTGCCAGCGTTTCCATCTAATAAATAAAAAAATAAATAAAAAAGCCGTGGAATTGGGTTTCGCTTTGTGCTGATTTCTACCTGCTTGTCATTAATTCATTCACGCCGCTGATTGTCCTCCCATGAGTCTCAACGATATCGTTTTTTGTTTTTCTATTTTCACCTCGACTCTTGTGTCTACCGATGTGCGTTGGTCTCACGGCGCGGACGTTTGGGACGAGATTCAGATTCAGGAACGACCCGGAGTTCGTCGCAGCAAAACATCATGTGCAGCGTGAGCTGCTGTGATGCGCTCGGGTAAAGTCTAAAACCGAGCACAGGCTCCAAATCCGTCCATTTTCATGCGCTCCGGCCCCCGGAAAGATTTCTCCACAAAGTCTTTAAAGCTCTTATTGCTTTCTGTTATTGCGAAAGCGCCTTCTTTTGTCCTTTTGCTGGGAAACCGTAATCGCATTTGTACTGATAACTTACAGTGAAACCATCTGCAGTTGAGTGTGCAGCCGAGGGATTATTGGGTCTGTGAGCAGATTGAAGTTGGTGACCTAAAACGCTTCGCTTCGCTCAAACCCAAGAAAGTCTTTAAAAAAGGAAAAAAGCGTAAAACAATCTTTTGTTTGGAGAGTTTTTACTTGTAACAATACAAATGAAAATGAGTTTGCACAACGCAGATGAGGGATGATGTGTTTGGCTTTGGTTTGTTTTGCAGACATTGGTTTTTGTTGTGAAAGCAAAGCAGGTTTAACTCCGAATGTCCTGTCGCTGTCTGCGTTTGACCCAGAAATGTTGCATCGTGGGAAAACGGAGGACTCGGTGGCTTTTGGAGCTCGACTCGTAGAAGCAGGAAGTTTGTCTCTCACCTGTCCACCGGCTCGATGGGAGAGACATGCGACGTGACCCGACGTTTAGTCCACGAGCGAGAACACTGCAGTAATTTCATCAATGAATTCAACGTATTTGTGCAAGAGCTGCTTGCTCTTTCAGCAAGATGATAACGTGGGATCAGATTTGATGTTTCCACAATGCTGCAACTTTCTCTTCTTCTGTCTTCTTTTATGGGGGGGGGGGGGGTCTTTTTTTTGGTTGCAGCTTAGCTTGAACTGGAATGAGAAACTCAAAGCTATCTGATGTTTTGAGGAGGGACGCTGGACGCTGGGAGAAGGTGTTGGGTGTCAAACTGGGGGGGGTAGGTGTCCGTTGGTGTTCCTGCACACTCATTCACGGGTTTGGTTCCTTCGCTGAGCTCGAACGCTTCGCCGCTGGTCCGTGATTTCTAAAAGTGTACTTGTTCCTGCTTTTGATATCAAATAAAGGCACCTGTAGTCTCTCCTGCTGGCGTTTGTGACCGTCTGCTGCGTGTGTCGTGCAATAAGAGCGGTTTGTCATCATGTTATCCAGACTCGTGCCCCCGACTCATCGCGCCCTGATGTTTGGTCCGGACCCTTGGCGTCACTTCCAAGCTACGAAGCTCCAACGCAACAAACTGATTTACAACCCACTGACAAATAGTAATTTAAACATAACTCTTGTGCTTTTATATCTGAATATAGACCAGGATTTAGTGGCCAAACAAGTGCATATTTGGTGTAACTCGTTCGTCGTGCGTGAAGTTAAATGCACATTTGGGATTTTAACCTCGCGTGGGCCGCGGGGGCGGACTGTTTGACCCACAGACTACGGCACTTTTTTGGAGATGTCGACACTCGAGCTCCGGGCCGTTTGTCGTTCTTTGGCAGGTGACGCCGGCTGTCTCGTCTCCCAGCGCCGTTTATCGTACCGGGAAACATGTGGGAGTCATTCTTCGTTCATCCCTCCTTTAGACGCGCAAACAGCTGCTGCAGCTGTAAATCCTCCCATCAGGACCAGTGACGTGACTCCTTCAGCCGGACACACAGACTGCTGTCTCCCCCCCGCCCCCCCGTGGTTATTATTTCAGGCTGATCACTTGAGCTTTGCGATCAGTGACCCTCTGAGCTCACAGCCGACTCGTCCTCCTCGTCGCTCCGTCCTCTCGTGTCTCTCGGGCTTCACACCCTCCACCATGCGGTCTCTGCTGGAGAGCAGCTGGATGAAGTTTGGGCCGGCGGGCCGGGACTCTCTGGACTGGTCCCCTGGTCCCTCGGCGCTGCCCTTCCCCAGCGGACAGGCTGCGGTGAGTTCACGCAAATCATATCTGCTTTTATTTTGAACTGATTTTTATTGCATTTATTTTTTCAATCTGTAAAACCAGAAGCTTTTTCGAGCGCTGAACTTTTTAAAAACATTTTTAAAGGAGAAGCACCTGGAGATTGTGAGATTATAAAGACCGACATCTGCAGGATTTATCAGCGCAATGATGTCATTTTGGCCTTTGGCCAATGAGATTAACAAGTGATTTTAGTCCATATCTGAGGGTTGAAGGTTGTTGGTATTCACATAGTACTCCACATTTTGGAGTTTTAAATTATTTTTTCTAAAAATGCGTGTGTCCATTTTAACTCTTTTTTACTCTGAACTACATGTGTCATATGGAAAGGTGATTTGATGATACTTATAACGACCAGTTATGCCAAAACAAAAATATTTGACGATTCCTACAATAAAAGGATTTTTCTCAGCATTAAATCTGCGTTAAAAGCATTTTCGTGGCGACGGAAATATTTCACAAGTGCAAAAACGAACAGAAAACAACATTCTAAGTTTACCTGCAACATTTATTGCAGTTTGCATTTACGGTTATTTAGGTTTAATATTACTTTTATCTATTCATATCTAAGTGTCCTGCTCAAAATACGGAGCCAAGTGTAACGGTGCGACTCGATTTAGCTTTATTCAGTCTTCATGCAGCCACAGCGTAATCAACCTTATCGAAGTATTTCAATTAAACACGTGTACTCAGCAGTTTCGTCGGTCCGGATTACACAGATTAATCCACATAAATGGGCCGGCCAGATGTTTTGTGACTGGCAGCACCCTCTGTTGGCCAGATGTCAGATGTCTCTTATTTTATTGGAAAGTGTTCCTCCTCTAGTCATGTTGTTACTCCTTGTCTCCTTTATCACCAACCGAGCATCCTGCTAATGAGACAGTTTTCACTTCACTTTAATAGCACAATGTAGAATGTCAAACAATGCAAATCTACATGTGCATTTAAATGATCAATATCTCTACGTCTAGTTTGTATTTACTCACTTTCACCTAAAACTGATTTAAAACTTTAAAAGGGTGAAAAATGTGATACAATCTATTTCCTTAAAATGCATTCTAACCTTTTTGCGGCCGACTCACAGGGCCAGAGCTCAGGTGAGGCCATCATCAGCGCGGGATCCATCACCGCCATCACCGTAGCAACCGTCTCCCTCCTCCTCCTCCTCCTCTTCAGCGGCCTCGGCCTCCTGATGTGGCGCCGCAGGCGCGGCTTCAGCTTCAACAGCAAACTGGGGTTGGCCAACGTGATCGCCCTGGAGGACCTGCAGGACCCGGAGAGGAACTGCGAGCTGCTGTCCTCCATCCGACGCAGCCAGAGGCACCGGGCGCCCAGCGCCAGCTCCGAGCAGCAGGACCCCTCGGACGGCGTCTTCCTCATGGTCTACCTGCCCTCGCCGTACGAACACACGCTCACCAGGATCGCCAGAGCCGCCAGCACGAGCAGCTCCCACGAGCTGCTTCCGCCGAGTCCCGGGCCGGAGACGGGCGGCCGGGACGAAGAAGACGGGACGAAGCTGAGCGACGAGGCGACCCGAGAGGAAGAAATCAAGGCCGACTGAAATCAAGGCGGGAGTACGACAACACATCAGGAAAACATCATCGAACCTTCCTACCCACCGAGAGGCGTCGAGGAGAGACGACCGGGATCGAGACCCCAGCACCTGTCTTCAAGCAGCCCTTTGGATGATGCAGTGAGTCTCCTTCCAAACAGACGAGTTGATGCTGGCTGAACGCCCGTGACTCTGATACAAAATGACTGGTTTCATTTTCCCAGGCGGCCTTGATGGTCTTTCACAGGAATCAAACCGACTGATATTTCAGATGACAGTCCTCTGAGACCCCGTCTGTGCTCTGCTGCCCTTGTAACAAGTACACTATAGAAATGCCTGAAGTGTAGAATGGACTGAGTGCTTTAAAATAACTTTACTCATCACACTTTCGCTTGTGCTGTTTGCACCTAGGATTGTATAAATGTACATGTGGATTGAAATCATTCTATTTTCTACTCTAATACTCAATGTGTATTTCACTGTAGCATCCTTATAGAGATGTATTTTGTAATGTTGATATTTGCTGTTTGATATTCACGGTCTCGTTGTCTCATTGTTTGACCTCTTGATACAATGATTCACAATAAAGTGAAGGAGAAAGTGGAGCAGTTCTCTCCCTCCCTGTCAGCCATCCTGCAGTGTTTTTGGAGTATTTCACTTCAAACAAAAAGAACGAAATCATTGTTTAAACACTTTCCGTCCCCGCTTTGCCCAACAAGACACCTCCTGCAGGCCTGACGCATCAGTTTCCTCTCCGGGTGGCGAAGGCGGAACGTTTACACTCGCAGGAGAGAAAGAAAGGCCAAGCAAAGCAAATCGTACGCAAATCATCACCACTGGACCTCAAACGTTAACTGTGCATAAAGTTCAGGTAATCACATCAGGTTTGTATTAAGTTGAGCGTGCATGTTTGATTAGTATATTGTGCATCGCATTGTTTTTTTTAATTTTAATTTTAATTTTAATTTAAAACCCCAAATTTGAATTTGGGGTTTTCACAAGCTGTGAGACACAAGCATCAAAATGATATCAAATAAAGGCTTGAAATATCTCACTTTGCATGTAAAACTAATATAATATATTAGTTCCACCTTTTAAGTTGAATTACTGAAATAAATGAACTTTTGCACGATATTCAAATTTTTCGAGTTTCACCTGCAATTTGCAATTTTGAAAAGTTTGAAATTAATATGAAGATAATTATGATTCAAATTACGTGTAATTATTTTATCTGACCCATTTCTGATCCGTTCGCTCGAAAACGGCTGCTCTGGTCCGCCTGTCATTATTCGCCGCCAAACAAAACAATGTCAAATGGGGCGCCCTCTAGTATTAAAGTAAATACATATGAGCTATGAGGAAATGGTATACAAAAACATACGTTGCCGGTTAATACATTTTTAATCGGTTAAATTCTTATGGTCATTTAATCATTCCTAGTTTATGTTTTGATGAGAGTTGTGATTAAAGGTTTGGGTGAGCCGCAAAAGATTTTCAAATTTCCAATTGGGCCGCGGCATTCTTGTGTTTGGGAACCGCTGCTTTAAAACATCTTCCTCACCCAAGAGTTCCATCAACATTAACCCTGAATACATCGGTTTGATTCATTTCTCTTGTGTCTCTGAATGAATGCAAAGCCAAAGCTGAAAAGAGAAGGAAACCCAACACAAGATAAACCTCCCACAACCAGCAGGAAGAGAAGAACACTTTGATCACACCACAGAAATACAAGGGTCCTGTGTTTATTTTACACTGGAGAATATTCTTTGTAATGCTTAACTCTTCTTACTTACCACCGGCCCGGAGTTTAGTGATTGTTGGCCAGACCTCTGTTTATTTTTTTAATATTGTGTGTATATGCTGGTTCAAAAAGGACATTTAATAAACCGCCACCACAAGATTATCTGGACGCACAAACATCTTGACTATCAGTTGACCCAGAACACGATGTGCCTCCGTGGGAGAGGAAACAGACGTCTAAATAATACTGACAAGGACAAAGCAACAGTTTTCCCAACAATACTGGAATCATTTTCTCTGTTGCGCAATGAAAACACACAACATCAAGTCCACAGTGTTGAAGGTCATTTCAATACCAGGCCGTTTAAAATGGGCTTCAGTTCAGCGCGTTAAGCTGAAAACAAATAACCGTGCTGACCCGAACCCACCTCTTCAAATGCTCTCCCCCACTGACTCATTCTCCTGTGTTCTCAAGCTCAATTTTTCTTACATTTATTTTATTTTATCTTTTTTTTTTGTGTGTCTTTGTCTTCCCCTTATCCATACGTTTACCTTCCTTTAGATTTACAGTGTAAAGCGTCTTTGTGTACCAAGAAAAGCTCTGTAAAACACTAAAGTATTATTACTATGCATTGGAATTCAATCCATCTCAGGTGGAACAAATGAATTCAAATAAATTGTCACGCAAGCTCCTGTGAATCAGTGACTGGTCCTCCTCTTGGCCTGCGCCCCCCTCCCCCCCCTGCACTCACACACCTCACCTTGGGGAAGCTTCCCTGCAGTGCGTGCAGCTCTTCGGTGGGAAACATGGCCCTCAACGTGCCGGGACTCGTGGCCACCGTCGTCTTCTACCTTCTGGTGCTCGGCATCGGCGTCTGGGCCTCCGTCAAGTCCAAGAGGGACGAGAGGAGGACGCAGGCGGACCATGCAGACATGGCTCTGCTGGGTAACAGGAACATTCATCTGGTAATGGGAATCTTCACCACAACTGGTGAGTTCCTGTGTGGCGTGCAGCAGACGCAGCAGCAGCTGTGAGCCGCAGGTTCTTTCATCGAGATGCAAAATAATAATAAAGCACTCGAATCGCATTGTCTCAGGATTGTTTCGCTCAAGTCGCTCTCAATATATGTGTTTTATTTCAACATTTACCCGTTGGATGTATCTTCTATCAGAAATGTCATATAATTTGGTTGTCAATTATTGAATGCAGAGATGAAGTTTGAGGTCAAGCTAATTTAGGGGTTCCTACTGTATATTATATACAACATGTTAAAATTCTGGTAATATTCAAAGTTGGAAACTTTCCATGTTAACTGGAATATACGTGAATTAGCGGGAATAAACTGGAAATGTTGTGGTGATTTGATCACTTTATATATGACACACAAACATTTCTAATATAAATTTTTAAAATGACATTTTTGACTTGATCTATTTGTGAGTAGAACTTTGTTCTTTCATTGAACGACCAAAACATGAACGTTAAATAAAATAATGTGAGGAATACTTTCACTTGAGCTGTTTGATCGCGTCGGGTTACGAGGACAAACATTTTGGTTTTCAATAACTAGTTACATCCTCTGCAAAGCATGTGCTGCATTCCACACGTCTTACAAATTTAGTTCTGAATTACGTTTTTATTTCTTAGCCTTTTCATTTGCAGTAATGAGGACAGAAATGTGTGCGTGTCATTTTGCAGCCACCTGGGTCGGCGGGACCTTCATCATCGGCACAGCTGAGACGGTGTACAATCCCAAGTTTGGGCTGATTTGGGCCGTGATGCCGCTGGCGGCCACGTTGGCCTTCGTCGTCGGTACGGTTCCTTTTTTTTTAATGATTTTGTGTAAGTGCCGCAGGAGTTGAGGGTTTAAGCCCAAACGCAGAACAAGTGATGAGGATGCAACAGGGAGACTGTCAATGATTTCATGAAAAGGACTCACGGCTCAGAGGCCCTAAAACAGGCCGGTAAGAGTAAATCCCAAAACATCTGGATTGCTACGCCCTGCAAATTAAGGCTTGAATGTTTTGTTTTTGGATTCTAAAGAATCAGATCTATCAAGAAACCCAATCCGTGCCATCATTTAAAAATCCAGCTCTCTTTTATTAACAAATATGCCTTTTGGTTGAGCCTCAGAATCCGGTCGGGCACTTTGTGTTTGGTGGTTTGAAGGGGGATGTGCAGCTCTCCTGCTGTTGTTTTCCAGGTGGTCTTTTCTTCGCTGAGCCCATGAGAGAGCGGAGGTACGTGACCATGATGGACCCTTTCCAGATCAAGTACGGGAACGGACTGAGTGGACTTCTTGCTGTTGCACCGCTGATGTCGGAAATCATTTGGGTGACGTCGACACTGATAAGCCTGGGTAACAGTTGATCAAACTCCATCTCCATCTCATATGTGCGTCGTTTGTTTGTGAAGCGTTGCTGATCTTTGACATGTTGGCGAGTTGTGTCATTTGTGTGTTTCATAGGACTCACCATGAGCGTGATCCTGGACTTGTCCTACGCTGTGTGCATCTGGATCTCGGCGGCCGTGGCCATCACCTACACCCTGCTGGGGGGTCTCTACTCGGTGGCCTACACAGACGTCATACAGCTCACTCTCATTTTCGTCACTTCGGTAAATTCGGTCAATCCAGCACTCGGCTGGATGACTGCAGCGCACTTCACATGGGGAACAGTGGGTCCTCCGTTGCAGGTCTTCAACTGGTGCAAAATGCAGCTGCACGCCTTTCAACTGGCACAAGGACGTTTGAGCACATTTCCCCCGATTTTATTTCCACTCCACTGGTTAGCCGTGCATTTTGGAATTTATTTTACCCAGCCGGTCTCTCAGGTCGGCCGACCAGCTGCTCCTGAGGGTTCCAAAAACGAGGCTGAAGCTCAGAGGCGACCCGAGCATTTTCTGTTGCAGCTCCAAAACTCTGGAACGAACTGCCGCTGCACATTGGACCTCCTCACTGTCTAATTTTAAAACGCACCTCTTTTCTTTGGCTTTTAACACTACGCAGGTTGTTGATTTTATGTGCACAAGTATTTTATCTGGGGAGGACAGTCGATTTATTTATTTATTTATTATGTTTTAGTGTGTTTATTTTATTGTACAGCACTTTGGGAACCTTTGTGTTCATTTTAACTGTGCTTTATAAAATAAAACGGATTGGATTGGAATCCAAGACCCTTTTCTCTGCCATTTGATCCGTTTGTCCAGCTCGTCATCACCTGCAACACTAAATCGGTCTCACCTGTACTCCGTTTTGTTATTTATGAGTCATCAACTTGTAGTTGTTTTTGTTTTTTGAGACATTTCTTAAATGTAGAATCAGTATAGTCTGACAAGAAGTGTCATTATACTGTATGACCCTTGTGTGAGGAGCCAGGCTCCAAAAATGCTATATTCTAAAATTCCCATAATAATGAATAAATAGCTTCAATAAAAAATGTATCGAAGCACTCTGGTGACGTCACTATGACGTCACCCAGGGATAAATGCTCGGAATGTTCTCTCTGAGCCACAGTCATTTTTCCACATGTGTCCACCCCTCTCTGTCCTCAGTGGCTGTGCGTCCCCTTCCTCCTCACGAGTCCCGCCTCTGTTGACATCACCACCACATCTTTCAACCACACCTTTCAGGCGCCGTGGGTCGGCTCTCTGACGGCCGGCAGAGCCTGCATGTGGATCGATATCTTTTTGCTCCTGGTAAAGCAAAGCCCTTGATGCTTCCAGACTTATCAAGATTAATGCATCAGCACAGAGGAAGCTGGATTGCAGGCGATATGTGCAGCTGTAGAGAAAGGTGACTCCCAAAATGACCCGTGTGAGGCCGGTGACGTACGACGTGAGATGAGGGCCCGAAACAAACATGTTTTAATGACTATTTTCGGTGCAACATATGCTGTATATTTGAAACCAAAAGGGAAAAATATATATAATATATTTATTTTTGTTGCTAAAATCAAGAAAGGCTTCATGCAGCATATATATGGTCAAAGGCCAAAGACGAGCACTCGTCACTGTGGATTAACTGCACCTCCTGTCATACTTGTCCCTCCCTCAAAGAGTTTAGGAGACCTCGGCTTCCAGGACTTCCACCAGAGGACGTTATCGGCTTCTTCGTCGGCCACGGCGAAGTTGCGATGTTACGCCGCAGCAGTCCTCATCCCCACCTTTGGAATCCCCCCTGTGCTCATTGGGGCGGTGGCTGCATCGACAGGTACCACGTCTTACGACCTGGTGCGATTTCACAGCGGCCGCGCCTGTCACCCCGAACGCGTCGGTCTGACTCGTCCGTCCTCCTCCCCAGACTGGAACCTCACCTCCTACGGGTCCCCGTCTCCGTTCGAGCGAGGTCAGACCGGTTTGATCTTGCCGCTCTCCCTGCAGCACCTGACTCCGCCCTACATCTCGGTCCTCGGCATCGGGGCTGTGGGCGCCGCCGTGATGTCGTCCACCGACTCCGCCCTGCTGTCTGCAGCCTCCATCTTCTCCTCAAACATCTACAAGAAGATCCTGAGGCCCAAGGTAAAGGTGGAGAGAGGAGGGGGGGGGGGGTCGCCTGATCTTTATCTAGTCCATTAGGGAGGTTTGGAATGTTCTCAGTCGATCGCTGCTCCCCTCGCAGGCTTCGGAGAACGAGATCCGGTGGGTGATTCGCTCATCCGTGGTCCTCTTCGGCCTGGCCGGCACGTCGCTCACCTTCCTGCACGCCGGCGTCATAGCCTTCTGGATCCTGGGTGGAGAAATCGCCTACATCCTGATGTTCCCGCAGCTGGTCTGCGTGCTTTTCTTCGACGTATCCAATGGTTACGGTGCCACCGCGGGTTTCCTGCTGGCGTTCCTTTTGAGAGTTTTGTGCGGCGAGCCCCTGCTCCGGCTGCCACCTTTCATCCATTTCCCAGGATGCGCCCTGGAGGAGGGCGTTTACGTTCAGTACTCCCCTATTCGGACCGTCTGCATGCTGGTTTCCTTTGCCACCATATTGCTGGTGTCCCACCTGACGGCTGTGCTCTTCAACAGAGGACTCGTACCAGAGAAGTGGGACATGTTTCATGTCCAACAGGCACCGAAAACACAAAAAGCAGCAGACGGTGCCAGCAGCAAGGAGGACCACGACCTGAGCCCAGTGTGCGAGAGGGGAGGAGCCTCCGACCCGATGCTGAAGTGAAACTGTTCAAATTCTAAACTAGATCACACTGTATCAAAAAAAACAAAGAACACTTGCAAAATAAAAATGCAAAATAAAATACCTTTTGCGGAAGTTGCTCACCATCTGTCCAAAGACATTTATTGCATAAGTGTGTTTGTGCTCGCTCGAATGTGCAGGAGACGTCTGGTAGATAAATGAGTTAAAGGTTTTCTGTTCATTTTTTTTGTGTAATCGTGCAGGGAATAGAAACTAGACAACTAAATATTTTGCATTACTAAAAGTAACAGTTTTTATTTACAACGGTTGCTGTTTAGGGGCGAAACGGTTCATGAATAGCAGTGTTTCAGAGTGTAGGACGGACTAGTAGTTGAAAGGGATGTCGTTCATGCAGAAGTCGGGCTGCAGGCTCTCGAAGGTGCAGTCGTACGTGTGCGTGGCGCAGCGGTCACAGCGGCAGCTCAGGGCCACGGGGTAGCTGACGGTCGGGTCCACGCCGGGGGGGCAGTCGGGGAGCGCGATCGTCTTGTACGACAAGTCCTTGTACGTGCACACGCGCTGGAGCACTTTGCCAAATGGTACCCTGATGACCGGGTCCTGGAGGGGAGAAGAGACAATATGCATCTTGCTTTACCTCAATACTGTATACTGCCTATTATATCTAATTAAGTTTCCTCTACCATCCAAAGCTGAATTACACACTGATGTACGCTCACAGGGGCCTCCGTTTATAACAGAAGGAAAAGAGTAGACTAGTAGCGTGTATCTGAAATCAAGAGCGCTTATCAGCGGCCTGCTGGAGTTACTCCTCTGACACTCTTTCTCGCACCCCCCCTCAATACCTTGGTGAGGCAGTGACCCCCGCAGATGGTGGTCTCCACTGCGTGACACCTGGGACAGCCCTCCTTCTCCAGAGACACCGTCTGGTTGATGAGCTGGCAGGACGGCAGCTGGAAGGCCGCTGGCGATGGAAGGTTACGAATATGTCAAATGTAACAGGCATTGCTTGTTCTATATTACTATTCGTGTGTATTATGGAGCAATGTGCAAATTTGCAAGAACTCCCAAATTTAGTTCGGTTGCTACATTTTAAACGTGTAATGAGTTGAAAAGTACTCACCCCACCTACTAAATGCCTCTATTTAATGCTTATGGATCGTCATGTTTCTGCGGTTCAATCTCCAACTGAGTTTAAACTAAAATTAATTAGCTCATGAACTAAAACTTTTAGCGTACTAAACATCTATAGGTTTTTAGTACAGTTGTCTGTCCTTCTGTTACATCAGTAAAATATCATTAAACCTCATAGTCTAATGAAACCAGTTGCTTTTTTGAGTTTATATAAGTGCTGCTATTCCCCGACGTGCTTTTATTCCCTGACCTTTATCCGGCTGCTGCTTTGCCCTTTTCTCTCCCTGTCCGCCAACTACCTGCCTGATGTTTGTGTTCTAGACTGCATGACATTTATTTTACGCTTGCCTTGTTGTCACGTGTAATGCTTGTTTTGATTGTTGGAAATGCGTTGATTTATTTTTATTTTTATTCTTTATTTCTTTTTGCCGTGTGTCTCCATTCAAAGCCTTTTTCCAGGCTGCTCTTGTAAATGATATTGTTTTCTTAACGTGCGGCCGGGTAAAGAAACGCTGGGTAAAGAAACTCATTAAAAAAGTATTTTAATACCTGCTGGAGCCAGCGGCCAAAAGAAAGTCGAGGCTCCCAGAAACAAGCTCAACATTAAGTGCGTCATCACTTTTCTGACCTGAAGAGCCGTCATCCTGCAGGAGGCAAAGTGGGTCAGTTAGTCAAGTCATAAGTTACATATTTGAAAAAGAAACAGACACCTTGGCAATCCGTCCATAAAGTGTGAATAAATGCTCTATTTACCGTTAATGAAGTCATTAGCTTTGATCTATAAACTCTTTAAAGTAGGTCCATGTCTCACTGTAAATGAGTACTGGCTGTTTAATCTTTAACATTTTAATGTTTAATTATAAAGTTAACTGTTTTTTGTTTAAACCTACAACACTTTAGCAACACTAAAACACGCAAAAGGATAAAAGTTTGTCTTTTTAAATCAGCCTGACTTACCTCTCAGGTGTCTGCAGGCAGTGTGCTGAGGACAGGTGTCCCGCTCCGTCTTTATACAGCACACAGGAGCCTCGTATCCAGGAAGAAACCCGCTCATATAACCCTGGTTACCTTTTTTTTTCTTAGTGCACATCTTGTTATAACCAGGGGATTAAACTCTGCTCGTATCACTTTTACATCTGGTTACACACGTAGAAGCTGCTGAATTGTGCGGCGTTAGAGGAAACGTGGGTAGGCTCAGTACCTTGCTGAAGGCCACCGGGACAATGGCACTTTTTTTAATAGAGGGAGAAGGCGTTGTGACCGGAGGCTCAACTCTTTCAAATTCAAAACACAACCAACCAGGGGTCCATAAATAAAATGAATGCTACTGTAGTTAAGATGAATGATTTATAGCTCCACTATAACAAGTTATTTTCTTTGTATTTGTGATATGTAATAGTGATGATAAAGAAGGTTGACTGTTATGTGAGATAGTTTCCACCTTTGTTATCTGCTCATTGAACTATGTCAATGGCCTGATTTAATTTGACAACCTTTTAATATATATTTTTTGGAATAAGGGATTAATGATCAGTGATTTATCTGTTTGTTTTTTTATATTATTTGTTTGATTACTCGTGCAAATCGTATCTTCACAGACCAGAGTTGAAGACAGAGGCAATTGTCTTTGGCATTGTTAACAGAACATTATATTATATTAAACAGGTTTTTTCCATCCCACTGATAATGACACACGGTTAAAGGATGGATGTGGAATGTTTAATGGATGTGAAAGTGCTTCCCATGTGGTTGAGCATTAAGGATATCTGATTTTGACCAGGCGCCTTATGACTAGACGTGTGGTCAAGAATCCCCCCTCGATATCAGAGCAGGATGAGAACTGACATCTGCTGCTGCCGGTGAAATAATCGTGTTTCATGTCACTGTGACACGTTGACCTCTTCCTGACATGGATCATTTATTACATTGATCCTGCCATCCACAGATTAATGGTTTGAGTAGGTCAAGATAACGCTGTATGACTTGTTTTTTCCTCAGTGGGACAATTAAGAACACATCCAAAATTCAATTCAATTCAAGCACAGGATTTGAATTTCAATACTATACTATACTGTTTATGCTGGGTATGTATCATTAGGTGCATTATTCAATTATTAAACATTATTAAATATGAAACAGAGACACATAATCTAGGATTTTATATAATTATATTAAAATGAGGCCTTTTTATCCTTTTTCTTTTTGGTGAAACATGTCTACAAAATTATATTGTATTGTAGAACACACAAAAAAAACATGTATTTGGAAAAGAAGGGGGGAATTACACAGTACACGCAAACATTACATTGCAATCAGGCAAACATAATCCTAACTATTTTACATATTCACGGTTTGATTGGTATGAAAAATGTATAGTATGTAATCACTGTTTAACCATTCAACGTTGTACCGGAACTCCGCATTAGTCCTCTGCTTGTTTCGACTCGGGGACTAATAGCGGGTGGACCCATTGCGTTGGTACTACGCATGCGCAGAGCGCAATATGTCACACAAGTGAACGTTACGTGACTGTTTTGCTCGAGATAAATTGGGCATATGTGTTTCCACACACGGACACAAACACTGAGAATCCATGGCGGAGGAAGAGCAGGAGAGGAAGCCCAAGGTGAGAGACTCTTTTAACGGAAGAACCCATTTAAGAAGGTCAACCGAACATGTTAAGTTTTACCTTGACGCGTGAGATTCTCTCTGTTCCTCCTGCTGAGGTAGTTTCACCTTTGTTTACTTTAGTTTAACGTAGAACACAAAGCTGCTATGAGGGAAACGCACATAGAGAAATGCTCCAAATGTCCGTGTGAGCTGTTTATCTGTTTACTGTTCTGCTCATTGATGGACCATCAACGCATTCAATGTCCATGGCTTCCCCGTAGACAGCATACGCACAGTGTGCTTGTCCACTGACACACAAGTCCAGAGGATAGACGTAAACACTGTTCTTTTACAACCAAAGAATCAAAATGACCGTGAACGCCGATAACCGTGTTGGTAACAATCGCCCGGTTTATCGCCCATTAGCTAAATACGAAGTCACGGTAGATCTTCACTTCACGCGAGAGGACGTAAATCACGTTTCAGCTCTGCCTCTGTCTCCTTCACGTCCTTCAGGGTTTCAGGCTGCTGGGAATCCTGGATGTCCAGAACACGCCGTGTTCCAGAGACGCCGTCCTGCACGGAGCCGGGGGCTCGGTGGCTGCTGGCCTGCTGCACTTTCTGGCCACAAGTGAGTCCGATATTTTGTGTGTGTGTGTGTGTGTGTGTGTGTGTGTTCACGGCAATATGACACCTGTGTGTCCCGTTAAATGATGCAGACGGAAAAGTCCCCCATGGAAACATGACGCAGCTTTCAGCAGTTGTCTCTCCTGTCCGCAGGTCGGGTGAGGAGGTCGTTCGACGTGGGGTTTGCTGGCTTCATGCTCACTACGCTCGGGTCCTGGTGGGTGGCTATGTTGATTGACACTTCTGTCCTTCTCCATCTCATCGGAGCCGACTCTTGTTGGGCTTTTTCAAATACCTGCGGTAGAAAGATTTGATCTACCTTTTATGACGATTTTTGCAGAATGTCTCTGACCCATGAGCTGATTTCTTACTGCAGTGTCCTGTCTCTTCAATCAAATAACATTACATTATATAAGTAACACTGAAGTATAACAAAAGTTATCTCAGGAACCAAACAATCCCCACCATGAACTAGCATTTGGCAACATTTGCAAATAAATACACTTCCCTTTTAACAGTCAGAAACCTCATGCAAAGTAAGATTGTGGGCGGGGCATCTGACCCGCTGCACAAATTCCACAGGCGGTAATACCTGGAGAAATCAACCAATGGAGAGTAACGGGAAGGAACACAACTATGGGAGAGGAAAGATGTTGCCTTTAGTAACACCCATTAATTAGGATAAAAAGGGATGAACTCATCGGTTTGTCTGCCTCCCCAGGTTTTACTGCAGAATGAACAACGCAAAGCTTCGCGTGCAGCAGAGGATGATCAAAGACGGGATCCAGAACAAGGTCGTCTACGAGGGCACCAGTGCAGACCCCACAAAAAAACCTGGAGCAGAAACGCCATCGGGGCCCTCGTGACCTCAAGGTTGGAAACTCCTCCACTGGCAGAAGAGAGGACACCGTCCTACAGAGACGTTTTGTAGAAGACCGACTGGCATCGAAGGACAAAGCTGAAATTCCAACATATATTATACAAGGACTGAGGAGCAGATTTTGCCCTCGAGTGTATCTTGATCCTGAAACATGTTTTAAGGTAAATTATTTCATATCATCCCTCCATCCACCGGGCAGATGTACCAATGAAACCAGTCGAATCAAACCCTGTGGTGCACTGCATGCTGGGAATTGGATGGCTTCTGTCTGTCTGAAAGTAATTCATCTTTAATTGTTTTATCATTTTGGTATTTAAAAGTTGAATGTGTGGAAGATAAAATTGTATCCTGATGTAATGATGTGTCCGTGCAGTTTTGGGACGGTGTGGAAGATATAAAAGTAAATGTTGTTTCCTTCCAATGTTGTCAACTAATTGACTACTATGTCTGCAATAAAATCAATAGGTGAGTAAATAAATGAAAGTAAAGATGTCCATCAAAACGGAAACCAATGGATGAAGTTGCTGAGTCACAGTGAAGTTCCCCTCAGCAAGAACCTCGACCCCCTTCACGCTCTGGGTAGGATTTATTGTTCTGCGCTCAGCGGTGTTTGGCCTTTGTGGATTTGACTTAGTGATGCCCTAAAGGAGACATGATTTCAGGGTTGATTAACCAGGAGTATAAACTGATACTCCCAGCGTGTCTCCTGCAACACGTCCACCGTTTAAACCCCTGCCGCACCAGCAGGTGACCAGCAGGTGTTCCCACAGACGCCCTGACCGGCTCCTGCACCAGTCGGCCTCAGAGGCTGGTTTATACAAGTCTAGAGAAAGTGAAATGTTGCAAACAAACTCAAGGTGCACGTTTAGTTTAAAAAAATTTACTGATTGCAGAAGAGCGATAGTTTCACTCCTCAAAGTTATTTCAATAGTTACGACTGATGTTTAAAACAGTAAATCTCTACACGTGTCTTCATCTCAAATTCTTGCTTGATTTCCTGGAGGAAGTTTCTCCGTTTTGTGTCCGTGTGTCACTGCGTGTTCTGTTTTCAGATGTAGACATTTTAACAGGCAAAGTTTTAATTGGAAAGAAAATTCTTTACATCTTTCAGAAGTTCACACATTTCTAAAACATTTGCCAGTTCACGATGGCACCTTCTAAATAATATCCAAACCCCCATGAAACACGTCAGCCGTCCCACATAAAAGCAAACCGATGTATTACTGCAGCTCTAACCTGGATTTTCTCTTTCTGAACTAACGGGTGTGCACAAATGGAGCCCAGTCTCCGTCTTTTAGACAGCGACACTTGTGTGGTCTTATTATAGAAGACCTTTGTCTCGCTCGGTGTTACTGCGTCCTTTGGGACAATCTTTCCATTAGAGCTGTTGGCACAGAGTCAACGGCGAGATGTCACCTCAGATAACACCAGGGGGGACGTACTGCTGTGACCTCACTTAAATCATCACGCACACACTTTATTAAGCGGGGGGGGGGGGGGGAGTATTTTTAAGCTTGTGGGACACATGTGGATTCAGAAGAAGTCATGTGGACTTCAACCACCAAAGGCTTTAGTTCCAAAACATAATATGTCCTCACAGATGCTGATATGTTTAAAACAACTATGCTGCAGTCTCTTAACTACTTATTAATATTAACCCATAAAGTGCACCACGATGCCAGCAGTCAGTAGGCACGACTCAAGTGTTTTAGGAGTCATTAAAGGGGATTTCAGCTATTGTTTGATACGTCTTAACCTCCTATTTGTATCCATCACAATAGTTTACTCATTATTGTGGCGATTTAGGAGAATGAGACCTTTGAAAGAATGTCCCGGGGGTCAGGGAAGAGGAGCGCAAGCCTTTTTAAAAGAAAGTAGTGCGACGTTGTTGAAATGTGTTCGGCTGAAGCTTCTTGCCTGTTACAAAAATACAAGAACTTCCCTTTAATGTTTAGAAGTGACTATTTTAAGTTCTCCCTCCGCCAAATAGTGTTTCAAACATGAGCTGTGGCGAGAAAGGACACGTCACATTGTAGGTGCGGTGTTCTGAGCGCCGCACAAGTCCTAACAATAGACCCGGAACAGAAGTTCAATGCGATACAACCATAAAGTGCGTGTGTAGCGAGAACGCGGCCTATTTTAAACTTTTAAAAAGAACCGATTACATAAAAAGCTCGCGTCACTGACGCCCCTTCGCTTCCGTGTAATCTGTTGTTCTCAGCCGCCAGTAAACCGTAATTAAATCTGTTATTGGGTTGCTGTTGCCTCTATTCGCTCAGTGGCCGTGCAGGATTAACCAACAGTAACAATACTTTGCTGTGGAAAGTAAAACGAGGACTTTTGTGGGTTGAAATATGAAACTACCTCCTGAGCGTAGCGTGCTCTAACCGGGGGCCGGAGGGCTTGTGTCTTTTTATACCGAGTGCACGCCAATCAGAAATCTGATACCTACTTGCGCAGTGAACAATGAGCCAACGTCAAAGTTTGTGTGTTTGACAGCTGCTCTGCCGCGAGAAGATTACAGGAATCACGGCGGGTTTCCTCTAATGGGCTCCTGCTAAATTGTGTGCACCGACAGCATTGTGCGTAACGTCGTGGAGCTTTGCGAGGGGGGCGTAAACGGTCCTTCCACATCGGCAGGATAAGAAATGAAAGTCCAATCAACAGAAGCTAATCTGTAGAATCATGGTGAAAATCATTTCTTTACCAGTCGGGGAGGGGTTGTGTTGTACATCGTCTATCGAACCATCAATGAGAGATAAAGCCGAGCTCTTATAATAACAAAGAGCGTGTGATGTTTCTTTCCATTTATGTTGTATATAAAAGTATACAAAAAAAAAAAAGCCAAAATATATCGGACTGTTGAAACTACGTCGTTGCACATGAGTCGACACACCAGTCCTTGCTGATGCATGATGTAAAAAATGTCAATAAATGAGCCTTCTCACTTCAACACGTTGATTCTAACATAGGTTCACACGCGTCACTGTTCTCGTTGGGCTCCTTGGGTTTCTCCTCCTTGGTCTCGCACACGGCGTCGCGCTGTGACTGTTTTGAGCACCGAGCCGTCACCTTGAAAACGTCCCACCGCTCGGGAATCAGGCCTCTGCCGAAGAGCACGGACGCCAGGTAGGAGAAGAGCAAGATGGACCCCAAGGCGGAGAGCATGCAAATGGTCCGGATCGGGGAGCGCTGGATCCAGACGCCGTTCACCAGCACGCATCCTGGGAATTTGATGAGAGGCTCCAGCCCGATCAACGGCTCCCCGCACAGCACCCGCAGCAGCAGGCCCACGAAGCAGCCCAGGACGGCCCCGTAGCCGTTGGAGACGTCGAAGAAGAGGACGCAGACGAGCTGCGGCAGCATGAGGGTGTAGGTGAGGTCGGACCGCAGCATCCAGATCATCAGCACGCTGTTGTCCAGGAAGGTGAGCGACGTACCGGCGAGGCCCACGACCACCACCGACAGCCGGATCACCCACTGGATCTCCGTGTCCGACGCCTGCAGCGGAGGAACCGGCAGACAAGCAGCCCGTTTCTGTGAATCAAAAAGCCGGCGGCTGCGGTGAGAATCGCTCTCCTTCCTGCCCGTCCCCTCACCTGCGGCCTCAAGATGTTCCTGTAGATGTTCGCCGTGAAGATGGAGGCCGCGGACAGCAGGGCGGAGTCGGTGGACGACATCACGGCGGCGGCCACCGCCCCGATGCCGATGATGGAGATGTAGGTGGGGGTGAGGTGCTGCAGCACGATGGGCAGGATGAGTCCCGTCTCGCCGCGGGCGTACGGGGACGGAGAACCGTAAGACGTCATGTTCCAGTCTGCGGAGACGAACACATCACACGTTTGGATTAATACTAAGCGTATAGAATATAATATAAAATAAATATTGCCATCTCAGCTTGTAAAAGTAAATGTTCTCCCAAAGCGGTACTTGTGGATGCGGCCACTGCCCCGATGAGGATGGGCGGGATGCCCAACGTGGGCACGATGAACGCAGCGGCGAAGCAGGTGATCTTGGCCGTGGACGAGGAGGCGGCGGACAGCGTCCTCTGGTGGAAGTTCTGGAGACCCAAGTTCCCCAAACCCTGGAGGAGGTGGAGGACAAGCAAACGACGAAGGCCAAATCACACACGGGACCAGTGCAGCAGCAAAGACCCCGTTTGTTTCCATGGGTGACGCATTTTCTTTTGTATAGAAGTTTGTTGCAACAGTGGATAAAATATAGTTTGATGAAGAAGAGGAGAAGAGCGTTTGAGGGTTTCAGGAAGTCCTCCGGTCAAGCAGACCCGCTGAATCGCCCCGACCTTAAAAAAAAGAAAACCCCTACCACCTCCGGAAGGTCTCTCGGGACTGCTGGGAGTCCTTCAGTCTCCTTCACCCAAGCTTATTAACAGATTTAGTGAGACCTCTTCACATGATTATCAGCTTAATCTCAGCTGCGAGTTGGTTTTGAAAACTCGAGCTGGCAGTTTACGTTCTCCTCGTTCCTCCGAGCGTTTGTGCAACACCTGCCGAGCGCTCCGATTCATTGCACGAGGCAGAGAGCCGCCCTCTGGGAACCACAGGACGCTCCCGGTCAGCGACCTGGAACAAACTTCCCCTTCAGCACAAATCCAATCCTTCTGGAGGACACCTTCCCCGTCTCACCAGGAGCAGGAAGTTATCGATCCACGTCCAGGCTCTGTCGGCCTCCAGGCTGCCCACCCACGGGGACTGGAAGGTGGAGTTGTAGGCTGTCTCGGTGATGTCCACCACGGCGGGGCCCATCATGGCGAATGGAACGCACAGCCACTGAGAAGAAAATGCAAAGTACGCCAAACCAAAAGAGGAGAACGTCAGCTCACGTTGGACCTCGCGTGATCATTGAAGCTCATTATGAAGCAACGGAACCGGTCATTCTTCTGTCATTTAACCCAAATAGGCTCAGGTCCTAGTTGAGAGGTGTCCCGTGAGTTTCAAAGCTCTTGGTGGGCCTCATTTTAAAAAAAAACGAAATCCCTGCTCTCACAAGACGCCGCGGAGGAAAAGAACGGCGACGACTCACCAGGCTGATGAAGATGAGAATGAGCTGTATGATGTCCGTGTAGGCCACAGAGTAGAGCCCCCCCATCAGGGTGTAGGTGATGGCCACAGCAGCCGAGATCCAGATGCTCACATTGTAGGACAAATTCAGGATCACACTCATAGTAACACCTGTTTTATACACACAAACACACACACAAGTGTGTTACCATGCAAGGTTCTTATGGAGGATGAGAAAACAACAACGCTTATTCCACTAACCTTGATTTGTCACCTAAACTTACTTAAACAAAGTAAGATATCGCTTTCTAATCAACGTGTTTTCTCCAGAAATCTGAAGTACATTTAAACCAGAAAGAACAGGTGATTATTCGTATGTAACCTCGTCTCACAGGGCTGTTGCTCTTCTGCTCCGAGTGTCAACATGAAATTTCTTGCACTCCAGAGGGGGTTTTGTGGGACGGGCGAGACGGGATTTGACTATCTAATCAGCAGGCCAGTAGTTTGCCCAGGGCGGCTTTGCATTGTGCTTGTCGACTTCCTCGGCACGCATGACGGAACCGACGGCTCAAGTCCCTCACGAGGCGCAGCGTCTTTGGACGCACCGCTTGGCTTCTTGCAACAGAAACTTGTTTCGGCTTCCACTTACTTTTTGTCTGAGGTTCTTATTTATGGCTCTATGCAACCCGGTGATAACCAGCGGAGGCGAGAAATAAATTATCCTAAAATAGTAACTAATGACGGGACGTTGGCTTTAAATATTTAATAGTAATCTGTTGGGAAAATGAAAATGAGGTTGATTGTGAGTGGACAGAAGGTCTGTGACCTCTTGACCTGATTCCTGGGCTTCCTGAAGTAAACAGATGTTAAGGATGATTCGTGAACCGGGACGGGGGGCGTTTTGTTGTGAGGTTTTATTGCTCAGGGGGTAAAGTTTCTCTTCCCGTCGTGAATGACAAAGCTTTCTCTCTCTTTGATGTGGAGGTGACCAGTGGGGATCAATGATTTCACGCCGGTGTCGAATGTTTCCAACATCAGCATTTTACTTTTCTAAATGAACACATGACTGAAATGTGCCTTAAACGCGTGAGAAACGTGAGAAGAGATCAGCCCTAGAAGTCAAGGGCGTTGTCCTTATCTCAGTACTTGGGTACTTAATGCGTTACCGGGACCTTATCGGGGAACAACCCACTCCTGCGTTTGCCGCTTGTGATTTCCAGTCGCTGTTCCTTTGACGGAGTTATTTCAGAACGGTTGTGCAATTAGACGGAGGGCTTGCGTTTCGCTCAACGCGGCGATGGACAGCTGCTCCGCTGCCAGGGTCAACACACACACACACACACACACACACACAGTATCAAATGCATCACACCCACACACGCCGAGGCGGTCTTACCTAACCCGATGAGCGTCCCCGTTACCCACATGATCTCGGATATGAGCGAGGCCAGAGACAGAGCGGCCGTCGGCACTTTTCCGTATTTGATCTGGAAAGGATCCATCATGGTCACATATTTATTGTTTCTCATCGGCTCGGCGAAGAACAGGCCGCCTCGGTGACAAGAGCAGAGGGACAGAAAGATTTAGATGAATTCGCCGAAGGCACGGGGCAGCCGTTTGAATGCGCGGAAGCCGTCGCGGTCGACATTAGGCCTTTGAATGGGAAAAGGGATTAGTTTTATTGACCGGAGTTCTAACTTTTGGTAAATCATTGCGTTTCTTCTTTAACTATTTCTACAATTCCCATTAAGTTTCCCCTTAAGTGGTTTCACAGGAAACCGTTATGCAAAAGAGGTCCGCCGCAACGATGCTGGCGCGTCTGGCTCTCAGGTGCTGGATGACTAATGGATGACTCAACGTGTGCTGCTTCGTTTCTCCAAACGCGAAGGTCAAATGTGAAAAAAAAGGACATCGGTTCAAAATGACAACGGAAAGTGTGTGACTGTGATCCACGTTGTGGTTCCAGCGTCCATTCGTCGGGGGGGTTTAAGGGGACAAATCTTTCTCTCCCACGTGGAATGCTGCTTTTTCTCTGCTAATCTTCAGACATAAGAGAAGCTGTGTTTGTTGCTGCACCCTGTACTCTGTGATGCAGTTCGGGAGATTACATCTGATGGAGTGCTAGAATTCACTTTTTTGGGGGGGGGGTGGGGGAACAAAACAATTTCTCTTAACCTGCCTTCGTTCTACTTTAGTAAATGATTTCCCATATTCCCCAGCGGGCCTTTGAGTGCTTTCTGGTGAAGGGCATTAAGCAGTCGTGGCCATACGAGTACAGAGATAACAGCGGCTTTACTGCTTTCCTATTGTTCATTTCGCAGTGCACCTGTGAGGGAAAAACTCCGGTCTGCTTTAGCCGTACTTTAAGTTAAAGAAAAGTCTGACAGAGCGGAGCGCGGCGAGCCCCGGGCCCGAGGCGTCGTGGACATGCACGGTTTGGATTTGGGAACCAAAAATGCCCTCAAGTTGTTTGTCAATGCCTTCAAAAACTAACACTAGTTGGTGGAGGTTTAGCAAAGGCCGTTATCGAGGTATTTCTGTGCATCATGGTGGAATTTCCTGCATCTCGTTTTTTTTGGGGGGGGGGGTATGAGACAGCATTGGTCACGGCCCCCCACCTGTCACTCAAGGCTCCATGGTTTTAATTTAGCCTTAATATCCGTTAAACAGATGGGTTGTATAAAAATTCACCCCCCCGGTAGAATTGTGAGCCGGTTTGGAACATCATCCAGCCTCAGGTGGCCATTGGAGTAACTTTATCTTTCTCAGCATCAGTCCTCAAAAATCCAACACAATGGACCTTTAATCATTTGAACAACGAAGCAGGCTGTTGTGTTTCGCTGTAAGATCCACAGTCAGAACCAACTTCAGATTCTCGCCCTGCTTGCGATCCATCAAAGGACATCCATCAAAGTCCATTTTACCCCCCACCCCCCCCCCCGGGGGGGGGATGATGCGTAACGACCTCGGGGACACCGGCGACGCCTCTCTGGCTCCCACCACCCGGACGCCGCACACCGGGACCAGAAGTGAAACCTCACCGATGATGAAGCACATGGTCGCTGCGATCGGCATCACGGCCCAGATGAGCCCCATGGACGGGTTGTAGACCGCCTCCGCGGTGCCGACGATGAATCCGCCTCCGACCCACGTAGCTGTTCACACAGACGCACGTTCGCGTTAGCGGGCGCGGAACGACGGGAACGCGCCGTTCCGCCGTTCCGCGCAATCGGGTTCCGCAAAACCGAGGAGCACCGCGAGGATGCCCACGTGACCGAAAGGGGATGTTTGCGTCTCGTTCGAGATGCACGCATAATAAATAAATAAACAAATAAACAAACAAACAAATCTCCTCCCGATCCCGCGCCGTCTACTGCGATGTCAATGCGCGTGCTGTCAATTCGAACGGGAATTTGCTGTAAAATTTGAACGGGCATTTACCGTGAAACACCCGCGCGCTGAAAGTGAAAGAGCCGAATGACGCGTCGTCATTAAACATGAAAGACGTCGGTACGCATTCAGGAAAACGACACATTTCGATTCATTTCCTCCAAAACCAGGACAATAAGTCCCTGTTTCTTTTGTCTCAGCGCGCGCTGCGATAACCGCAGGAATCACGCTATTGCGCACGTGCACCGTTATATGTATTTATATTTATATCTTTATATTTATACATTTCATTACAAATGCGACACTATGGAGAAACGACTAAACGGTAGCGCACCGCGGCCCGGACCGGGGCAACAAAGCGGCCCTCGGAGCCGTCGGATGAGGGGGGCCACACACAACTTCCCCCGTCGCCGCATTCACTCGCCTGTCATGGTGAAGATGCCGACCACCAGGTTGATGCCCCGGTTCCCCAGCAGAGCCATCTCGGTTTTATCCCCGTGGCACTTCTTGGCCTCCCTCTTGGACTTGAACGAAGCCCAGATGCCGATGCCGAGGACCAGCAGGTAGAAGAACACCATGACGGCCACGCCGGGCACGTTGAGGGCATGGCTGCGGCTGCGGGATGCCGACTGGAGGACCGGGCGTCTCGGCGATATGCGGTTCATCCCCCTCTCCCCCTCTCCCCCCGCCCCACCGGCGCAGTCGCGGAGAAAGTGGCGCGACGCCCGGCGGCGGCGGCGGGGAACTGCACATCCTGCAGCGGACAGGAGCGTCAAGGTGAAGCGCGCGCCCGCAGGCCGTCTGTCTAACTGTGCAACACACACACACACACACGCGCGCATAAATGCACATACACGTACACGCAAATGATCCATGTGTGTGTTTGATGTGGGTGTGAGGAAGCGTGGTATTTCTCAACAACGTGTGTTTGTGTATGTGGGTATGCCCTTTGCATGTGTGTTAACAGCCCTGTATCCAAAGGGGGGGGGGGGATGGGGTACATACGTTTGCTCTTTTGTTGTTTGTAATCCTGCCGTCTGAATCTATTTATGGAAAGAACAAATGTCTTATTTTTGGACAGCTTATTTCCAGGTAATAAGAAAATCTGTTTTAATCACAACCGTGCCAGGAAACACTGTAACCTTCACTCCAACAGGAATCACATCAGAGGCCTCAAACAGATTATTGACGGAATCGCCGCCCACAAAGAGGACACAGACAATCTTATCGACCGATTCTCAATGCCAACGACGGTGACGTCATGGTTAGTGCATCTCCCCCTCGGCCCTGATGCCGAGTCACATGAACACATGTCAATCAAATTAAATCAGCTATATGAAATACAATATGAAAATGGGCTAGCTCAATCTATTTTGGACCGTTCATTGACTAGCTTGTGCCGTTGCATTGCTCACTGATTCCATTGTTACCTCATGCTTTGTACTGTAGAATAATAATTTAATGCATTAGACTATTACACTGTTTTAAAACTCTGAAGTAGTTGTGGGGAAAAGGGGTTTGCTGACATACTGCACAACAAGTCAATGTCAAGGGTTTGTATTTACCTTTCGCTGAAGCATTTACTTTGTGCTAAACGTTATATACAGCAATGTTTACGCCATTTAGACGATGCTTTACGTACAGATCGTGGCTTCTTTTTTTTTTCTTCCTCAGGAATCAGGAAACATTTATTTGCCAAAATATGCCAAACATACAAGGAATTTGTCCTGGCGGTTAGTGCGCGACAGTAGACAGACAAGACAGCAGTGCACAAGTAATAAAATAAAGTAAAATGAAATGCTAATGCAATGGGTCAGTAGAATAAAGCTATGGGTTAGTATAAAACAAGGAATAAAGTTAAACATTTTAAATATTAAAAAAGTTAAAGTTGAGGCGACCACTGTGTGCGGTACGCACAAATTAGGGAACCTGGTCTCTTTTGTACGACACACAACCGCCAAAGGATGAACGAAATGAGTTTCCGTCTGCCGGCCGAGTGGAATGTGCAACTATATTTCGAGCAGGAGAGACTTCTGAACTTTTAACAATGATTTATTAACGCAAGCATAAGTTTTATGGGGCTTGCGCTCCGACCAGCCGTAGGACAGAGCAGGGCCCGGGGTGCGGAGACCAGGTGAGGCCTTTGGGAGTCCGGACACTGGCGGCGGCGGTAGAGGACGAGTTGCTCCACTCTTTCGATATGGCAGATTCCCCCGCTGATTGGAGGTGTCAGGGGGGGGTGGAGGGTTGGCGGTCTGGTTCTTGCTGAAATGACAACTGACAGCAAACAGCTTCTAACGTTGACAGCCCGGACGCGATTGGTGTACAGAAACGCTGCCTCCGGCCCCAATCAGCTGATGGCGTACACAGCCCCCCCCCCCCCCCCCCATGGCAGGCGTTAGCTTCTCCAGTCTTCCTGAAGTCACGTCCTATAGCTTCATTTAGCAATAGTTAGCAGTCAGAAAGGCCTTCTGGCCAGGCCAAATGTACACGCACCAGTACAGGGCAACAAAAATATGCCGACACGAGTGAAATATGTGAACTACGCGAGTGGCGTGAAAAGACTCCCATTGATGAATGATCCTCTTTGCCTATCGTGGTCGACGGGTCTGCTACTTGGAGAAAAGCGTCGGTTCACGGCTCTTTAATGTGTGGTTTTGTTTCTAGTTTCGTGCCCAGACTGTAACGTCTGTCCCCCATCTGTAAAACATGGTTTGCATTGCGACGTATGAGGGCTTCTATTTTAGTCACACCAGGGAGGAACTGATGTGCCCCCCCCCTCCTCCCTTCCCCCCCGGTTGCCACTTCTACCACAGATAAATATACCGCGTCAACGGTAAAGTGCACTGTATGCTCGACTCTCACAACTTGTGTAATCGACGACGGTTGTTTTTGATAAAATACGGCCCTGCCTATAAAAACACGTATCGGCTAACGTGAGAAATACAAACTTAAGACGAGCGCAGACAAAGAACCTGCAGAACCCGTGTTGTTACGGAGGCTAACGTCCCGCTGTTTCTCCCGGGATGTCGGACCACTGCTTGTTCATTTCTTAAACTGATCCGCGTGGTACGAAAGCAGCAACGAGCCACCTCGGGCCTTTTCACCACGCTGTCCGGGGCTCTGTGAGAGCCGGGAGCCTCTGGCCACAAGTTCCTCCTTCGATAGGAGGATGTGACTCGTCATTTGGAACGACAGGAACTAACTCAACAGGAACCCGAGCCCAGTTTTTGCTGAGTGCCGGTGGTTCACACCATGAAGGGAAGGTCGGGAAGTCCTTGATGGGAATGAAAAGTCCCGGCAAAAGTGACTGCATTCCTAATGATTGTGATCGGCTCACTAGATGTTGTCTCTTTGCCAAACTGCACACGGTTTACCGTCCCATGACAGCACCTGTGCCAAAAAAAGCCTTTCAGAGTCATTTAGACAGTGAAGGATGCGCTTCGAACACAGTTCAAGCTAAATTTGGGTCTTTATTAAATGCTCTTATTTCCTCTTCGAGCCCGCGCGGGAGGCGTCGTATGAGCCGTGCAGTGAAAGCCGCAATCACGTCCCGCCGGTGGCGTCATTCGCTGGGCCGCCTTCTTGAATATTAACGTGTCCGAATGGAAAGAGGTAAAAATAGATTCAAGGAGGAGTCTCACGGGCCACCTCTCCGCTGGTGACCCGTGATCTGGCTGTTGAGGGTTGTGCAGAAGTATAAATACATCTACTGTGTCTGTAAAGATATGGTAGCTATGTCCACCTGCGCAGAGAATAAAGCCCCCGGCCCTCGCCGTGTATCCAAGCTGCACTGCGGCGTAGTGCACTTGAGCGGACTTCTCTCAGCTCTGGGGGACTTTTAAAGTTCTCCCACAGCCCGGCGAGGGAATGACGAAGCAAAAAAAAAGGCTTCGCTGCGTTTCTGCACGTCAGAGGAGCCGAGCACTCTTCATCTGCCTCAGCATGAGGCCGGTTGGAGCACATTTGTAGTTTTGGTTGATTTCATTTACCACACCGAGGTTCCGCCCCAACACGTTAGACTTATGTTGGACAAATCGTACGCTTTTATCGTTCGCAGCTGCAGAGAAAGCAGCCTGGATCACTTGCAGTGGAGCCTTTTTTCGCTCCATGAAACAGTCTTTGATGATTTATTTCTATTCACACCTGAAAGAGAATCTTAATGTGAAATAGAAACATCTGGGTTTGAATCAATCATTGTCATATTCTCTTGGCTGACGCGTTGGTCTAAAATCACTGACCATGTGTCCATTGGGGGGGGGGTAACATCTGCATCTCTGCTCAGGTTTCACCACCCCCCCCCCCACTATATGATTACAAGTAAGCGTTTCCCGCCTTATTATTGCTCTGCTCATTTTTTTCATTCACTACATCGTTATAAATCTGACACATTGTTTTCATTCTGCTTTTAATCCCGTAGTTGAACCATTGGCTCGTGTTCCTAACGGTTATTCCCAGTGATTCATTGCTGGCTGACACTGTATCCGGCCCGCTACCGTCTGTTTGCCTTCCGTTGTTTATGAGGACGCGCCTGGCGTGCCAGCGGCGCTCATGTGACTGAGCGACGCTGTCAACACGACGAGCCGCCGTGACTTTATTACCCCCCCGGGGGGGGGGGGGGCGGGTAAAACCAACCCTTTTTTATTTGTGGGGCGGGCCCCCACCCGGGAAAACCATGCCATCAAATTCCCCACATCCCAGAGTCCCTTAAAATTACAAACCGAATCCCATTGGCCCACAAAGTCGGGTGAAAGGGTTCTGAAGAGGTTCAACTGACTTGTGGAAGGGGCGCGGGCCCATTTCTGTTTGGAGAACACAAATAAGGTTTTGGCTTGCCCCCAAAGGTTCTAAGAATATCTTAAACCCTGCTAACCTGTTATCTCCCCTCTCAGGGAGCCTTTGTTGGCATAACGTGGGGCGCTTTCTCCCCAGACGTTGGAGAAGCCTTGATACATGTCTGTATGTCATGAGTTTGGAGACTAAGCACAGCGCGTGTACGCGTCACCTCCGCTATATAGACGCAGTTCTTTTTACACCGGAGTCGAGCGCCCCGTCTCGCCCAAGTGTCTCTCACCGCGTGCAGCGTTTCCTAATAAATGCATCAAACGCAATGCAAATTTCCTCCCTCGTGAAACATTTGGAAAGCTGATTTGAATAATATAAACAAATCATTATACTGTTGATCATTTATATCCGCGTGATGCAGACTTTGTCTCAACCTGTGCACTTCTATTTGCATCTTAGTGCCACTCAGAGTCTTTTTGCTGTCATCGGGCGCGTAATGAAAATACAGACCCCGGATCTCAGCCTCTGTGCAATATCATAATTAAGTAACTAAGTTATGAGTTATGAAATGAAAATAGCTGTTTTGTGCATTTTCTGGCATTATTTGTTGTTGCGTGACACATGCATCACACAGCACCACTTGTTGGGACCCTCAGAGACAAAAAAAAGTCCAAATCTTGTCATTGATGCCATCGGTCACTTTTACATTTTAGACGGGGATAGATGACATATGGTGTCATGTGGAGGCACAGATACATTTTACACTCAACTCAATTGATTTGAACGTTTTGATTAAATTGATTATAGCCCAAAATCACAATTTTGCCTCCTGGCTTCATGCTTTTTACAACATATGCATTGAACATGCTAATAGCACATATCATAACACATACATAATGGAGAATTTACAATTGGTGTGTTAATTGTATAATTCAGAAGTGTAATATTGCACTTGCCTTAAGTTGGAGGACTCCTTTTGCGCTTAGTATGGGTCAAGTTAAAATATGATTATAGAAACCGTATTTTCCAAAATGCAACTCAACATTATCTTTCATTCAACCAACCTTCCCTCTTCAGCTCTTATTTTTGTTTCTAACGTGGCCTTAAAGCCCAAAGCGAGACAACCAAGATGACATCATCAGACACCAGACGTATAGTCGTGTAAAGTTGCCCATCGAGCGCCCATTTGGTTCTTTCGGAGCCACGATTCAATTCATGGTAAAGAATGTTGCGGTATATATATATATATATATGTATATATATATATATATATATATATATATCGACACCAGTTTATCATGCAAATATTCGGCCCAGGCATTAACATGAACACACAGGATGACCCATTGAAGGGTCAACGGGCAACATCCAGCACATCCAGGCCTCATTCAAAGCAGCCAGGCGAGCTCGTTGGAGATAAGGATGCTCATCGCTGCAATAAACGGCTTCTGAGATCACCTGACGCAAACCCACACAAACCAGGGCTGAAACATTGATATTCACTCTGTGAGTTGGAATCGAGGTATTTGAACGGGATTCAATTCTTCATTTTGTAACGATTTCCACCAGAGGGGTTGTTCATGGATGAAGGATGACATCACTCATTGCAGGTAAGATAAAGATTCAAAATGACGGGTGTGAGGTTAGAAAGACCGCGCGTATCGATACCGTTGTTAATTATTTTAGATTATGAGAGAAAGGCGCATTGACAGAGCTCTTCCACTTCTGCCTCATAGTTTCGTCATTGTGTTACACTCGCACTAACGCAGCAGGTGGCAGCTTGTTTTAATCAAACAAGTGGCCGTGAACCCGCCGCGCGCCTCCTGCCCAGCAACCCACATCAAACGGACACCGTTAAAGCGCTAAACCTCCAGAAAGATGAAACCAGAGCCAAAAGGAGGGTATTAGATAACTTTAAAAGTATCACGTGTATGATAATACTTTGTAAGAGGATGATACGTCACATCGGTCAGCCTGTTTTCACATTTACTGCTGCTTTAAAATACTACTTAATTCATGCTGAAACCCAAACAACCAAAGCAGCACAACTCTTCTCTGATTGTTTGTTCACTTGGTATATTCCACTGTTTGACCCCAAATCCCGTGTGTCTGCAGACGGCACCGCTGTGTTGTCTCCTTAGAGCTCTATTAGAGGTTGTGTTTTGATAAAGATTTAACCATTATACCACAAACAACTGTTCTGCATTTATTTCGTTCTTAAGGACTGAATTTTGGTCTTTGTTTTGACTGAAACTAGACCGAGTTGGTCTTCAAACACAACTCACTGAATCCCCAACGTCCAATGAGCGTCACCGGGCGTATCAAAGCTAAGCCCAGCAGCTGTACACATAAATAGCTACCGTGTGGCCTCTTATGGCTGTCGGCAACTCAGTGACAACAACTGTCCTCATCAACGTCACGGGCAACGTCAGCGGCAACGCAACCAGCAACGCTGTAAATCTGGCCCAGGTGATCAACTGGCTGACGCTGAGCATCGGGCTGCCCGCCATCGGACTGGCCATCTACACCCTCAGGAACCTGTCCAAAGGTTTGTAGCTACTCCTCTCTGTGTCCAAACACTTGATATATACACCGACCCACCAGCCAACTGGGCCACCGGATCCTACACACACGGGGTTGGGGGCAAAACTCCAACTCTGGCTTGATACTTCTTCCATGTTAGGCTTTAATTCACTTTTAGGCTTCAACGGGCTTTTAGGAACCAAAACAGTATTAACGGCCGGGTGAGTTTCATCCCATCAAATACCGGCATCATGTCATATCAGTATCAGTGTCTGTATGAGCTTTAGCCCCCGTGTCAGTATTACTAATGGGCCTATAGGTAATAATAGTGTCAGTGGTAATGGATACAGTGGTACTAATATTAGTATGCATACTAGTGAGTGACAGTACATTTTGAAAGCAACATCATGCCATAAGAGGGAGGCCTTCAGGAGTAAGTGGTTATTAGTTCCACGAGTGGCACAATGTTGGTACCCCATGTGGAGGAAATGAAAAGTAACATTATGATCGTTGTGATCTGTTTGTTTGTACCAGGTGAGAACAAAATCCCCATGCACGTCGTGTTCCTCCTGGTCTCTGACGTCCTCAGTTTCTTCGGCCGTCCCGCTGTGGACCAGGACATGGCGGCTGGGCCGGCGTTCACCTCGAACCCCACTGACTTCCTCTTCTACTTTGGCGTCATCACCAACGTCACCCTGATGCTGGCCATAGCTCAGGAGCGCCATCTCCTGGTGTTCTACCCGCGGTGCCTCGGCTGCTGCGGCAGCGTCCGGCGCTCCCCCGCGGTGACCTTGGTGACGTGGGCCGCCCCGTTCGCCGTCCTGGCCCTCGCCGTGTTGCGCTACGACCTCTGGTTCGCCGTGTGTCTGCTCGCTCCCTTTCCTCTCCTCCTCTTCTTCGCCGTGGACTCGTGCAGGGCGCTGGTTTGCTCCCGATCCGACGCCTCGAGCCCAGAGAGGAGGAGGGCGGTGTGGGGGATCGGTGCGATCTGGGCCAACTACACCCTCCTCTACGTCCCCTACATCCTCAGCATCCTCCTGGAGGCGCTGTCCTTCACGAAAACGGTCACCTACCTGGGGCTGGTGTCCCACCTGCTGCTCTACCTCAGCCCTCTGGTGGACCCCTTCCTCTACATATTCATGACCAAAGGGCTCAAGGAGGTGGTGCAGGCGCTGCCCTGTTGCCACAAACACGGTGGGGGAGGAAACACGGCGCCCACGGTGGACACTGTGGCTGAGACCGTGGAGACAAGGCTCTGAGGTCAGCGTCGTTCTCCGGGACAACACATGAATGGTCTTTACAGTGTGAAGTGACAGGTGGAGCCGTTAAGACACATGGTTTTCTTTAAGCTTCTGGTTTACCCCGCATGTTAGCTGGATTATGGTCAGGTACCACTCGAAAACCCATCTATCAGGCTTCAATTAATGGCAACTACAGGCGTGTCTTGTGTGTGTTGTCTTGTGTTTAAGACGGCGTGGAGGGGACGAAGGCTCCTGAAGACGTTTGTGTGGATGCCACAATATCTTGATGTTACGTCTGCTTATTTCTTCACTAAAAGAAGAGCAAAGAACTGAAGAAGGCTTTTCTCTGTGGAGAAGACATACCAACCTGCAAAACTTTGATTGACAGATGGTTAATCCAATCATCTGCCATGCAGCTCCCAATGACTGGCTCTGTGTTGCAAACCGTCCGGCGAGTCAGATTAGCTTTTAGCACCGTCTGGGGTTGAATACCACTGGATAACCCCTGCAAACCGAAGGCTAATCCTCCAGTGCAGCGCCAGCAAGCCCAACGCTAAAGCTGGGTTTAGCCCACTTTGGCTCTGCCAGTGTGAGAGCTTTCCTAACCCCGGGCTAATCGCTCACTTAGCTTGGGTCTAAGTGCAGCGAGGCCTTTTAACGTCCAGGAACTGAACATTTTTGAGCAGGTAGGAGCGCTGCTCCGCTCGCTCGCTAAACACATGAATATTACATGGTTAAACAAAAGGAAATGAGTTAACGTGTCAACCACCTCCTGGTTCCCTGGTCTCAAGGTCAATGTTTTTTTTTTTGTGTTAGTTAAATGCCTTAAATACACAAGCTAAACCGATGCTAATGTTTTGATGCATAACATGTAGTAAATACCCTCTCAGGTACTTTGAGTGTCTCAAGCAAACAGAGGTGGAACAAATGACCACGTGTGCTGCTGGTTGCCATAGAACATGTTATCTGCAGCAACTGGTGATCAACAAGTTCATTAACGAACTACGATCCAATGAGGGGTTTTTTAGGCTCTACTCTTACCCATTGTTACAATTTGGGGGTTTTGTAGTGAAAAACTGCACCCACACATTTTTATTTATTTATTATTTATATTTCTCTGCTTGCTAGATGCACTATACTTGAACACGCACACACTATGTTACCCTTCTAAACGTGAACGAATCGAACGAACAAGGTCATAGATTGCTGGGATGGTGCGGCCATGCAAAAGAATTGAGCTGGAGCGTCTGACACTGATGAGATGCCGGCCTCTTGGCTGTAGAGATGCAACAAGTTGGTTCGCAGGCCACATGTAGGTGTAAGAGCTGCTCTGTTGTGTCTACTGAGCACGTCGCTGTTGTCGTCCTTTTTTTCCCTTGCGAGGAAATAAACAGAGAAGGACGTATTTGACTCAGAGCCTTTATTCTTATGTCTTGTGCAAAATCTTCCATAACAATTTCCATTCATAGCGACATCTGTTTTTATGTATACTAAGGATGTTCTATTTTCCATTGCTTGGGTGTGTGTCGTGGGCGGGGGGGTTGCTAGAGGAAGCTCCATTACAGTATATATAAATAAAGTGTAACGCTGTAACTTGTAACTCATATGCGTTCCATTGTAACCATCAACACTTTCTGCTGCATTGAAAGGTGCTGTTGGAATAAAGTTGGTTGTTTAGCAGCAGTGTCCTGGACTAGCCTGATATTTGGTCAATGCTTTCTCTCAATGCTTTTTTCATAAAGTTGGTCCTCTAATCACAGCTGAGTTTGGAGCTTTATCAAATTACATTTTTGGTACCACCTATAATGATAGAGATGGCCGATTAAATAATAATACTTTTGTTTTCTATAGCACTTTTCTGGGTACCCAAAGATGCTTTACAATTTAAATCTAAGTAAAGGAAACGTACAGAAAACACAGTCCTTGCTTTGATCGTCTCTTCTCTGCTACATGCTCGATGTCATCTTTGGTTCTGGGAAAACAGCCGGAGACTCCACGGAGAGAGAGGAGACCTCATTTCGTGTGAAACGAAACAAAAACGATGTTGCAGGATTTTTAATGTTTCAGTTGATAACAGGCTTGTCTACATTGTATCTCCTACTGTGGTGTTTGAAAATAACACAATGCTAAAAAGTGTATATTCCTTTTCTGCTGCACTCAATCGTGTGCAGGTCTTAAAATCCTAAAATTCTCAACAAAGAAACTAAAATATAAAATTATATATATCCTATTTCTGTGATATTATTATTATTATACCTAATCCAGTGAAAATGCTATGTTGACTATGGCATGGAAGATGTCGGGATGTGCTTTGATTTTTCTCCCCGTTCTCCACGTCACCACCAGATGTCCCCAGAACCTTTTCTAACCCGAACCCGCGGTCGCATGTTCCTCTGCCGACCTTGGCTTCTCAATGTCGTCGACCGTCTCCGGCAGCCTCGCGTTCAGCGTCTCCGGGAGCAGCAGAGCCGCCAGGCCGGAGATGATGGCCACGGAGGAGATGATGACCTGAGGGAGAACGGTCCACACGTCCTCCAGCAGCAGGATGAGCGGGGCCACCGACACCCCCACGCGACTCAGGACGTTGGTGTAGCCTAAACCATTTTGTCTGTGAATCACAAATCACGACCTTAATAATCGGCCCTGCTCAGTGGTCATGCAAGCTTCTCTTTGAAGGAAGCGTTCAGGAACTGAACTGATCTGAGGCTTCTCGTCCGTTCCTTTCTTACAGTATCTCCAGATCCCCTTGACTGAGTTCATTCAAACTTTGTACAGAAGGTCAATTAGGACTATAGGACCAACTGGTCAGATGTTGGTGGTCGAAGGTCAAGGCCACTTTGACCACGTCTTCCCCAGTCCGGTTAAAGTCATTCCTCTGATTCAAACAAAATCATCCATCTCGACTTGAGGATGAAGTGATTTGAATAAGATCAAGTCAATCGATAGTAGTCTCTGACAATAGCTCGAGCATTCATATGCTAATCATGACAAGTCAATGCATCTGCATGCAAGTAACTGACCTGACAACTGTTGGGTAAAGCTCTGTTGTGTAAAGGAAGACTGTTGTGAAGGAAGCTTCTGACAGGCCTTTTCCCACAATGGCAACAACAGCACGCACCTGCCACAGACCTACACAGTGCAGCGCATGCAGCATACGGTACAATGTTCAACCAGCTTTCGTTGCTCATAACAACATGGACATTAACCCAGGATTTACGTAATTTGTGTCAAACGGATTACAAATCAAAGGGAACGCCGACCTTGTGGTAAAAGCACGTTGATGATTATGCAGACCCCCGTCAGTAACAGCGTTCCCGCTTGGCACTTCCTCCGTCCAACGACTTTGAGTAAGAAATAGATCATCAGCTTCGCAGGGACCTCGATGGCGGCGTAGACGAAGTGTGTGAGGTAAATGTTTAAGCCAAATCCAGTGATGTTCAAGCTGATTCCGTAATACGTCGAGGAAACTCCATACCTGTAGAGTGAAGAACAGGTCATTGCTCAATATGTGTCTCTTTCCACACAACTATACTCCAACTGAGATTGTTCAAATAATATAACTAAATACTGTCATGGTTAACCGTGATTGACCGTATCGTATTTGTCGAGGCGACACCCACCACACGATGCCAGTCAGGAGGGTTAACCGCCTCATCTTCGGGGTCTTGATCAAGTCGAGGTACGTGTAGTTTTTATCTTTCTTTTCCAGGGTTTCAATGTCGGCGAGGCTCTGCACAACAGCAGAAGAGGAACATTAAAGGATAAGTCCACGTATTTTGATCAAGCAATTCTCCCAAAAAACTCCCAAACGAAAACTATGTACGATTCCAGCCATGTTTTCACCAGACAGCGTTTCCTGGCTGAGCTGTGAGGGACGGAAAAACACGGCCTCTATGGAAGATACTTATTATATATTGATTTGGAACGCTGAGGAAACACGTCAATGTCTTTGAGTGGTGTGTGGACCTTCTCAACGGGCTTTGAGAAAAACAGGCTCGGCAACACTACGGGAACTCATTGACCGGTTTGTTTCAGAATGTGATAAAGAGACCGTACTTAAAGCCATGAGAACATGAAGCTGGAACTTACCTGCAGTTTGGAGTTGGAGGACGCCTTTGGTCTTTTGTTGAACTTGGCGCATTTGTCGAGGTAAAACTGAGCTTTTTCCACTTTCCCGTTGGCCAAAAGCCAGCGGGCAGATTCAGGAATCCAACTGCAATTATATTCAAATAAATAGTAATCAGTGGAGGGAAATACTTAAATAACGCTGAAAATAACTGGCAAGTGGTGACCCCTCTGCTTTCAGAGAAAGTCGGTGAATGCAATTCTTTTGATTCGCACCACCAGCTGAGCAATGCAAAGCCCAGTGGGGCCGTGACGGTCATGATCAGAGTACGCCAGTCCTTCACCAGGAAGGCAAAGCCAGCCAGCAGCATGTTGCCTGCAGACCAGGACAGGCTGCCAATCACGCCGATAAAAACCCTGTGTTCAGTGTCGACCCACTCGATGCCTGCAGGTGAAGGACAATTATATGTGTATTTACAGTATATCAATAATAATCCATGATACCGCAGTTTGTTTCTGCCTCATTTTACTTTCCCGGCGAGTTTGGTTGAACATCTGCAAACAGATTAGACCTTCTTGTTTTAGCTTTTAACTCCCAAATCTTAAACCCGGTTTGGCTGATTATTTTCCCATTTGTTTGTACGAACAAACGAGCTGTAAAGACAAAAAGGGCAACATAGTCAGCTTACTGAGGACAACGGAGTTGATGCCGATTCCCGTCAGTCCAAACCCAGTGAGGAATCTCAGCACCGCAAACACGACGTAGGAGTCTGCGAACGCGCTGGCGAAGCCAAACACGATGGCCGTGATGTACGAAGCCAGAAGAGTGTTTTTCCTCCCGTATCTGCAAACAGAAATCTCATCTCTATGGACTAAACTCATCCCCATGAGCATTGCCCATCCACATGAAAACCATTTCTCCCCCTTTAAAATCGTTTGGTGTAAGAAAAACAACGTTTCCTTTTCTTTGTCATTTGAACTATTATCCCATTTTGGAGACCTTTTTACTCCCCTACTTGTCACTGAGGAATCCAAAAACAACGGCCCCTAACATCACGCCCAGAAAGAAGATGGAGCCGGTGGTTTGCGTCAGGTTTTTTCTATCACACACGAGGTCCCACTGCAGACGCAGAACGCAGAGGAAGGGTCATTCCATTAGCAATATTAAGTAGCATCGACAGTGAGCACGATGTACACAGTGTTTGATGCTGATAGAAGCAACTCCATGGTTGTACCTCTGTGGCCAAAGTGGAGGTGAAGGTGGAGTTGTCATAAACCCATCCGCTCTGACACCGGAGGGTCGGCGGGTTGGCCCCCCAGGAGCCGTTGGCCAACAGCTGAAACTGAGGCTCCGCAAACATCTCGCAGGATTTCCAGCCACGGCCGTCCTCCCGCGCCGGGAGGCTGACGGTCAGCCTCTGCTCCTCGGTTAGATTCTCAAAGAGCCCTCCGGCCCCCAGCGTGCCGATGTCACAGCGGTGGGGAGGCGAGGCGGCGATGAAGTTGTTCAACAAGAAGTGGCACGGCAGAACCATTCGAGGGGCGCTCAGCAGGACGACCATGGCCATTTGGAAAGGCCCAAAACCGTTGATTTCGTCCAGGATGTCCTCAAACTTCATGTTCACAGCGGGCTTGTGGTTGCTAAGAAGAAGACATCTGCTTCGACAGGAGTAGAACACGGAGGAGATAAACTCGGATCTTTGGGATCACGTATCAATGCAATTAAAGAAAGGGCAATTACTCACCTGCATGTGCAGAGGATCGATCCACTAACGACTCTGCACTGCTGCTGTGCTAATTGAGTTGTGACTCCTCGATGTGGTCTGAACAGGCTCCTTCAGCCAAAGTGATCATTAACATCTGCGTTACCTTTGACCGTCATAAAGTTATAAAATCTTGAGCGAGTTGTTCAATAGATTAACCATCAGCACAACGAGGGTCTGGCAAAAAAAACTTTTAACTTTTGACACATAGTTTAGGCCAAAGTCTGATATAAGTTTGCTATAAGCTGAAATGAATTGCAAAAGATTGCTGACTTCTAACACTACTAGAAGTAGAAGTCATTTTACTATTAATACTAGTAGTACTTTTTATAGTAGTAAGAGTAATAATATCAGTTGCAGTGTCACTACTAGTAATAGTATTTTTAGTACTACTACAAGTAGTATTAGTAGTAAGAGTGATTTTAGTATTAATAGCAGTTGAATACTAGTAGTAGTAGTATTAGTAATGGTAGTAGCCGTATCAGTGTTAGTAGTACTAGTAATCTTAATAGTAGTTGTAGTAGTATTTGAAAGAGCGATAAGAGAACAGCTTCAATCTTAGCTCCATGGTTAAGGTACAGATAATTATTGAGGCTTTTATTTTGAAATGATGGAATTGGGTGAGTGGGAGAGGGGGTTGGGAGACAGAATGTTTGTCCTTCAAACTAAGAAGTTATTAATCGATAGGCCTCATAACAAACATTACAGTTAGAATTCCCTCTATGGGGGTTTTATTTTGAAATGATTGGATTGTGTGTGGGGCGTGGGGGGGGGGTGGAGAGAAAACTAGAGAGAGGGGGAGAAAGAAAGAGGGAGAGGGTGAGGAAGGGAGGTATAGTGAGGAAGAGACCGAGAGATAGTGAGTGACTAAGAGTGAGGAGGTCGGGGGGGCAAGCGAGGGGTTTCAGAATGTTGGTCTGTTATGTGACTCCACTAATCAGCTATTATGTACTTTCAGCTAAAAGTAATAAAGTAATAAATCGGAAGGCAAAGGAGATTCCATCAATGCTGTCAATAAAAATAGGCGAGTCGCAGTAGAAGTGACGTATGCGGCCGACGAATGCGCCCTCAGGGATGCAGCCTAGCGACTTTGAGACACAGCTACAGACTGCAGTGTGTGAGTGAGTAACCACGGTAACAGCGCACCTGGGGTCACCAACAAGCTGCTCAAAGGGCAGAGAGCATGACAGCGATTTACACAGAATCGTTAGCACAAAGCTAGTATCAAAAAAAGAGACCCAGGACTCTGCCGAACGCGTTGACGGGATCTATATGTCTCTGCGTGTCTTCCGAAGTTTTCCGAACATGTACCTTCTGGTTGCTTTGAGAAATATGTCAGCAGATTTACATTGGAGCCTATGGAGCTGGGGACAGGAACGGAATCATTTTGTCCAAGAGGTTTGTAAAAGGCAGACAGACATCAGAAAATGTTGAATGCCAGCGTATTTAATACTGCAGTAACCTTTTGATCGGTAACATCCTCTATCCTCTCTCAACGAAGATACATTTAATCAGCCAATCATTTAAAAATGAAATGGTCGTTTTACATGATGAAATCAGCCCTGGGCCGTCCTACACTGCAGGAGGGTTGTCATGCTTAATTTAAAGTCACGTGCATTCCTTTGTGGGGCAAAAGCACCGTGTTGAAGTTTTACAGACTGCTGCATAACAAAATAAAACCCAAGCGTGTATTGTGAGCACTGGAAAACAAGAGTTTGTTCATTCGCTATGTGCAAGTCCTCTCTAATGTCTTGAGTTTTCCTATTAATAGTAAAAATCATCACCAATCCATAGTCCACCTTGTGCTATTAAGGCTTATTTTCTGTTTATTTTCCTGATCAAGACCAAACTGTGATTCATAGGGGGCACACAGGGAGGAGGATGGAGTAATAATTGCGTACGCTCTTTGTCTTCATCACATCTGAACAATCCCAGAAAACACAATTGTTGGCTGGAGAGATTTGATTTGGCCTGTAATTGTATTTCTGAATGACTTCTTACAGGAAAACAAAGTCAGAAGAAAAGACACAATAAGTTATTCAAGAACTGTGTGATGTCCATTGTGTTGCTGTATGACAGCAGAGCTTTCTGGCTCTGGAGTCGTCCGTACCTCCAATTCTGTTGATTTATTCACAAAAGGCCGTGAATGTCTGTTTCCCCCCGATGGAGCAACCACCAAACCCATCGGGGCTGAATAGTCGAGGTCCTTCCTCTGGGGATTGTGAATATCCTCCTCCGGACTAAAGCTTTGGATGGAAAGTCATAAATATTTTATCATATAATAAATAAATATTCCCGTCCAGTGTTTAGAGAAAAGTATCTCCAGAGAAGACCGCTGAGACTGTTAATCTGAGAAGAATACAGCGTGCTAAGGATCTGCCCTCGCTTGTAGGAACCCGGGACACGAGTCGTCTTTGACTCTAACATGGGAAACTGAGTGTTTGTTTACCGGGAGACTTGAGCTCAATCAGGGTTCAGTCCCAGTCAGTGTCCTGGGATTGGACCGCAGCGTAAACATGCTGTCCTAGATAAGCATATTGGACAGTTGTCCTGAGACCTGCTGAATTACTGGAGGACAGACGGAGACATACTGTATGTGTGGACGGAAAGGCCGTCATTTTAAAAGGCTTTCACTGGTTCTGTTCTCTTTCTGTCTCTCAGCATCTTCTGGGTTCATTCTTACATTTGATCAAATAAACGTTAAATGATAGTAGGAAAGGTGTTTTAACGTAATAATGTTTGATGATTACAAGGCAGAAAAAATAAATGACCAAAGTTAAGAGGGCACCATTGTTTCGACAACCCGTTCTAACGTAATTGTTTGTGTGTATTAAACCAACTGTGTGGCATTTGTGAGGGAATGTTGCTTCTCTTTCTTTCTTTTCATCATACGCAATGTTTATGCATATTTACATACATTTGATTCAATGAGGAGGAGGCAAAGTATGATGTTGCCTTATAATGTTCGCAATGTATTATTCTGCACAAAAGACACGTGCAGTGCGCAATGGATTGACCCCAAAATATTCGGCACCAGCAGGATCTTGAATTTCCCATCGGGGATCAATAAAGTACTTCTATTCTATTCTATTTTCCCCTCGTTTGTGCAGCAGTTACTGGATGGAGACCCTGCTTGTCTCTTTTTCCAAAGAGGAAGCCTTTTTTGCATCAATGATCTTGAAAACAGAAGGATTTGAACATCTGACATTGTGAATGAACAATTATTATTCATTATTGTAAAAATAATGAATCACACTTGAGGCTGATGAGGGAGGGTAAGATCAGTATGCTTTAATAATAAGATATCAGTGCATAAACACACGCTTCTTATTGGGTTGAATTCCCCAATTAGTAATAACAATAATGACAATATATGATAACAATAAAATCAATATTGATTTTGAGCATATTAAAAAAATGAAGACCATTGATCAGCTAATACAACTGTACTGTATGACATGGACAAAAAGAGAATACAAGTAGCTAAACACGGATCCCATGAGGAGAAGCAGGAGCGCTGCTGCCACACGAGACACCAGATGCTGATATCGTCTTTAAAGAGGAAGTGCGAGCCGGATACATTTGGTCACTTTTGTGTTGTGGGGAAACCCTTCAAGCAGCACAGCGTGTTGGTCATACGCCCTCTAGGGGTTGAATGGAGTTTAAGCCCCGCCCATTACCTTGGGGGAGGGGCTTGATTTTAGTTTCTAAATTCGACTTCCATCTGGCCGACTCTTTCCACGTACATTAACCCGTTTTAGTTCAAATCTCATCGATTGAGAGAAAGTCCATCTGTTCTTCTTCCATGTGCAATTAAACATTCAACATTTTAAACCTAAAAAGTCTTGTTCTCCAGAACTTCAAACGCATTAGATTTTATTTTCATTATTGGTAATTCAACATATTTATTACTGTACATGGTCCTGCAAATAGAAATATCTCAATTTGATATTAACATTAAAAAGGAAGAACTAACTTAATTTAATCAATGATTAAAGGATTTGGTTACAGCCCTTTCTAAACAATCAATTATCATGTTACCTGCCAGTTTTTAAGGCAAACTGTGCAACAATTGCAATTTTTCCCTCTGACCTTTGACCCTCCAAGGAGCTCTTTCAACTAAGCAGCTTCAATCACAAACAAACTGTCCGGTTGTCTGTCACAAATGTTAACTTGTCATAACCAGCGGGTTCTGAGGAGGATTAAGAATTAAGAAACAAAACCTCGAGTGGGTTAATATGAAAATCATTGTTAACGTCACTGTGTTCAGATACGAGGTCAAGTTGGGATTGTGTTCAATAAAAGACTCTGGATTCAACTGTGCACTTGAAGGGTAAACTAGACGCTTTGGGACAAGCATAAGGCACATTAAGAAGTTTACACTTTAAAGAGAATGTCAGCACAACATAAAACACAAAAAAATAACAAATATATGTTAGAATTCAAGAAATAACACGTCTTAAAACATGACAGTTGCTCTTATAAATGAAACTTAGAAACTATGATTAATTATGTGGCAACGTCACCTTCTTTACAATATTCAAAATGCTACATATCTGAAAAGTGAAACCGATTTAGCTTTTACTTGTTTTTAGTTTTATCGTCTTACAGCAAGAAACAAAAAGTGTTCAGCCAAGAGATCCGATACATGTTTTAGCGATACGATATTTAAGAATAAAAGTGGAAAGGAGGAAAATAACTTCCACAACACGGAGGGAGCACGAGGGGAAACTGCCCAGCGAGGGATCAGAGAAAGACAAAAGTACCAGGACACAAACACTGAGAACACCATCGTCAACAGCACGCTTCTCTGTAAATACGCAACGTACATGTGAACTGAGATCTATGATCAATACTCTTCAGATCCATTTTAGGCCGATTGGTTTGTGCAAAGAGGGGGAGGGGGGGCTCCTGTGATTGGCCCACACGCCCCCAAATATCCCCCCCCCCCCACCCGCCGGTAACCTTAAAGAAAGTCTCTGCCCATTTACGACAAATCTCACAGACTTTGCGCGTTTTAAACTCTGTTGTTGTGGCGCAGACACTGTTTCCTGTATTAGAAATGAATAGAAAGCGGCTGCCTGGAATGCTGGAAACAGGAACATGACAAAATATAAAAACAAAGTAATCTATAATTGACCTGTGGTTACAAAAGCCCAAACCTCGTGCTCTGTTAAAAGCAACAATTAAATCTTAAAAGGGAAAAGCATTCACTTTTTAGATATCCCACCCCTGCCCCCGTTGGCCGTCGGTGCACACCACTGGCTCACATGAACTATTACGGCGAGCTTTGCTGCTGACTATATAAACTTTAGCTCTGTGAGATAATTGCACAATAAGAAAAAACCCTGTAGTCACACAAGCTACTGACCCGACTGAGAGTCAAGCGAGAGGAAAAAAACACGTTCAGATAAATAAAGGACAGATTTAAGGAGAAGTTACAAAAATAATACAACAAAAACTTTAACATATTACAGCAGAATAAATGTGTTGCAATATAAGTGTAGTGTGTCTGTTTGACACCATAATCTGGCACAAGAAGATACAAAAATAAATGAGTATAGATATATAGAGCAGTATTACTGTTGATTAAATAAAATAACCAGTGGACATCGGATACAATCTAAAATATTATCTTATTATAATACGTAAAACAACACTATAATGTCACCACAGTTGACCCGAAGTATTGCCGGCGTGAGCAAACTGCTCTGCGCTGCAGATGGTCACAGCGACTCGGGTACGATGGAGGCCGTTAAAGTGTGTCGGTCCTCACAGGCACCGCTTGCATCCCGATTATGCTCATTAGTTTGGATTCTCCGCTTTTTTCAAATGACATATTAGTATTTATTTTTGCTTACTTCGGTCCTAAAAAAGGAGATTTGGGCGTTTCGGGAGCTTTCTCTTTTTTTTAATGCGCATATTTATTTAACTCTTGTTGTTGTTTTAAATTCAAACACGGCTACAATTCAGAACATACATGATACACACAACGTGACCTTTTGCCAGAAACTAAGGCGTTAAATGGGTTTAACTGCTGGTTAATATTCAAAGTGAAAGGACGCAGTGTCGTCTAGGTAGTATATTGCTCCTCTGAGCTGCTGAGGAGAAGGCAGGTCTCCATCTGCACTGAAGAACCGAGTTCAAACTCCGGTGTCGAGTCTTTTAGTCGCGTTATTTTTCACTCTGTTAATCGTCCCGCGCTGACCTCTTTATTCACCAATGTTACCCTAAAAGTGCAGCTCGTCTATGTCACTGGCTCAACGCGTGGGCACAACGCTGGTGTTCGACCTGTATCTGATTTGAGTCGAGACCTCCGAGGACAAAGACAGTGACTCTGACGTCTCAGCTCGTCTAGGTGCGGGACGACCAAGGGGACAGGGGACGACAGCGTGGGCGGAGGCGTAGAAGCTAAAGGCAGAAGGCAGGACGTGGTCGTGAACGCCGTTTCCCGTGGGTAGCTCAGCCCCGGGGCTCCCAGAATGCCCGGAGGTATGAAGGTCAAGAAAGGCTTAATTCTCTGGCTGCACACTGAGGCTTAGGGTCGGGATTAAGTTCAGGTTTAAGGCAGGCTTTGAACCTCGAGGGCTCTAGGTGGCCTGGTCCAGGGCCCTCAGCAGGTCGCGGCCCTGGAGGAGGTACAGGCTGCCCTGGAGGGGGACGTTGACCTCGCAGTCGTAACGGGTCAGCTCGGGCAGACAGGAGGACTCGAAGGAAGGGCCCAGCAAACGGCTGACCATACCTGGAAGACAGCAGACATGGAGAGGGCGTCTCAATGTCCCCTTCTTTTTTTTCCCTCACACGCACAAGCAGAGAAAAGCACACAAGTCGAGTACATAACAAGTGCTATCGAGCATTAAAAACACACATTTGACGGTTTAATTTATTTTGTACTTTTAGAACGTTCCCTTTATCCGGTAATTACACATTTTGAGCTTCTTCTGTGCCGTTTCTATGGCTTTCATTTTGAAAATACCAATACATGTATCGGCAGCTCCTTTCCCCCGACCCAAGGCCTTCTGTCCATCCAAACCCAACTGTGTTTGGAGTGAAACTTAAATGTTCTGCCAATATCGTTAGTTCCTAACAAGGAATAAAGCCTTTTTGATCTGGTTGGATTCATTCGGTTGCACAGCTTTGCATTCTCGTTGCCAATAAGCTTGTTAATATTCTTTAGGTTGTTACTTTGTCCTCCCTAGAGCCCAGTCAAAGACGCTGCAAGAGCTTTATAGTATCAGACATTTATAGTAACCACTATCAAAACATCAGGTTGTCTTTAGGATCACTTGGCAAGGACTTTTTTCTTGTATGTTAACTTTAAATAAGATGTCACGTGGTGTTAGTTTCTAGTCAGCTCACCCTCGGTCTTGTTGCAGGGCTGCGTGTTATACGTGTAGCTGCAGCTCTTCCGGAGGAAGAGTTTCTCATCATCGCCACCCGTCCCGTTTCCCGGATACTGGCACTTCCTGTGTTGCTGCGCGGAGCTGAGGAACGGAGACACGCCTCCCGGCGTCATCCTGCCCATCTCCGACGCTGAAGGGCGGGGAAACACAGGTGCGGTTGTTGCACGGAAAAAAACAGACGGCGGCGCGCGCCGCGGGTGTTCATACCGGCCGTCTGCCGCTCGTACCTGCCAGTGAGCCGGCGCTGCTGTCCCGCCTCATCTTCTTCCAGATGTTTTCCGAGGGCGTCCCGTCACCCTGAAGCGCAAATCACGCGAGAAAAGAGAGAATTCCACAAACGATTCAAGGCTCACCGCTTTGCAAAAACGATTCAAAAACGTTACCATTGTGGCTACATGAGTAAAAAAAAAAAAATGTTTTTAATAAATATGTATTATTTATTCATTTAAATGAAATAAATCAGGGAAACTCACCACAGCCATCTGAGTGAAGGAGCGCTTGATACTGTTGGCCACGGCCACGTTGGCTGGACTCATGTCTCTATAGGCCTGCACAAAGTTGTCAATGGACCTGCACACACACACACACACACACACACACACACACACACACAAACACACACACACACACACATACACACACACACACACAAAAAACAGTCTTAGATTCTTTAAAAATGCCCGATAAACATTATATTGACTAAGCTTTAATGCATCACTTTATCCGCTCTTTGCACGTTCATCAACGAATTAAGTCAAACACCTGGGAATCATAAGGTGGGTTAACAATGATAATGGCGTGTTTCCTTCCTGGTTAAAAAGAACCAACGTTGGCTGTCACACGTCACCTGTGTTTCTGCATGAGGTGTGGCATGTTCTGTTGGCAGGACGGGCGCTGCTCCCCAGGGAAAGGCTGCATCAGGTACGCCTTGCTGGCCTGCAGCTGCTGCTGGTACGTTATCAGAGGGTCCGGTGGCCACAGCAGGTTCTGCCTGCCGCCCATGGACGACAGAGGCGTGCTGGCTGCCGCCGGGACATTTTGCAAGTGGCCCAACAGGCAGGACCCGGGCCCGGAGTCCACGGCGCCCTGGCCGGAGCATCCCTTCTCCCCCGCGGCCCACGGCGCAGCGGGCTGCTCCCGGTAGAGGCCTCGGGGCTGAGGTGGGGAGGCCAGGGGCTGGAAGAGGCTGGCGATGTTGCTGAAGCTGCGCTGCGTCGGCTGCTGCGCCGCAGCCAGGCCGACGGCGGGCCCGCCGGATCCCGCCGGACCCGCCTCCAGCGCCTCGGCCTCTGGCACGATGGGGTGCAGCTGGAAGTCCTCGCCATCCATCGGGATGTAAGGGGCCAACGTCTCCAGGTCCAAGTCGCTCAAGTCGCACTAGGAAAGTGTAAAACGTCGTTAGATGCTTCGCGTGTTAAACCAACTCGCCAGTTTCATAGCTGTTGCTTTATGTTTCCTCTCCTTAGAATGTCGGTCAAGTCGGTCATCGACTTGGTTTATCCCTGCGCATTTAAATACATAAAAAGGAAGCAAGACAAAAAAAAAAGCCCCATAAAGCAAATGAGTGCGCTGATAACACGCGGGCACGTTCATGGGACGCACACCTCAGTGTTGGCCGGAGTGCTTTCGTCCGTGTCCAGAGAAAACAGCTTCTCCGTCAGCTCCACTTTCAGGTCACTCTCCACTGGGCTGTAGTAATCACCTGGGCTGCTGGGCTGCGGGGGCGAAGCGAGAGGAGGAGGACAATAAACGGTGACGCGATGGATGGAGCAGGCGGAGACGACGTGCACCGAAAGAAAGGGGACAACGCGTGAGCCAAAAGAACGGTTTAAAAAGAACAGGGGGGGGAAAGTCCAACACGGGTTTCGACAAAGGCACTATTCACTGCCGGGAGCCCGCTCCTTCCGAATCTCCACCCCCGGTTCTCTCACACACATTGCCCACAGTTGGGGACCTTCAACCCCGCAGGCCTCACTGAACACAGAAAGGACAAACCGGGAAACAAACACTACCAACTAATCACACCCGGCCTCTCGGGCTCACCGTGGAGCAGCTGCTGAGGCTCGGCGTGGCGCTGCCCGGCGGAGGGTTCTGGGGCACGGTGAACGCGTTGGCCGCGTCCCGCTGAGCCGACGCCGGAGGGCCGGGCCTGCTGATCTCGCTGACCCAGGAAGCGGTTCCCGGGAGGGACGCCGCCGCGGGAGGCACCTGGGGGTACCCGACGGGCGGCGGCGGCGGCGGCTCCTCAAACGGAGGGCGATCTGCGAGGGAGGAAAATCGAATCACAGTCAGGGGTGAAGAGAAGGGCTGCAGAATCCAGCAGAATGACGGCGAAATGTTTTACGCCCCCCGGCGCGGCCCTCATTGCTGACATAACAACCAGGTGAGAGACGTGGATACAGACCGAAGTCCAGGGAGACGATTGTGTCTCCAGGAGTCGGGGCCAGCTGGGTGAGCTCCTCGGGCTCCTCTTTGAGCTTGGCGAAGAGCGCGTCTCCCGGCTCTCCGGCGGCGCCTGCGTCCCCGGCGGTGAAGAAGCTGCTCATGCCCTGTGGCTTGAACATCGACTCCGTCTGCTTCAAGGACAAAACCATCGACTTCTCCTCGATGTCACTGCGCGTTTGGGGAGGAAGGGAGAAGAAAAACGAAAATCATCTAGAGGCCCATTTTCTCCTGGTGCTTTAACTTCATTTGCGGAGGGCAATGAGCTGCTTCATGTGCTGTGTGATGCTCTCAAATGAATGGACCAGAACATCAGAATTAGCCAGTCGTGCAGCACAGAGCTCACCTGAGGACATAGTTTATGCACACTATGCACTGGGGCTGGGAGTTGCGGCTGTTGTAGATGACAGTCCCCTGGGTTTCCACCCACACGTAGCCTCCGTTCTTGGCCAGCATGCGGTACTGACCGCTCACCGCCTGCCCCTTGGAACACACTGCGGAGACAGAGAACGTGTATTAACACCCCTATGATCCATACGTGACTCATGGCTGTATTTATTATGCTAGAAAAGAAATCTCCTGTAATGTCGTTAGTGATACATTTTTATTGCACTACGGTACAGGCAGTACATGAGTGTGTTCATATAAGTTACCACTTACTGCCGCATGGAAATGTGTTCACAAGTGTGCAACATTAAAGGAAATTAGCACAACAAGAGACTTTTTTTTCTTTCATTTTTCCAGAGGCCGTGGAACGGACCCGATGTCCCCAGCAGAAAGTGACTTTGAGCTGAGACAGAGATGGCTGCAGGCCAGAGTTCAACGCTGGCGTGGGAAAGGAGTAGAGCCGTGGTCAGGGAGTGTACACAAGGCCAGCGCCTGTGTGTGCGTGTGTGTGTGTCTGTGTGTGTGTGTGTGTGTGTGTGTGAGGAAGGACAATATTAAATGTAATAGAGAACACTGTCAGTTAGCATGTTCTGATCAAAAGGCTGCTCACGCTGGCCGCGCGTGTGTGTGTGTGTGTGTGTGTGTGTGTGTGTGTGTGTGCGCGTGTGCGCGTGTGTGTCACAGAGAAACAGATACGGGGCCTTTTATCTCGGCGGAATTACAGCCAACTCGGAACTTTAGACGCGGACGTCGAGGAAAAGAAGTGACATAATCTGCAGGCTGTCTCAGCTCCCGAGAACTTTTTATTGTTTTTATTGTTTTATAGAAACAGACTTCAGACCTGCAATATGAGAATGAGAAAGTTAATCCTGGTTTTATGAAACATTTAAAGTAAAAAACAGCAACAGTCAACGTGCACGAGCCCTGGAAACATAAATCTTTGACATGATGTTTTTTAGCACACTGCCAGTATGTTGCATGAGCAACTAAGAGCTTCATACGAGAGCTGTCAGTAATGACAAAAGCCATGACACACACACACACACACACACACACACACACACACACACACAGCCATTAGAGTGTAATAAAGGCCACCTGGTCCCTTTGGCCAGTGTGTGCAAACCTCGTTAAGCCATCAATGGTTGTGCTTAATCTAATGAAGAGAAGACATCTTAATACCGAGTCCCTGCTCCGCACACACGTTTCTACCACACCAACCAAAAAGAAGCCAGGAGCTACAGCCTGGTATTCACACTCGACTTTCATGACAACGCGAGTGCTGTTAGCAAGCTAGCGTAGCCACGTAGCTCCGTCGCAGCTTGTTTTTTGCTGAGTCGCCATAATATCATAAATACCACAATGCATTCTGGCGTTTTTTTCTCTGAAGACCAGCTGAAGACCAGGTCAGCGATTTGATAAGGTTGTGAGCGCATGCTAAAAGCCTAAAGTCACCTCCCCTGTACGCCCGTGTGCGCGTGTTCGTGGCGTTGTGCGCGTGCTTACGGTTGTGGTGGCTCTTGGTGACGCCGTCGGAGTCCAGCGCGTGGTAGAAGTCGTAGGCCGAGCGGCCCAGCAGGTCCTCGGGAGCGTAGCCCATCAGCTGTGTCACGCTGTAACACACACAAACACACACACACACACACACACACACACACACACACACACACACACACACACACACACACACGACTTCATCTCATCAGTTTGTTATTGAACAGAAATCCATTCTCATTTTTATTTGTCTTAAACGTTCTCTTACTCGTTATTTCATCAATAAAACAGTGGAGTATGTTACAGGATTACAGTAATCTGATTACTCCCTCCCGTAAAGTACTTTTATGCCGTGCCCACACCAAATATACTGGAGTGCTTTATTCACTTCCAGTGAGAGTCTCTTCCCAACAAACTGTGAGAACGTGATCCAGACCATCAACAGGAAATGACCCCGGACACGAGGCTGAAGGACCAGAGAGGATCGACCGGGACAAAGAGTGCCGACATTAAAGAGGCTGCGATGTCATTTCCTCCGCCGAAATCCTTCAGTCCGGCAGACATAATGTTGAGCAAGTAGCATGTTTGACACTATTGATTCTGGTCATCCGCCTTAAACACGAGCAGCTACAACATTCAGTGATGCGCCACCAAAAACATCAAATTAAATATCTTCAGGTTTTCTGCCGTGGTCCAAATATGCACTTTGAATATTGAATGTTTGTAATTCGTTGATGTTAATTAGTTTTTTTTTTCTTATGTCTTATTAAACCATAAAGGCCTTTAATCGGATTATTCCATTATTCTCTCTTCCTCCGCTAAGTGAGAAGTGTCCTTCCCTCCTTCCCTCGCCCTCTGTTTCCTTCCCCTAGCCTCTAATGAGTCGAGCCGCGAGGGCGACCCGCCTACCACACACTCATTTGCGTAATTGGAGGGAAGATTTGGGCAGCTATCAAATTGCACCAAGAAGTACGAAAAAGAAAAATGGGTCCTTGTTCGTCGAGCTGTTTCTCACAGACGCGATCACGCAACCCGGCCAACGCACACACGTCCCCCCCCCGACGGAAACCTTTGTCCTGCATGGGCAACTTGATAAGATTACAGGTCTGTGTGCTTGTGCAAGTTCGAATCAGAGCACGTGTTTGTGTGTGTCTTTGTGTGTGATGATGGGGGGGTGGGTGGGGGGAGGGGGTGTTTGAACCGGCTTTTCGGTTGCAAGATGGCCGCCGTGCCTCGTAGCACAAATCATTTAAATGAAATATCCGTTGCCATGGTCACACTCGTGCAAACAACGCACGGCAGGCAGTGACTGGAACTGGGCCGTGAATCTGGGATACTTTTAGTCATTATCACTTGGTGACGGTTGGAATTGTGCACATCTGTGATTAGACACGGGACCCTCGCTGCGACCGGGGCGGGGGGGGGGCTTTCTGGGTACCTCTCGTCGCAGTAGGTGAACTTCATGTCCATGCCGTGTCGGCTCAGGAACGTCTTGCTGTCCAGCGGCGCGTCGATGTTGGACGGGTGTGCGACGGGTTCGCACATCAGCACGGCGCAGGTGAGCGGGGGCTCGCTGAAGCCGCACAGCACGCGTGGGGGGCAGCTGCTGTACATCTTCAGGTGTCCGGTGCAATGCAGCACCTGGAGGGAGCAGCAGGGGGAACGAATGAAACTCACCCACTTAAGTCACACTTACCATACTTGCATTTTTTTTATAATTGTTCAAACCCGGTGCTGCACTTTGATATCTGCATAGGGTGCGTTCGTTTTCTTACCTTCCAGCTGGCTGACTTGAGGTTGACGGTGCGTCCTCTGTTGGTCACCGTGCATTTCATCCTCATGAAGAAATCTCGCTCAGTACTCAGGTCTTTGCCTTTTTTACCCGAGCCGCTGCCTGAAAAAAAAAACACGTTTTGTTTCAGTGGCGAAATGAAAAGAATCCTCCGTCACACACACACACACACACACACACACACACACACACACACACACACACACGCAGGACGGGAAGTTGTGCCACGCTGTTACATCACGAGGTCAGAGTTCAATCTCGGAGCAAAGTGGTGAAGAGTCTCTTGTGTCTTCAACTTCTCTCGTCCTCTCTGGAGAAGACGTGTGTGTCCAAGTGCGGTTGTGTGTGTGTTAAAGGGAGCGAGGCTTCGCCATCAGTCCGCATGTGTGCTGATAAGAGTTTAGTGAGAGCGTGTTTCTCACATGAACCACGTCCACCACCTGCTTCAGATAAAGCCGAAGTCCTCCTCTCGTCCCCCCCCCCCCCACCGTCCCCCCGTGTCTCTCTTTAGGTTGCTCTCCATGCGGGCTCTGACCTTCTGTCCTCCTCTTTGTTCCGGGCACTCATGTGTCGTTTTTTTTTTCGCCCTGTTGTTCTTGGATCCGTTTTCCGACCCGCAAACAGAAGCGAGGCCGCTGAGCGTTGGTTTAAGAACCCGACGCGGAGCACCGGCGTGTTAACTTCGGGCATTATCGACCGCTTGAGCAAGCTCCAAGGACTGTGTCCATCAAATATTTGGGTCGGGAGCGAGAGACGACTGCCGCGAAGATCAGTGTGGATTCGTGCTCAGTTGAAATTTCATCAAAAGTATCACAATTCTGACCAAATGTCAACGTTGCAGTTCTGGCTTATCTTTAACATTTCATTAAACACAGTGTGCTGAAGGGAACAAAGTCTGGTTGTGGTTAATAGCACCTTTTGAGATTAGAGGAGACACGTTGTGCTTTCTTCCCCCTGCTACTTTATGATAAATGTGTTTATTTATATTCATATTTAACATAATTCATCTCTAATGACGATATATTCTGTGTATTATTATCTAAACCGAGATGGTAAATGGATTAATAAATGTCTAGCTATGTAGTTGTTGTGAATGTGAACGATGTGAAGACAAAACGAGGGTGTGTGTGTGTGTGTGTGTGTGTGTGTGTGTGTGTGTGCGTGTGTGCTCACCAGATGTCTTCAGGCTGAGATTTTCTCGGATCTCCTCGTGGTCACACGGGTGGGTGAAGTCAAAGATGCTGTGACCAGTGAGATCCACCTGCAAGGGAGACAAACACAAAAACATTTGTGCACTGTGCCACTTTTCTAATTCGTCCTCTCGTAGCTCAACGCGCCGCGTCGTGGCAGCGGCGAGCCGGGTTTGCGAGTTCGAGTGATGACGGCGAACTCGATCCAACAAAAGAAAGTGCGTGACGCAGGAGCTCGGCCTTCCGACAAAGCACAAACTCATCACAGAACATCCTCTGCGTCCATGTCTGACAGCAAGCGTCACCTCCTCTGGGATCTGCTTTTTAAACTCCTGCCAGAGAATAACGGGATACACACATTTCATCTCTTTCAAATTAAAAGTAAAAGATGTTTGAATGAATTTATTTTTATGAATTTCACTTTCTGAGATGATCATTTCGTAATATGACAACGATAAATGAATAAAAGACAGCTGGTACCAGAGAATAAAATCCTCTAGGGGCATGAAATCTAAATTCTCAAATCCTTAAGGTCTCTATTGATCCCCCGAAATGTTTTCTCCACCTGTTGTGTTGCTGACAGTGTGTTTTATCACGTGGCGCGCCAGCGGCCTCGTACCTGCGTGAGCCCCATGAACTTGCTGATGTTCTCGGACAGGAATATCATGTCCCCGTCGGATGTTACCATGGTGACGAACCCCTCCAGAGACTTCAGGTACAGACTGTCCATCTGTTGGTCGTCCTCGCCGTCTCTGCCGCTGCTCCCCCGGCCGCCTGCAGGGAGGGACAGAACAAGCTGGACGCTCAGAAGTGGTTTTTTCTCACTGCAGGCTGATTTCTAAATTCATGTGTGTGTCTGTGTGTGTGTGTGTGTGTGTGTGCGTGCGCGCATCAAGCTTGTTTTTCTCCTTGAAGCTTTGTCTCAGTGCCAAAACAAACCAGCGCGGCTTCTTCCTGCGTCTCAGGCTGCGTCCGATTACACCCAAAACTACACCAGCACTTTTACGACTTACACAATGTGCTCGAATATGAACAGTGTGCAAACATCTGCGCACAGAGACCACAGTGTGTCCACCGTGTGTCCTGGCGAAGCCAATCAATAACACCCGCTCCGTGTGCGTGTGTGTGCGTGTGTGTGTGTGGCTTCGCTCCGAACAAAGCCCAGTAGCCGATGGGGGGGCGGAGGTGCCTGCAATTCCTCCTGCGTGCTTCCCTGAGATAAGAGAGCCTCGTTCTCCAGAGTCCAGCTCCAGTGTGCGGCCGGGCCCGGGCGGCGTTAGGCCGCGGGGCCTCGCGTGGGGGGGCCCCCCCGGGGAGCCGGAGGTGGTGGTCGGGGAGGGCGACTCACGGGGGACCCGGCGCAAAGATACGGCACCTTTTGACACTCTCACGCCATGTGACCCCTGGAGGGGTCGGCGGCGGCTTGAAACACAAACGCTCAGCACCGACATTTCTCTCCGCGTCACGTCAGCGAGGCGTTTCCTACAGCGGCTCCCGAGTGCGCGTGCAGTGCTCGTGAGCGCGTTTGGCGCCGGCCGGCTGTTATGGCTAGCGGGCGGGGCGGGCGGGGCGGGCGGGGGGGGGGGTGATGCCAGCATCGGCTGAACGATGGGCAGGACTCCGTGTTTCCTCTCCAATCTGTCCTCCCATCGCGGAGCAATCAGACGGGCCTGATAGCATATCAGCTGCTGCATCTTCCTCCTCCTCCTCCTCCTCCTCCGCCTGCCCTGCTCTCATTATGCGCATGTCTGTGGACCTGAGGGTTTAAAGGGTTCACCCACATTCTAAAAAGGAGTTTACCGCGTTTTTTTTTAAAAGAAGCAATTATTAAATGCTTTTTAGCATCGCCAGGCGTCATTTCCTTTCGCCCCGTTACGGCGGCACCTCGCGTATTGGCGGGGGGACGGACTCATTCGATGTGGTCTGCTACTGTTCTGTTCACAAATATACTCATACAGTGTGTATAAATACGGAGACACTTGTGACTGTTTGTGTATAGTAAATTGTACAGTGTTTATTTATTTTGCCTGATCAGGAAATCCACATCCAATACAGTGACAAATGATTTTATATTATATATATATATATATATACTTATATATAATTTTAATTACAGTTACTGTCATTCTGATTAGTTTTTTTTTAGCTTTCACAACTTTAGCCCAACTTTTAGTGTCTTGCTCCAACCTATTTTATTTGGGAAACGTTTAACTTCAATGCGTTTAATGTGTGAGAGGTCCTTTAATAATAAAGATTGATTCATTTTCTGATTGATGACACCACAAAATCAAAAGAAATAGGAAGCAGTTGTCACCGTTGTTTAGGGAAGCGGCGCTGTTACGCATTCCCGTTTCCCACACAAGGACACTGTAGCAGCACATAAAACGAGAATAACTAGGCCGTCGCCTAGTTACATAAGATGATAATGATAGTAAAATAAAGAGGCAGTCAGCCACGTAAAGATTTACAGATTAAGCTCTGGCATTAATCAAATGACTCTTGTTATTACCGAGGCTTGTCCGATTGTTTGTGGTGGTCTGATGCCACTGAAGCTCCTTTTAAAATCAGTTTGAAACCAAACAAACAAACCCGTGAAACTGCACATATCCTCCATCACTTCAGCCACATGATTATTGCTGTTAATATCAGCATCAAATGAAGAACGCTGCAGGCTGCAGGCCGTGTGAACTGTTTCATTTCGGGCGTCTGATCTCACTTTTGAGAAACCGACGCAGTGGAGGAATTCCAGAACAATGGGTCTGTTTCTTTATCGAGCTTCCTCAGCTTCTAATTTTAAATTATACAGGACGAAGGAGAAGAGGAGCAACAACAGAAAAACAAAAAAATGCTCCGACATCCAGCTTCCTACATAACTGGACGATTAGTCACACACACACACACACACACTGCCTGTTTCCTTATGCATTTAAATAGCCGCGGCTGAGGTTTGTATGTGTGTGTGTGTGTGTGTTCATACCTGTGGCGATCACCTTGCGTGTGCGCAGGAAGCTGATGGCCAGCCTCATGATGGAGGCCTTGTCCAGGTGGGGCGCTGACGCTGGCGGGGCAGCGGCAGCTGGTGGGCGAGCTCGTAGAAGACCTCCGTCTCTTTGCTGCGCCTGGAGCGGCGCCGCATCGCGGGACTTCTCCTTGCGCCGCTCCGAGCTGCTCCTGCGCCGAGGAACCGTGGGGCAGAGGGTTAACCCGCCGCACGTTCTCAGGAGGGGGTCCCCCAAAATAATACCCCCCCAAAAAAAAAAATAATGTGACGTGACAGAAATGATCACACAGAAACATCCAACGTAAATTATTCTGCCCGAAAACAGTAAAACGACTGTAGAAAAGCTAAATATGTGTTTTTATCTATTTAATCACACTTAGGGACACTTGTTTTTAACTACTTGGCTAATCTCAGGTGAATTCTGGCCCTGCTGCCTGTGTTTATTTACTCAATGTCTTCTTTTGAATTGGATTGAGCAACTTTTCATTTGATCCCTGTAAACAGGAGAGGACGCTACGTGTTTGGATCCCGGCCAAACGCTCCCAGAGAAAATAAAATGTTTTAATAGATAACAATTTGTCTTTTAAACGGGGGACCTTGAAGCGGACCGCCGCCGCTTACGTACGTGGAGCCGAGTCATTATTTTCATTTCCTCACATTAATTCGGTTGTTGTTCAAAGGACGCTTTTTGGGAACGGAACAATGACGTCACCAGATCAAATGTACTCCGGCGATCGCGCCGTCTGTTGCGAGACCTGCAGCCTAAGGGCCAAACCACGCAAGCCCACCCGTGTGGTCTCTTTTTCCGACCCCCCCCCCCGCTCTGAAATGAGTCAAGAGGTCCAGTCCAAGAGAGCAGCCCAACACTCCATATGAACGCGTCACGCGTGGAGCTCTGCCCCCTCCAGGTTCCGTCCACGGCTCGCTTGTGGCCGCAGCAATGTTTAGATTCACGCCGCAGGCTTTGTAGCACCATTATGTCGCGAGGCGCTGATGCAGTAGTGTGGATACAAACAAAGTGTAGGAAGCATCGCGCTCGCTCAATGGCACAACGCGCATTGACCCGTAACGACTTCCGTCACAAATGGGCCTCTAGTCACTGAGAAAAGCTTTGGAAGGGATTTTGAGGGACCGCCGGAGGGTTTGTGATGTAAATGTTGACCACTTTGCGGTCCGTGATGGTCGCTGGCGCACCGGAGCGGCTCTAATGTGGAACCGTGTCACGGAGTCTGGTCTCGGATGGAGTTTCCATGCGATGCGAAACAGCAGAGAGATGATGACACTCAAGAAAAAGGTGAACGTTTCGGTCACCTGGACTGTGAAAGCAGGGACGTGCTAACAGCTAGCAGTTAGCGCGGGGTGTCCGCCCTCCAGGGGGAAGGTCAACGGGTCTGCATTCCACGTTTTTAATGAACGGCGTGTTTCAAAGCGCCGAAGGGAGCAGGTTGTGTTTGGATGAGGTAAAAAAGCATATCTGATTCAGGTAGAACACATCTCTCCGAACAAAGCGCTTCTGATCCGCCTGCAGGCTGAATGTCGCAGATATGCCCGATAAAAGACGACAACGGCCGAGGTGTGGCTGAACTTTAAATGGCCTCCCTGTGCGGTTTATCACAGAGGATCAGCGCCGAGTCAAACCCGCGGCGAAAACTGCGCAAGCGTTTGCAGATAGTCGACATTCAAAGGTTTTGTCATTGAAGCAGGTTAGAAACACCCAACAGCGTTTCATGCTAATGCTAATTAGTTATGCACGAAATAAATAAAAAGCACAAGCCGATCTCACAAGGAACGCAGCACGTGCAGACTGCGCACATCGAGGAGACGGTGGCGCGCAGTCGGCGGGAAAAGGCCGAGCACAGAAGCACCATTATGTGATCTCATGCACTCATTAACCCCGACTGACCATCACCCAAAACCCTCATTACCGATGAGCCAGCCTGAATCCGTTCAACTGGAACAGCTAACGTCAACCAGCTCCTGAGAGCGAGCGTGTTTGCGTGTGTGTGTGTGTGTGTGTGTGTGTGTGTGTGTGTGGTACAGTTCTTTGATTGTCTGGGTCCATTGTTGCTGCAGTCTTTCAGGATCTGAGACAATGGGAGTCACGGTGCTTCATCAGAGACGTCTGATTCTCATGCACCCACTGATCCCTCACACACACACACACACACACACACACACACACACACACACACACGCTAAGTGCATACTGTACGTACAGTGCTGCAGCTGAACTTCACATTCCATCCTCACTCCTTTGCTTTCCTTCCTTCCTGTCGTCTTCCTTCCTTTCCTCGCTCATATTAATATGAAAGCAACATTCAGCATCGAAGTTCAAATGTGATTATCAGATTGATCCACCAGCCGGAGACGAGGCCTCGGGAGTATTTAACTGGTCCTCAGTTTAATGATTAGTTATAGGCTTCTTCACACTAAAAAAAGTCACAGGCAGAAGTCTTGAATATGACGTTGTAATTGGATAAATGATGAATCTATTAATCCAAAGTTGAGGTTGACCACAACTGGGAACCAGCTGGTCGCACGTGAAGCTTCTCTTGAATCTTTGGTACTGAAGGAGACGCAACTGAGTTCGTGTGACGAAGCCGCGAGTCGAGCACTTCAGGTGCTCTGTCCGTTTATTCATCACGAGGTCCCTTGATCTTATTCCAGTTACAACCGTATATACATACAGCAGTTATTAGGTTATTATAGAACAAAATAAGAAATAAAAACATGATATCATATTATTAAAATGTATTAAAATAACATCATGTGTAAGTGAGAATAATAATTTAATTGAGAAAGAATTAATACTAATAGGATAAAAATAGTTGGAGATTAAATTGAATTAAATTAAATATTTTATGGAAAAAGTAATTTTAAGTATAAAGTAAAACAGAAGCCCAAACTCAATAGCATCTGTACTTTTTTATGTTAAACTGTTAAATCTAATGAGCAACGAGAGGTCAGAGGGTCGGCGGGTTCACGTCTGACCTCATGGCTTCTCGTTCCTCCGCTTGGAATGCGTTGCTGTACGAAGCGTTTGCTCGGGACGGAAGCCGGCGAGCTGCAGGTCGTTCCTAAATAGCGCTGACAACGTCTGTCACGCGAGCCGCTTTCAGATATGTGAGCGATGCGCGCCTGGCGGAGTCTTGTGATGATTAGAAAGGTCACACACACACACACGGGTTGTGTTGTCCCCTGAGTCTGTTGCTACAGGCAGAACTCCCCCTGTTCCTCCCCGGGCCTTCGGGCTGCACGTCGCCGGCTTCAAACGAACCACAAACCGCATGTCGGCGAGACAAACAACGAGATGACGAAACGCAGCGCTGCTGCTCACGATAGAATCCCGGAGGAATAAAAAGCTCCACTGTGATTTCCGTGGGCGATGACACTCCTCCTGCTGTGCGCGTCCCGTGGGAGTAGAAACCCGAGGCCCCGGGCGATGCGGGTCGCCGGCTATTTTAAATCTCCCTGCAGCATCGCAGGCGTTGCGCCCGCAGCGCCGCGTATCTGAGGGATGATCGGCCCGCGCTGGCGCTTCCTTGAGTTGTCGGGGCTTGTCGAAAAACGGAGCACACACTCAAACGCTGTACTTCTGGGGTACATTTTGGCTCCAACCTTCTCGTGTTGTCTTGTTTCACGTTCAAATCATCAATATTATTCTTGCCTGCCGTTATTGGGCCTTAAGAGGTGCTAAGTTTGAGATCGGAAGCTTCGAATGATGATAAATGAATTATTAACAGAACGAGGGGAGGTGGAAACACATACCTGGCATTCTCTCACCTCTGTGCCCGAAGTAACGCCATCGCTCTAAACGGGGGGGGGGGGGGGGGGGGGGGGGGGCCCCCAAGGGCTACCCCATTTGGTGCGCGGGCGCTTATAAACAAAAAAGGGGAGAACGGGGTTGGAAACCCCCCCCCCCGCCCTCTCTCTCCCCCCCAACGACCGCTTTGTCAACTAAAATGCGCGACTGATGTTTACAACTTGGTATTAAAAGTCCATCCATCAACATCGACACAATTAAACCAGCTGGGACAGATGTTTTCCTCCTCCTGAAGCTCACTTTCACTTTGGTGTTAGTCGGTGAAAGCAGTGAGCCCCCCCCCGATCCCCCCGACCCCTGCTTCGCCCCTGGGCGCTCATTTATTTTCCATTGCTCGCACGCCCGCCGGCTTTTTCAATCGCTTCTCTTTCTCGGCTTGTGATTAACTTGTCAGCCCGAGCGGACGCGGGAACACGCGTGTGGCTCGGGGGGGGGGTTTTAGTCCAGACGTCGGAGGACGAACCGTGGCCGCTGTTCGCTGTGACGAGACACTGTTACTAGTATCTAGTCTCTTATCTTATTGTATCTTACTGTTGGTCCTTAAAGGGGCCCGAGTCCTTGAGCCGGTCACCCCGACCCCCCCAGGTTCAGACTCCAGCTCATGCAGACACACACACATGCACAGAACCCCCCCCCCCCCATGACTATTTGATTGTTGTGATAACAAGCCAAGAGGTGCTTATAGGAAACACAACCTGTGACCAGAGCAGGTGTCAGTCAGCCAGTGTGTGTGTGTGTGTGTGTGTGTGTGTGTGTGGGGGGGCGGGGGGAGCACAGGTACGGTAAATTCACAGCAGTTCTCCGTGGACCGTTGGACTCCGTGGACTGTTCTAGAAGTGTCCTAATCGCTCAGTGGCGGTTTCCATCTCTCAGCTGGAACAGATGTGCAGATTTCATTGGCGTCGATCGGAGCGTGAACGCTTGAACGCACCTTGAACCGAGAAAGGAACCGCCTGCTTTTTATGAAGATCACTATCGCTTCTGACTGCAAAACTTGAAAGTCCTACGTTTAATTTGAAAACGTCTCCTCGAAATGCCGCGTCGAAACTGACGGATCCAACGTGCAGAAACGGAGCAAAACTAAAAAAAAGTTAATAAAAGTTACTTATGTCTCCAAAAGCAGCTGCTCCATTTTATTCTGGTCCCAGTAAAATGTCTACCTCATCAAATTACCTGTTTGTTATTTTCTACCATATTAAGTCTTCATGCAACTAAGAACATGGAGGAATTAAAAGGTATGTTTCCATTTGAATCTTCCGCCTTCTTATATTAGCTCATTATTAATTTAAAATATCCGGGAGACACATGTCCCCCCGTCCCAAGTCGAGCTGAGGCTCAAAGGAGACAAACTAAAGCAATCGGGAACTTTAGAGACCAAATAGAAAGGACCTGGATCAACCTAAAAGAAGCAGAACAAAACAATTGTTCCACTAGTAACAGGTAGTAACAGGTAGTAACAGGTAGTAACTTCTATGACATCACGAGCCAAAAAACCATGGCAACGGTCCAAGACGGGCGCATCACTGTCTAGTGAACCTGTTCCTTCATTTGCTTCTGATGGACCCACTTACAGTGTGTGGAGCTCTTCAGACCACCGTGGGTAGATGGACCCATAGCACGCACACACACACACACACACACACACACCTTTCCAAGCTTACAGTGGGTCTTCCTGTAGTTGTGGCGCCGGGCCGAACACAAACACGGAGCAACAATACAGTACTGCTAATCTGTGATCCTGAGGAACAGAGAGTTCTCGAAACACTGCCAAACACACACACACACACACACACACACACACACGGACACGCGCACACTGGCGAACAAACAGTTATCCCAGACAGGGGCCCCGACTTGGGCTCAAACAGGGGAGGAACGATGCCGGAGATTGCTGATGTGTCTGATAGTCCATGAAAGAGGCACACACACATATTCTGGCACAAACAAACAAACCCACGCTGATGGTCGGGACAGACTGGCTGATTGAAAGAGCTGGGGGGATGCGGGGGGGGGGGGGGGGGGCACCAGGTGGTGTGAGGGAGGTCAGCTGACTAGACTGGGACCCTCTGTTGGAGCATCAAACAAGCGGCTCGGCTGAGATTTAAACTGGCGGACGAACGTGATGAATATAGAACATAAATGATGTCATTTGTTCTACGTTTTGTAACCCTGGCAACACGATATGCAGCGTCACGGTAGACGGAAAATCTTCTGCGTTATGACGCCCAAAAAATACAAGAAATAAGGTGGAATTATTCCCATCAGAATTATCTTTATGAAACCGGTCATATGCATTAGAAATATTTCATAGTAATTATATATATATATATGTACGGGGGGACAGAATGTTCTGGTGGGGTGATGCTCTGGACTCTTTGGGCAGGTACCCGGCTCTCATCACTGGGTATTTGGGGCAAACTTTGCTTTTATTGCCCATCGATGATGCTCGTTGTCCAGCAAGATGCCGGAGCGCCACGCGGGAGAGGAAAAGGTTTGAGAGAGAGAGAGAGAGAGAGAGAGAGAGAGAGAGAGAGGAGCACTTCATGACTCGGGGTAAATCTGAAAAGGATTTCGGAGACTTAAAGAGGGAGGAACGCCGCGCTTGTTCCTTCACTTCGTCAGCGTTCTCGCAGAAGCTTTTCGCATTCCAGCTCACAGTTTGCAAGGCAACCTTGCAAAGGGGGGGCCGCAGACCTTGGAGGACTTGGAGCTCGGCCAGGTGAGGGAGCCTTTTTGGTACATTAGAAGAGGAAGAGGAAGAAGGGGAGCTCCGGACAAGAAAATAGGAAATGACGAGGAGACAGAGTTCTGTAGGAGTGGCGAGGGGGGGGGGGAACGTACGGGCCTGGTTAGAGGACCTCAGACCACCTCAAACATGGAGGCATCCGGGAGGGCGCGGAAAAATATGAGCGAGTGTGATATGAGCAGAAAGACACAATGAAAAAACCATGAAGACGGAAAGCAGCAGGAGGAGGAGGAGGAGGAGGAGGAAGAGGAGGAGGAGTGGGAACGAGTGAGACAGAAATAACAGTGGAAAGATGCAGAGGTTTCCCAGGACAGTTTCCCTCGGGGACGTAGGGTCAAAGTTCACAGCTGACCGGGGGGGCCACTGCTCACTCAGACCGGCGAAAAAACTGGCCTTTTCAGTTTCATGCGTTTCTTCTGTCCTTTTGATTTGATTCTCACTGCAGCCCAATGACGCGGAGGAGAACTCTCCAAGCGTTACGTTTATTATTATAATAATAATAATAATGTAGTAACTTACTGAACATGAAATACCTGACGAGCATACTACTGTTTTGTTTTGTCTTCCTACAGGAGCTCTTACTGCATGAAAACAAATTCACGGGAACATTTTTTATTTTGGAATCTAAAATCAAAGCTGATCGGGGTGAATTTCCAACCACCTCCTGCTCTTTAGAGAGAATCCAGGAATGTTTATAGAAAAACCCCAAAAGACTTCGATCAGTAAGCAGACGATAGCGTGACAGAAATCTAAATTTGACAGTAAAAACCCGTCAAATGCGGAAAGCAGTTGTGACCTGAGAATGAGCTCAGCGGCGGGTTGAAGCATCTGGATCGGTTCAAACTCGACCCGTCCATCACCACGTACAGCTGCTAAACGCGACACATCTGGATGTCCGTTCTCTGCCGAGTGACCCGGAGCCTCGGATCACACACACACACACACACACACACTTATGTAGCACAAGTGACGTCTGACCGAGCGACAACCGCTGCAATACGATTCTCGTGCTGACTCATAATTTAAAGTGTACGGTTCATCATTTTAAGGTTTTTAGGACCTTATCCATTTTTGTGCAGAATGCAAATATTTCTTACGTTTGGAAATTAAAAAATTCATGAAAACATGAATAATTATCTCCTGAATCCGCTTTTTAAACAGAAATAATTCACATAGGAGCAGGATCTGAAGTCAGCGGTGGAGAAGTGAGGTGATGCGTTTCTGTTCATTACCCAACAACTTTAACAGGTATATTGATCTAGTTTATTGTAAGTGATGCTTTATTCTTCTTCAGCTTTTTATTCTTTATTATAACAACAACAATAATGCAGACGCGGGTTCGGGGTGACAAACAGCTCGCATCTCCGCTCTCTCATTGTTCCTCCTGCGTCGCTCTTTTCTGTGATTTCATGTAGCAACACAGTTACTTCTTGCTGTGAGCTTTACCCAGCATGCAGTTCGGCGGGGTAGATTTTATGAATGTACAACTATTAGTGTTACAAATCGTTTATGCGTCACAAGCTGTTGTGTGGTGGGTTTTTTTAGTTGTCGCCATAAGGTCACAAGCACGAGTCGATCTCAACACACGTAGGACGAGATGAAATAATGCAAAGATGGTTGCCCTCTTTCTTCTCTATCGGGGCGGCAGTTTTTCAAACAAATCGCATTCTTGTTGAGACAAACGTGCGCTGACAGGAAGCACGCCGGACGCTATGACAACAAGACCAAAGTTGTCTTTTCAAAAGCCGAGTCGACGACCTCACGAGGACATTCCATCGAGTTCATCCTCCTGAGTTATGTTCATAAAAAGCGAACCGAGACCCTCATGAAGACCACCGCTTCTCAGAGGAATCAACACAAACACATCAGAACTCTCACACACACACACACACAGACACACACACGCACATCGGTCCGGTGAGCCGTGTGTGTGAGACGAGAGGGGGACAGACGAGAGTCACAAGGGGGGACTGGACGGCAAACCCAGACCTGCTGATTCGGATTAATGTTCTGGTTGGGGGGGGATTGAAAACCTTTGTCCTCTCACTTTTGAATAATCTAGTTGAGTCTCTTTCTTTTTCCACCTTTCGTATTTCTTATTAAGGATTTTCCACGCGTGAGATTGGGAATCTGTCCTTTCGGTCCAGCAGCTGTTGCGGCGAGACAGAGCGTGACAAGCTACAACTGGGACAGCGCTGTTACGCAAGATGACCTCATCACTGCTCGGGATCGATTGATAACCGACAAGCAGGGCGGGACTTGCGGGAAGTCACAAGGCAATTTCAACAAAAAAAAGAGACTTGTTTGAAAAGGTGTTGACCTTTCACCTCAAGATATTGACAACTACATGAAAACGCGTAAAAGGGCACATTGGCAAAGGCTGCGATGTAGGTCAACGTGAATCAAATGAACAGACGCAGTCTTTCACATCCAGTGGAGCTCCGAGCGGCGGTGATGATACCACCCGTCGTGGAGAATGTCCCGAGCAGCCGGGCTGATATCTGATATCTGATATCCCATGTGTGGGTTTTTCTGGCCCCCGACGAGCTCGATTCAACCACGGGACTTTTCTAAATCTCAGTAGGCTCCTCACACGCGAGGCTCCTCGCCGGTTCTCCGTCTGCGGGGGCCTCCTCTGAGCAGGAAACCGAGGCGCTTTGCTGAGAAAAACCACAGCTTTTACAACAGTTGAAGTGAGCGTTGAACTACAGTTTAATAATCACAGATCAGATGAAAGCTCCAACACACACACACACACACACACACACACACACACACACACACACAGGGCAGCTTGGTGAGGAGACACCAGAGCTCCAGGTGTCCATCCTCGCAGAAGACACAAGGTTGTGTGAGATCTGCCAGATGGACGACATGCAGCAGACAATAAATAAGGTGCCTGCTGGTCGCATTAAAAAAGCACTTCGATCCGCGACGCGCACTCTCCGAGTCACGTGCACGCGCCGCAGCAACAGGTCCGCATGAACGCGCGTTATCGCTTACGTGTTACCTCTTTTTCTCCATGTAGTAAATCCCGGGACGGTAGAGTCCAACTTCCAGGCGAGTCCTTTAAATCCGTGAGAGAGCGCGGGACCGGGACCGGGAGCGGGACCGGGACCGGGACTGTGCAGTCTCAGAACACTGCTGAGGATCGCACAGCCTGTCGGGCGCAGAAGAGAAGAGACTCCCTCCTACCACCACCACCACCACCTCCACCACCCCCACCCTCTGGAAGCTGTCAGCTGCGTGCAAAGTCCGCGTGTGCAAAACTTTTTTCTTTTCTCTTTTTTTTTTTCTCCCCCCCCCCTCGCTGATACGGAGACGTCGCAGGACGCGCGACTCGCTTTTGCGACCTGCAGCCTCAGCTGGCAACAAGTGAGAGCTGCCGTGCGGGCTCCGAGCGCGGTGATTGGCTGGAAACGCTGGCGGGGAGACGCCCCCTGCCCGGCCTGAACAGCCCCGCCCCCTTCCTGTGCGCTCGGCTCTCTCACCTGATTGTGCCTGACGGGCCCGAGTGATACAAACAGGCCTCCAGGCCGCAGCCTCACGCGAAGGCCACGACGACGACGATGACGATGATGAAGACGCGTCTCCTTCACTGAGGCCACGGCGCTCCCTCCTCAGCTGTCAATCAACGACGGGAGATCCCAAAAAGACCAGATAGTGCAGAACGCTGTGGGTTTATTTATTTGAGGTCATCTGCTGCACATTCATGAACACCATAAGAGCTGCGTTGGGATATTTAGTTTAGTTTGAGGAGGTCAGACTGAGCGCCTGATTTCCCCCCAGAAGCAGGTCTCACCACATAGTTTCAGAGAGGCAGATCGCTCCTCTTGGTGTTCAGCGTTCCACTAACTTTAGATGGAAGAGATTACTAATGTGAATTTATATTCTCAGAACCCCTCGTTTGTGGCGGTGTGATTTTGTTTTTTTTGGATGAATTTCATAGTATGTAAAACATGACCTTTTTACAATGCATTATGAAGACATTATTATTATTATTATTATTATGTCACTCTTATGTGTGATTTGCTTCAAATAAAGTGCAAGAGCGAAACACAAAACTAAAGTAATATGTTTTTACTTTACCTAAATTATCACACAATAACCACACTATCTAATAAGCACTTTATACATCAATGGTCATAAATCTACAACTATCTTTGCAGGAAAATGTGACTGAGGTCCAGTATTAAGTAGTTATAAAATGAACACAATGTGCTATGATTTTTGTTATAAAGTAAGAATTTTTATAACGCATAACAGATGTGATCCTCACGGAACATTCTTCTGATATTTCCCCATAATTCTCAAAATAAACCCCCTTATTAATTTAGAGCAGAAACAGGGCGGAGGAGACGCGTTAAACACGAGATTCAGATCTAAAAATAACAATAGTAGTGATAGACAAATGAATGAGAAATGTCTTCGTCATCATATCATGATAATTAATGTGTTTCACAAATTAAAATACATCTTCACATCCTGTTAAGATACAGTACATTTGGCACGCAGCGTTAAAAAAAAAAAAAGAAGAAATCCGACATAAACCCGAGTGAAGCACATGGAAAAAAAACCACCAGAGTACATCGGAGCTTCACAAACACAGGGACGGCAACCAAACACCAACATGTACATACAGCGACACGTGCGTATGAGCCACAGGAAGATGAACGTTCGATGCTGGAGGTTAAATCGTAATACTGTCTGCGTTGTTTGAGAGCGACCTCAGGCCGCAGCTGGAAGAGGAACTTCCTGCATGAGTCGTTTATTCTCTACAAACGGGACTGATTTGGCGTTTAGCGTGGAGGACTTCTGGGAAGAACAGGGCCGTTGGGGAACAAATTGTTGTTGTTTTTTAAAAGGAAGAAAAAGAAGAAGAGACATTGTGTTTTAAAGGTTGCCAGTAAAACTGAATGTGCAGTGTGTGTGACGCGTCTCATTCATCTCTGCTTCAGTGTCGACGGCCTTAAACTGAAGCGGCCTCCCGTGTACCTGTCTGTGAACGACGCCACATTATGGCACGTGGATTAAAATGACTCGGATCAACACGTCTGAACACCGTCCCATTTGACACCCGTGTCCTGGAGGAGCACGTGAGGAGTTTCTGAGAGATTTCCAACATGTCATCAACTTAGAAGACCGGGTCAAAAAACGACAACAACAACAACATGAACGAAAAGGTGTTTTAAATCCAAAAACGCAAAACGGGCTCTCCACTTATGAACGCACACACACGGGCACACGCCGAGCAAACACCTTCAGTTGCACACTGTCCTCTCTGTGTGCGACCCGGGCACATGACCACACACACACACACACACACACACACTGCGTTTCAACCATCAAGTGGGCGTGGAAGGATTTGAGGAGTTGACCAGGAGGCATTTTGCTCAGGAAGGTGCAGTTTAAGTGACCAGGACTTTTTGACATGTCTTTATTTGTCCTCATTGGACAAATCGAGTGGTGTAGAAAACAGCTCGTGGAGGCTGCGAGTGTGTCTCACTGCAGCGGGAAACAAGGCTCCCGTTAGCCTGTTAGCTGGCGGCTAACGGTGCCGCTTGGTTCCTGTGAAGGAGGGGAAGTCGATGTACTCTCCAATAACATGAAGACAGCCGGCTTGTCAGATTTAAAACATAACGCTGATTTCTCTGAATACAGTCTTTCAAGACCATTTTCTTTAAATACAATCATTGGTTCAACATATTCATATATATGTATATTTATCCACTCACATACAAGTTTAGGGAAGAAGAAAAACATTCTTTAAACACGGAGATAGACACAGGATACAGCACATCATGTACAGAAATGACAGTCCTGCTCTTTCTGGAGGTACAGTATGCAACTATGCATGCATGCACACCTGCACTCACGTTATCTCACACACACACACACACACGCACACACACACGGACACACTCGCAGGCCGGGACCTTGCCCATCTGTCTTCTTCTAAAGGCGCCTCTGGGAAAAAAACGCTGCTGTGGAGATCCGTCCGGACCGAGATGAGGTGCACTTCCTTCGGCATGCTGCGTGAGCGTTTATGGAATATGCACGAAGGAGCACAACAACAAGAGCTCAGGAACCGTGAGGACCGAGACGCCCATGGTCTGGTATACTTCCTGGAGAGGTCAGACTCTGGACAAGTTCATGAGGTCTCAGGCCATGTGTTTCTTCAAATGTTATATCTTTGCTCAAAGATTTTAGGTATGACGGTGTGTATGAATGTGCCAATCATCCGTGTGTGTGTGTGTGTGTGTGTCTGCGCGTGTGCGTCTAGGCCACAGCCTCGTCTCCAAAGTAGGAGAAGCCTTTAAAGTCGTCTTGGTTGATCTGCTTGATGATGCTGTCCTCCACCGGCGTCAGGTTGGGTTCTTCTCGCGTGAAGTCCTGGTCGAAGTTATTCACGTCCCGTTTGGTTTTCTGGAGGACAAAGAACACGAGGGACTGATTCCAGCCGGTGGCGATGAGACGACGGGTGCAATTAGTAGACAAGATCACACGTTTGCTCATTCAGAAATGAACCTTTTACGGCGTAAAAATGTGTAATGTTTTAACAAGAGAAAAGTGGTATGAATATATTAGCCCCTCCCCAGTCCCAATCAGGCGTGTGTCCGTGCGAGTGTCGGAACTCACGATGCGTGGTTTGAAGGGGGGTCGGAGCTTCCTCTGCTCCAGCAGCGTCCAGTCGATTTCTCTGAAGAACACGTGGAGCTTGATGGCCTCCTCCAGACCCTGAGCCAGCACACAGCCCAGACGCTTGCTAGGACTCTTGGTCATGAACTGAGAAGTGACGGACAGACGTCAAAGTGATGGAGAGACAGAGAGAGAAGAGGAAGCATCATAATGATGAATGTAAAAAAGGTCCTACTTCCCCGTCTAATATATATTTAACACCTTGCTTATGAAGCCAGGAGTAGAGTTGGTATTCTGGCTAAGATTACATTTTGCACATTTTAAAGAGTATAGGCCTATTTTGGGCAAACACCAGCTTGTTAATATTATGGAAATGTTAAGTTTAAAAAAAGCAGTCAGTCAAAATAATTTAGGGTTGAAAAAAAATTATGAAATAAAAAAAGTCCAGAAATGTTTGGTCACACATATTTTGAAAAAAGGCAAACTATGTTGTGTCAAAGAAAAGTTTAAAAATAAAATCAAAATTCTGTCAAAATTCTTCTTTAGAAAAAAGTCGAAACATGTCATGGATAAAAAGGTCTGAATGTCTGAATATTAGCTTAAAAGATATTTTCAAAAATAAGCCAATTTTTTGGACAGAAATTAAAAATATAAGTCAAAAAAAGTTTTGTAAGAAAAGTTAATAGATGTTATGTCTGAAAAAAACATGAGAAAAAAAGGAAAACAAATATTAGGTGGAATTTTGTTTTTCAAAAGTTGAAAGGCCAAAAATATAAAAATAAGAAAAGTAAAGAATATAATGTGTCAAAAAAATTGTCAATAAATAGGACGCTGGCTTATAGAGAAAAGAGCAAACAACAACATTTCCGTATCAAATGTTAAAAGAGCTCGTTTCTACAATGTTTTTGCTTGATTATTATTTTGCTGGCACAGGAACACATTTTGTAAATTCAATATTACGTTGAAACTTGAGGTGACGTAAAACTGTAAAATAGAAAACAAGATAATTTGGGGTCAGAAGATACAGAACAAAAAGGCCTTCCTGGATATTCTGCAAAGTTGCTGGGAGAGTTTATTACGCCACCCAAAGCCCTTCAGCCGGAGGACATGTCCAGTCGGAGGACATGTCCAATCGGAGTCCGGTGTGAGGGGCCAGAGTTCAAGACATTGTCCAACATAAACACACACACTTTCCCACAAGGCTTTGCAGTCAACAGCCAAGGTAAACGCAGGACATGTGATGGAAAAACTGGACAAACAAATAAACGCGCGGTCAAGTGGCATTAAACACGTACACACACACACACACCGAAAAAGTAATGGTTTAAAACATAGTGGGAATGGTCCAACGTTGTTCCGGAAGATGAAACATGGATCCATTATGACAACAAGGAAAAGGGAAAAAGGCGGGTCCTCACTGACATGAGACACTGAAGGATGAAACCAACACAAACTAAGAGAGAGAGACACAGTCCACGAAAGCAAAACGCGAGCTTGAATGGAAAAAAACATAAACTTTTAAGAGTCCTTAGTGGATTCTTATTTTGGGTCCGTCGCAGCCCATTAGTCCATTAAGGCTGGACGTCATTTGAAGTCTTCATGACGTGCACAACCAAACTCGTTACTAAAGAAAGCAAAAGGTACAGGGACAAGGGACAAGGGAGACATACTGTAGCCTCACACGAGTTCTCATTTCAGCGGACTAGGAAGCTGACTGATTCGACGGGGCGCCGACTGACCGCTTTGAGGATGGACACGGCCTCCTTGCTGAGCCAGACGGGATACAGGACGTCGTCGTGGAGGATGGACTCGAACAGGTCGTCCTCGTTGTCGGCTTCGAACGGAGGCTGACCCGCCATCATCTCGTACATCAGCACCCCCAGAGCCCACCAGTCCACCGACGGGCCGTAGTCCAGCTCTTGGAGGATCTGGTCACACGGTAGAACATGGAAGCTTAGCAACAGGTGGTCGGAGTCAAACAAGCCCGTACGTGAAACTTAGCGAGTCTGCTATTCTAATTTCTCAGTCAACTTCTGCGAGATAAAAAAAAAAAAAAAAACCGAAAACCTTCCCACCAAAAAGGCTAAAACGCTCTTCTTTCAACGGCACATTGGCCGCGGAGAATAGAGCCTCATCAGCATAGAGCGGAACACGGATGAATCAACAGTCAGTTTGTTGGGCAGGTGTGGTGGGATTGCGGGGGTGTCCCGGGAGGGCACGGGGGGGGAACGGGGACGGGGGGTCCTTAGCTCACCTCAGGTGCGATGTAGTCTGGCGTCCCGCAGAAGGTGGTGGTGCTCACTCCGTCGAGGATGCCCTCTTTGCACATGCCGAAGTCTGCCAGCTTGCAGTGACCCTCCTCGTCCAGCAGGATGTTGTCCAGCTTCAGGTCCCTGCAGAGCCGCGGACACGTCACTGATTCAGCGTTTCACGTTCATGTAAAAGACGACTGCTTCTCCTCAGAGAGGAGTTGGGATTTCACAAAAATCTGGATCCACGTGTTGGTTTTAGTATTTCAAGATGTGGTGACTTTGTCTCTGTGTGCAGGGGGACAACCTCAGAAGGAAGGCAAAGGTGAGGGTTGAATGGGGTAAAGAGGTGAAAGGGGGTGGGGGTAGCATGAGCGATAAGAGAAGCGCTGTTGAGAGATGACAGGGGTGGTTATGAATGCTGCAGATCTCGGCTTGATGGTTGACGGCCACAAAAATGTCAACACGGTCTCGATTTAGCCGATGCAGCCTTTCAGCCCGGGCTGTTTTTTCTAAAAGTACACAGCCGCCCTGACAAGCCAGGGAGGAGATAGAGTTTGTGCGTGTGCGTGTCTTTGTGTGGTTTTTTTTTTTTTTTTTTTTTGAAGTCATGAGCTTATGCAACAGTTCCCAAATGGAAATAAAGAAGCAGCTCAATGACTTTTTCCTGTCCTGTCACTCTGAGCTCTGACAGGACTTTGACTTCACTCTGCAGTTCACGGTTGTCTTCGGTTAATGTAAATACAAACTTAAAACAACATTCCCTTGAAACCTGAACACATTCTAAGAAATCTGAATGAATTCCCTCAGTTGGACATACAGTTTGGCAGGAATCCCGATTCCGCGCAACGCCGGTCTCAAGGCTTGTCAGAGGCACCGGGGCCTGGCGGTTGGCTCCCAAACAAGTTTTCACCACATAGTTCATACTTAAGTCATCTTAAACGTTGCGGAGTTTCTGTGATTTTTCAGCGCACAAAAGACACAACAAAAGTGCGTTAAAGTTGCGTAACTGAACTAATCGGAGGATTAGTTCAGTGTGAGGAGAACTGAGCAGACAAATAAAATATATATATATATATATATATTACTTCCAAATAAATCCATTTGCACTCTTCACAAGCGTGGTTTACGTTCGCTGGCGTGAGCTTTGCTCCCCAGCAGGAGCGCAGTGCTGCGGCGTGTCCGCGGGCGATGCCTTGCCTAAAGGCACGCTGACGAGGAAAGAGCGGCTGCCTGTTTACATAATTCACCTCCCCGAGCACATTAAGTACGATCTGTTCGCCCGCGGCAGCGCAGGAAAGTATTCAATGCATTTGTGATTGAACTCAAATGAGCGTTGAGGCTAATCTTGGTATTAAACATCACCTGGTTGCAGGAAAATTCAGTATGAAGTGGCTACAGGTGCTCAGCCGCACTAATGGAATGATTTTTTATTAATGCATGTCTTGTTGTGTTTTTGCACGATGAGAAGGAGCCCCATAATATATGTTGCATAGAGGGAAAACATCTTAATCATCTGAATGTTTGGATCTCTACCGTTATCATTGTGTGTATTCTAGCCTTTTATTTATGATTACTTGTTGTGAAGGAGTTACGAATATGAGTGTTGAAAGGTTTCTGTGCTCTGAACCAGCAAATGTTGCTTTATTAAGATGAATGAATATAAAACCACAGGTATACATTATTTCATCAGTCCTGGGTATGGCTTTCTTATTTCATTATGGTACAGGCTCAGTCATACGATCCAGATATGAGACTTAATATGAAGAATATGAGGGAAATTTCCGTTATTATTTCATGGCACTAACTATGCTCTGTAGTATATTGACAGAGCGCACAAACAGGGTTCAGAATGTCCGACAGTACTGTCATAAAGTACACTTGTCTGGGCTTGAGTACGGGTACTCCTGCTTTAAAGTCATTTAACACTGATTCGGCTCAGTGAAGAGCTCTTTGGTAAGAAAAGCAAGCAGCCTGATAAAACCCAGAACTGAAGGAAAGTGTCTCAGCATGAGCCAGTGAAACCCAACTGACCCTGGATCAGTTTCACATTGTGTTCTAGGGAAATAACCTTTGTGTTTTGTAAGAAAAGCTTTAATATCGCTCAACAAATTCTATCAATAAACAGGAGCTGCTGCATGAGGAGTTTTCCCTCCCACACACACACACACACACACACACCAGGCAATCAGGCTCAATTGAAAGCATTTCCTGTGCTTCATGTTAATCTTGAGTGATTTTTCCATTACGTCCTCAGAGACAACCCCTGTGCACTGTGAACCTCCCTCTCTGAACTCTATTAAGCGCCCTGTTGGATCCACATCCGTCCAAACTGTCATCACCTCATTAGATATCGTGAGACGAATATGAATCCTTCAGTTATGGGACAAAAAAAAACAAAACGATAAAAGACTGGAGGGCCGGACCTCAATACCTCGAGGTTCTGAGTTGTCGTTGCTGTTCATCCAGACGTGCACCCGCCCTCCGACCAGTCTGAGCGCGCTCTGCAGAACCACCACACCCAAACATCTGACACACTGCATTGAAGATGACAAGAGGGGTGAAAGTGCTGCTAACTGCATGTTCTATTGTGCAAAGATGCTCCGAGGAGTGAAGGAGGAGGGAGGGGCGGCGAGGGGAGGAAGGAGGGGCGGCATGTCGGGACAGAATGTTCCCAAAACACTTGTTGTTCGTCTGCCTCGGCTCAATAAAGCGGGTCAGGACCAGAGAGCGAAGGGGAAACATATCTATTTATATATAGAGAGAGAACGAGAGAGAGAGAGAGAATCAGGTAGTTCAGTCCAATCAGCCAGCATTTATTACCATGCGGTGTGTGTGTGTGTGTGTGTGTGTGTGTGTGTGTGTGTGTGTGTGTGTGTGTTTTTTTCCCCCTGCCAACCTCTGACGGAGTAGCATTCACTATCAAAACAGCGTGACTGAGAACACAATGTCGAAAGACTGGTCCATTAATCTTAATGTTTGAGCGCTGCAGTCAGTTAGAATGTGCTTTAAACCTCAGAGTTGGAATGAAAGATTTCTGGATGCAAAGTGGAAATAAAAAGATACATATATCTTTGTCCTGCAGGCCACTTCTTAATGAGTTGGTGTGTAATTACGATCTGATACCCTTTAAAAATGACATTTGGCATTTGACCTTATTAACTATATGGCTCTTAAATAATATAGAAAAAAAGAATGATATATCTTACGTGCCTTATGATGGGAAAGCAGTGAAAGTGCCTTCTAGGGCAAACTTCAGGTGGAGACAATATGGTAAAGTGCCCCGTAGGGGGCCCTTCCAGTGGAGAAAACAAGCTCTTTAAGGTGCTTTTCTAGCGCCCTTTGGATCGTCCTTCCAGTGGATGGAAGGTGATGAAGGGCCGACCAGCCTTCCAGAGGGGAAAACGTGATGCAGTGTGCTAATAGGGGCCATTTGATGGAGAAAACGTGATGCAGTGTGCTAATAGGGGCCATTCAATGGGGAAAACGTGATGCAGTGTGCTGATAGGGGCCATTCGATGGAGAAAACGTGATGCAGTGTGCTAATAGGGGCCATTCAATGGGGAAAACGTGATGCAGTGTGCTGATAGGGGCCATTCGATGGAGAAAACGTGATGCAGTGTGCTGATAGGGGCCATTCAATGGGGAAAACGTGATGCAGTGTGCTGATAGGGGCCATTTGATGGAGAAAACGTGATGCAGTGTGCTGATAGGGGCCATTTGATGGAGAAAACGTGATGCAGTGTGCTAAAAGGGGCCATTCGATGGGTGAAACGTGACGCAGTGTGCTGATAGGGGCCATTCGATGGGGAAAACGTGTTGCAGTGTGCTGATAGGGGCCATTCGATGGGTGAAACGTGATGCAGTGTGCTGATAGGGGCCATTCGATGGGGAAAACGTGATGCAGTGTGCTGATAGGGGCCATTCGATGGGGAAAACGTGATGCAGTGTGCTGATAGGGGCCATTCGATGGGGAAAACGTGATGCAGTGTGCTGATAGGGGCCATTCGATGGAGAAAACGTGATGCAGTGGCTACTTTTTTCATAGGGGCGCCCCATGGCTCACAACTGGTGCCCTTTACATTTTGACACCCCTGGACTTCAGATACTGTGTTCATGTGCTTAAACTTGTAAAATACTGTGATACAACAGCACCAGATCCACCGACACAGAGTGACATGAACCCGCTATCTGCGGAGCTTAATGAGCCAATCATTGATCAATCAATCCTTCCAGCTGTAGGAAATAACCAAAGGTGCTTGCAGCCTCTCGGAGTTCTATTACACCGTGAAAACAGAGGCCGGGTCAACTAGAGGTACTTCTGGTAATAAGACCCCCTTCAAATGGTTTGAGTCAGACTTTGGGTGGAGTATCACTTTAACGCGACAAAGTAGCCAAAAGCAATAAAAAACAATCACTAAACGGCAGAGCTTTGGGCTCTGACCTTGAGGGCTGACTCAGATTCAGTAATGCCAACCCAAAGAAACACTTACCCTCACAAACGGTGTGATCATAACCCCCCCGCAACCCCCCCACGTCATTATTAACAACCAGTGTCAGAGATACAACGAGACCGGACCCTCCGATGAAAGGACAGAGGGCAGTTATGTAAGAGTTCAGTGACTTGTTTGTGCGACATCTTTGTGTGCGTTTAAAGCGCTACATACTATTTTGTTCTATTCATTTAGTTTTCTTTAATTAATGCGCACACTTGTTGTCAACACGTGATTGTTTTCCCTTCTTCTCTTTTTAAACATCCTTAGCTTTTCCAAATGAACCAGATTGATTTTATGCATCAGCTTTATCTAGTGGAGTGAATTTATTTATTCATTTAATTTATTTATGGCTTTGTGATGTTTCTCTGGTTTCATTTGATTTCTTTATTGGACTTTTACTTTACTGAGTTATTGGCTGTTTAGTTTATTAAACTGTCCCGTTAAAAATTATTTTCTTTCCACGAGCTGGAGTGAAGGGGATAAACTATCCAGTCTGACAGTATTTGATTGGCGTTGGGACAGTTGTTACTGTTTGTTTTGGGTTTTCATGTTCCACGCTGTCTGTCAGGGCAAAACAAAAAAAAAACATTCCTGGCAATATTCTGATCAGATAAAGCAAAATGAGTCTTTATTAAAGAGGAAAGATCGCGTGTTGCTGCTGTGAGACTGAAACAAGGCAGAGAGATCAGATAACAGCCAGTGGCCGTTGTTGTGTAACGATAACAAACCTTCTCCTCACTATCTCTGTATCTCCATGTTCTCCTCGTGTCTCCGCAGCGACAACAACCTGAAGCTCCCACGGGAGTCTGACTGACTCGCACAGCAGAGAACACAAAGACACCCGAAGCTACAGCGTCACACGCGCCACCAAAACCACCATCTCATCCAATAACTAACCACACCAACAAAAAGCAGCGTGCTGATTCCACAACCTTACACCGGCTAACTGGATAACTGGGTCAAAGGTCATTATATTGAGTTACATTCGTCTTGCATCTCCAGCCCACAGTTTAGTTCTGGTGCTTCTCCAGGAAGGGTTTTCAGGTTCTGGGGGGTTTTTTTTTGGCTCAGAACGTTCTTTATTACCCTCCTTCTTCTCGTGACGGCATGAACACGGCGAGGAAAGCGAGCACAAGGCACGAGACGCACATAATTGCACGAGGAGAGAACCAGACCTCAGGTCCTGGAGGAGAGAACAGCGGAAACGAGAGGCCTCGCTCTTCTTCCATCAAAGTTATTTGTGGGAGCAAACAGGCCGAACCTGCAGCGAGCCGCCGTCCGCCACAATGGTGTTATGATTCGAGCGGCGTGCTGCCGCCGAGGGGCCGGCTGTGTGTTTGCTGTCCCCCGACAATGATATTATGGCTGAGGAGTCCACATAGTGCCACCTGCAGCGGAGGGACCGGGGGGGGGGTCGACGCGAGTCGAGCGTTTCACCAGCGGAGGAAACATTCGTCCTTTAAGCCCGGACGCTTACGGCTGAATCTAGCCACGCCTCCCGCACCCCTACCCCGCCTCTGATTGGCTGACGCGCGTTCGTTGGTTGCGTTGCCGTAGTTCACATCCGTGTCTAAAATGCCCTCGTTTTTTCATTCCAGAAAGTAGAAATAGCAAATGAATTCTGGAGTTACGGCCCGAATGTGTTTTGCGAGGTCTCATTATATTTTACTACTCGATCCGTCCATCCTTAAGTCTACATCTGGACATCAAGAAATAGATGGATGGAACACAAAGGGGAATGTTAGCATCTATTTCATACTGCTGTAAATGCGTTTATCAACTGGGAAATTGGGGCCAAATAAAAAGTATTTCCCTTTGTATTCAAATATGTATTTGATGTTTACAAGATTTCTCTGCAAGCAGATTCAGTTCAAGGAAAACTTGAACAGTATTTGAGATCCAGCTGGTTACTTTACTCTCCTTTAACATTTATTTTCCTTTTTCTCTGGGAATTCTCTCATAAGCCTTGTAATGGAGCCGCGTGTCCCAGCGGGAAGCTCCAGATCAAACAAGCACAATGTTCAGCGCTCCACAGTGTTTGACTGCAGAGCGGCAGAAATCCCCAGCGCGTTGATGCCGATTTAAAAAAAACGAGAAATAACGCAAGAGAGACGCCGCGTGTGGCGCGTGGCCGAGGCCTGGTGGTCACCTGTATATGACCCCATGCCGGTGCAGGAACATCAGGGCGGACGTGACCTCGGCGGCGTAAAAGCGAGATCTCGCCTCGTCGAACTTCCTCGATCGCTGAATCTGAAACATGAGGTCGCCTCCGTTGACGTACTCCATCACGAAGAACAGCCGGTCCTGGAGAGAGAGAGAGGCGCCCATTATTGACACCCATGGGTTGAATACCTACAACACCCCCCCCCCCTCCCCATATTGATGTCTCTAATTGAAACACATTGATTGAAACTAAATTTGTGTTTATGAAGCAGATGAAAATTCAACAAGTTCAAGATTTATCAACACAAAAACACCCTCGATGTGAAAACACACAACTACAGTATATGGCCAACATAGATTGTCTCCACTTCCTGTAATACACACACACACACACACACACACACACAAACTGACTTCTATTCTCTTGGTATTGAAAATGGGCTGCGGGGGGAAATGGACCTCTTCCTGAATTCCAGTTTGCTTTCTTTATATAGGAAATAAGAGAGCGAGAGAAGCAGATAGAGACTATGTGTGTGTGTGTGTGTGTGTGTGTGTGTGTGCGTATAAACAGCTTCCTATATAAGAAAGCATTAAATCATTAAACAATAACAGAGAGGCAGTTAAACAAACATCTCTTCGTCTCTGTGCTTCAGGGTTCAGGATTCATTCCTCACTGTGTCATTCAAACGTTCCTGTCACACAGAACTTTGTTGCTGCTTTTCCTCTGATGAACTAATGGGACAGCGAGGTGACGAATGGCCAACAGGAGCCGCCGGGGGAGATAAAAGTTCCTCTTCTCTGCCGGGACGCATGCCAGCTTAGATTAAAAGGAGCGCATGTGTCTTCCACAAAGTTACTTTCACGCAGAATCAAATACACAGACCGGACAGTTTGTTGATATCTAAAAAGTTATTTATTTTCCCCAAATTGTAATCTGTGGTCTCTTAATGATGTTTACAACGACTCACTGCTTGGACCTGAAGATGCCTCCGGCTTCCACATGTCACAGAGCCGACTTTGGGCTCCTTGTTTCCTCTTCGGGAGCCTCGGGATCGGCTCTTACATAAGTGTCTCTCTCTCATTCTGTAAAGCGACTTTAAACAGGATGTTGAAATAGTTTGTTTAAATGTACCCAGAGTCCCGGCTGGTCCCACCCAATCAAACATGAATAAACATTTCCTGAGTGTAATTACAAATGTACAGATACTGGCACACACACACACACACACACTCCTCGCTCTATAGATACACACCCAAATAATCCCGGCACTGGCTACAACGCGTTACTGCGTCTTATGACTATTAACAACACAGCCGAGGGAAGAAGGAAGAAGAGGAGGAGAGGAACAAGGGAAGATACAACGAGAAGGAAACAAGGAAAGGAGGACAGAGGGGGGGGAAAGATGAACAAATAGACCGGAAGGGGAAGGGGAGGGAGGGAGGGAGGGAGGAAAAGGTGACTCAACGAATGAGGAAACAAGAGAACATCAGCTTAAATGAAGATGGCACCAAACCACTGTTGTTTTTATCATGAGATCACATGATCAAAGTGAGGTCTCAGTCAAAGCTCCTGAGACCTTCACCTCCTGCGTCCTCACGAGCTCCGGGTAAGTATCTTTGGTCATGTAGCCAAAGTCGAACCTGAAGTGAAAAAAAAGGGCCAAATGGGGTTTGAACTTTTGTCCTTTTAAAAAAAAAAAAAAAAAAAGAGAAGAGAAGTGAATTGCTGCCCTACTTTTCCTGGAACATTACGAGCCATTAGCGCTGGGCTGCTAGTCATTAGCACACAGAGTAAAGATGTACTCTGTGATTTCATTCACACACGACCTGCAGCCCGACTTCTCCGGCTTCGACTCAGACGGCTTCACTTTCATTCTCCTCAGGAACAACATGGCCGAGCCATGGTGGGGTTCGCCTGTAAGAGGACGCCCGGCCTTTTCCCTTTTTTCCCCACCGATGTTTGCAGCGGGAAATGATTGTAATTGTGGGACGGAGCGTATTGTGTGTGTGTGTGTGTGTGGCCCTGGAACCAGATCAAGAATGCTTGTCCTTAAAAGAAACAGGGAATCGGGCTTGTGTCCTCGTACCGAGTCTCTGTCTCTGTTCATATCTGATCATAAGTGTGTGTGTCTGTGTGTGTGTGTGAGCTGCATCCTAAGAGAAACAGAACACACGTGTATCCACCATGCATGTGCTTTCACTGTAAATGTTTAACATGTGTGTGTTCATTGTTGTTAAACACACGCTGGAATGCTCCGTTTTCCTGCCGTCTGGCCTTTTAAAGGTTAAAGGGTTAAAGGTGAGATGTGTCCCCCCCCTGCAGGTCAATATTGTCCTGACAACAAGGAGCTCGAACCAAAAAAAACAAAAATACTGGGGCTTTGGGTACTGGAGCGTTAACGAGGAGAACACAACGCTTGACCTCAGCGCCTGCTGGACGCGCACACTTTGCGGTTCTGTTCGGGACAGCCTGGAGTTCAGCGTTTGGGCTTGAGGGAACCTCTTTGGTTTCCACGGCGACACGTTCCCGAGCATCAGTGTTTGCTCTGATTGCCTCGCCACAGAACCGCTCTGATGACAAAGTGTTTCCATTCTCTCGGCCCTCTGAGAAAGGTGGAATTCCTCCGGATCAAAGCTGACGTGCGCTTAGTGGATTATTTCCAGCTCTCAGTACAGCTCATTTATTTCAAAATGGACTTTAGTAATTTGGTCTTTAGCAAGAAACACGGACAGAACTCCCCTCAGCTGGTCAATAGATAAGAAATAAAATCCTTTTTGTAATGAATCTACATTTTTATTTTAGTCCATTTTGATAGAAGACGAAAATGAAAAGAGCTGATTATTTTATATGTTTTTTTAGAAGCCTACAATCAACCATGGAAAGCAGAACTAATGGAGCAAAATACTAAAAACGCATCAATGAGCCTGACCGTTGCCGAGGGCGACGTGTTCCTTTACAACCAGGACTCACACACCCAACCACACGTGCACTAAAACACCACGCGAGGACAAATAGTCCCCAACAGGTTCCACAGTTTACTCCGCTGTTGAGCAACAGTGGTCTTCAGTCTCTCTGTCTGTCCTCCTGTGTCCCTGTGTCAGTCCATCAGTCTCTCTGTCCGTCCTCCTGTGTCCCTGTGTCGGTGCATCAGTCTCTCTGTTTGTCCTCCAGTGTCCCTGTGTCGGTCCATCAGTCTCTCTGTCTGTCCTCCAGTGTCCCTGTGTCAGTCCATCAGTCTCTCTGTCCGTCCTCCTGTGTCAGTCCATCAGTCTCTCTGTCTGTCCTCCAGTGTCCCTGTGTCAGTCCATCAGTCTCTCTGTCTGTCCTCCTGAGTCCCTGTGTCGGTCCATCAGTCTCTCCGTCCGTCCTCCTGTGTCCCTGTGTCGGTCCATCAGTCTCTCTGTCTGTCCTCCAGTGTCCCTGTGTCAGTCCATCAGTCTCTCTGTCTGTCCTCCTGTGTCCCTGTGTCAGTCCATCAGTCTCTCCGTCCGTCCTCCTGTGTCGGTCTATCAATCTCTCTGTCCGTCCTCCTGTGTCTCTGTGTCGGTGCATCAGTCTCTCTGTCCGTCCTCCTGTATCAAGTGTCAGTCCATCAGATCTCTCTGTCTGTCCTTCCTGTGTCCGTCCATCAGTCTCTCTGTCCGTCCTCCTGTGTCCCTGTGTCAGTCCATCTGTCTCTCTGTCTGTCCTCCTGTTTCGGTCCATCAGTCTCTCTGTCTGTCCTCCTGTGTCAGTCCATCTGTCTCTCTGTCTGTCCTCCTGTCTCGGTCCGTCAGTCTCTCTGTCTGTCCTCCTGTGTCCCTGTGTCAGTCCATCTGTCTCTCTGTCTGTCCTCCTGTGTCAGTCCGTCAGTCTCTCTGTCTGTCCTCCTGTGTCCCTGTGTCTTATTAGTGAACCTGGCTTGTTTCCGCTCATCTCTGTTGCTTGTGATCTTCACCAATTACAGCTCATAGAAAAACACTCTGCGTCCTCTGTAATCTGTCCTGGTCCTCACTTCCCTCATCACTTAGCAACGCTGCTTCTTCCCCACCGTCACCCTGTTGGAAATGACATGTAATATCAGACACACAGTGACAATGTGCAGTCCGCACGCAGACTCCCAGCGTCCCCCCGTACGGTGCGTCTGTGTGCGGCAGGAGGAGGCCCGGCGCTGCTGTTGTGTAACGCTGTTTACATTTCTTGGCGGTAATTAGGGGCGCCGGGGGGAACGTCTGTGATGCTACAGGCGATTAAGAGGAACAGGAGGGAGGGAAGGTAGGACGCAGTTCAAAGAACAGCGGCTTTTTTAAGAAAAGAGAGATGTTCATAGAAAGAGGACAAATGAACACACACGCTCACATAAGAATGACAATAAATGCGCGCCGGCGAAGGCGAGCGAGGCGCGTTGTTGTTGTTGTTGTTGACGTTGCTGCTAAATGACATAATGCCTGCATGTGGAGCTGCATGCTGCCCGATACCCGATGCTAAATGTGAGGCCTGTCCGGCCTGCACAGAGACACAGCGCAATCGACCAGCCCCCCCCCCCCCCCTCTCAAATGAGGTAATTGATTATGTGGGGTCGCCGTGGCAACGGGCCGAGCTTAACCGCCGTTATGTAAAAGGAGAACGTGTGACACCGGGTGCGCCCCTCTATGTGCGGGAGAGGCTTTGGGGATTACCGGAATATCTTTCTCACACGGAACAGGTGGCCGGAGTGTTTTGTTACAGAGAATAGGAGTTGAACCACGAGATACAAAGTTTGCTTCAAAAAAAACCCCCTTCTCTCGAGGGGGGGGGGGGGTTGGGGAGGGGGTGAGGGCCGGGTCACACGGCATATGGAATACTCATCGGGTCCCCGATAACCATCTCAGCGGTTACATAAGGGCCGCAGTCCCTTTGTTTTTGCTCCCAAGAACACAATCGCTGCGAAAATGCGCCAAACAGCCTGACGGAAAAAAAGAGAAAGAGAAGAGTAGAAGAGTAAACGGGCGACATTGTCCGTCTCTCTCCTCCGTCCGCACCCCCGCACCCCCCCCCCCTCCACCCGTGTTTGTTCTCGCTCAGGAGGAAAACAACAGGAGTAAATAGACTGAACTGGAGACGGCAGTCTGAGGGAATAAACAGAAGAGGAAGCTGCCTCCCGACGCCGTTGCCCCTCAGAGGACATCGCTGAGGGGGGCGACGTTCACGCTGTTGAGGGTCATTTTGGGGTGATTCTGAATGTAGTTTGATGATTTCGGGTGAGGTAACAAACGAAGCGAATAGAAAGATTTCCTCTGTGACACATAACTCCAAGTTATGGTGATTAAGATGAAGGTGCAGCGGTTTCCGATCGCCGGACCGAATGTAGCCCACCAGATGAGATCAAACCCCAAATATGGGCGGGCACGACCGAGGGGAAGTACATTGGAAAGTTACTGCTGAACAAATGCACGACGGATTCATCGAAAATACTGTGCGGTCGGGATAGAAATCTTTGGGTTACAGTGTGTTCCGTCCCGGGGAGGGGGGCCCTTTGTGCGTCTGTCCGTCATCGTCCACCGCCTGTACGGTCGGACAAATTAGCCGGGAAGCGGCGACGAGAGAGCGAGCCGAGTGAGAAGGGGGGGGGGATGAAGCTCGAGTCGATCCAACGCCCTCTGCAAACTGGTCCCAGTAGAATCCGGCTTGCCGTAATGAGCGGCGGATGCAGATCAGCTCTCAGGATGTTTCTCTCATAGTTATATGCAGTGATTGTGGTATATTTGATTTTGGTCTACCGCTTCGAGCGGGTAGTCTTTTTTTTTATTTACATTTAATATTGTCGCAGATTTTTTGGAGGCTTAAGGAGATTTAAAAGTTCAAAACGGAGGTTTCAAAGGTTTCACCCCATTTGAAAAAGAAGCGTGCGTTGCAGAATATACATGACACACATCCATCAGATGCGACGAACAACTCTCTATGGAGTCTATGGATATGAATGTGGTCTGATGGTGCCCCCTGGAGGTGCAGGGTATGTCTGCAAGTGAGTTGCATCGTGTGTGTGCGTGTGTGTGTGTGTGTGTGTGTGTGTGTGTGTGTGTGTGTGTGCGCGTGCGGCCTACTTTGGTCTGGAAGCAGCAGAAGAGCTGCGTCAGGTACGGGTGCTGTCTGGCCAGGGCCAGGATGCGCTTCTCCGTCAGGGTGCAGTCCACGTCGTCGTCCTGCAGGATCACGTCCTTCTTCAGCACCTTGACGGCGTAAACCTCGTCGCTGCCTTTCAGCTCCGCCAGCATCACCTGGTCACATGACACACAGTCACGACGCTCCCCACGGCGAGTGGAGGGCGGTGAGGACTGAGGGACGCGAACCGGCGCTCACCTTCCCGAAGCTCCCTTTCCCCAGAACTTTGATGAACACAAAGTCGGGCAAATTCACCCTGCGGGTTTGGGGCGCGGTGTGACCCCCGACCTCTCCGTTCGCCCGGCCTCCCTCGCCGTCCCCCGCCACCGCGCCATCGGACGAGGGGGAGGAGAGGGCGTGCGGCGTTTTCTGCTCCTCCCCGAAGGACAGAGCCTTCCGGATGTTCTCCAGCTCCTTCGCGTCTGGACGCAAAACAGAAACACACACACGCGAGTTCCGCGCCGCTGTCGTTCGTTTGCCGTGTGTGTGTGTGTGTGTGTGTGTGTGTGAGTGTGAGTGTGAGTGTGGCGGCGAGGACTCGTGGTACCCTGGTCACATGGCGAGGTGGGGGCGGACCTGCAGCGATCGCCTTGGGTCTCAGGCGTCCCCGCTAACGTCTGCTGGGGCTCCTGACCCTGAGGGAGCTGTTTAAGAAGCATTTCGTCAGACGCTTTCATTGTCGCTCACTCGACTCTTATTCTGAAGGACTCACCTTTTTCCGCCTGTGGCCGCTGTTGGAGATCTTGTCCGGTGTGACTCCCAGGTCGGGAGAGGACTTTGGCGATTCCTCCTGGGCGTCCACGCCGCAAAAGGGACACTCGTTACTCTCGCAGCGCCTGTGTACGTTCACTTTGCACACTAGGACACGCAAACGCACACAGAGACGCGTTAAGAAATTCGAGGACTCTGCCTCCTCCCAGGTCCGACAGGCCGCGTCGTGACGGACACACCTTTGCACTGGAGTCCCTGTCGCAGCAGACCCCACAGCAGAGACCCACAGTGGTCGCAGAAGGTGAGAACTTTAAAGTTGTGGATGCTGAACTTGTGCGGCACGTTGACGCTGAACCTCTGGGAGCCGACTTGCTGGAAGAGGCACAGAGGGGAACGGTGAGGAAAAGAAACCCGCGGGAGCGACCGTGAGTCGAGGATCTCTACTGAGAAGCTCCGGTTTGCAGGCGAGCACCTCCTCCACTGTGTCCTCCTGCTTCTTCATCCCCGCACACTTGGTAATGATCAGCTCGTGGCAGCGCTTGTGGACCACGCAGGTACACACTGCAGGAGGAACGGCGGTTAGGATTCGGACACTCTGGACAACAGGAATGTAAGGACGCCGTCCTACCTTGACACTGGTAGCCCTGCTTGCCTAAGACGCCCCTGCAGGTCAGAGAGAAGAAGCGCGTGAGAGCGCGAAGCACGGATGCTATTAGCTGCTAGCATTCATCATCTCTTTTAGACGGTATCCGCGTGGCACGTGGCGCGTTCACCGAGTTCCCCCGCTCACTGGAACACGTGTTCATTTACATAAACGCCGCCTCACAAGTGCAAATGCAAACAGAGCCCGTGACACGTGCTGGGGACGGGGGTCCTGACCAGATGAAGTCCCTGCAGTGGGAGCAGTAGGTGGGCTGCCTCAGGAAGGTGGCCATGAACTTGTGGCCGTTGACCTGGTGGACCCTCCGGCGGACGGCGCCCTGCCGCTTCCTGGGACCCATCCGCTGCCGGAACACGCGCTCCTCATTGTCGGTGGAGCCCGCTGGAGACAGACACGCGCAGGCAGATGAGACAAGGACTACGATGTGCCGTAGGGCGCTGTTATATCACAGACGGGGACCTGGGTGCAGGTCCCCGTCTGTGATGTCGCCACTCTCTGGGATTCAGCTTAAGAACTAAAACTAACGGACCTCCCGTGCCGTGATGAAACGATCACGCGGCACCTGCACTCGCACTACGAAGCCACTAGATGGCGACGACACGGCGTGCCTGATGGACGGTGCGTTCAGGGACAAAGTAAACCGCCGGTCCGTTTCGTGTGTCTGTCTTTGTCTTCCCGCGCTCTGTTTGGTCGCGTTGGGTTTAATTACCGAGGGGTTTCCTCAGCGGAGCAGCAGGGATCACTGCCCGACACACACACACACACACACACACACACACACACTCTATCTCACAGGAGCATGTGTTTCATAAAGATGTCCATGACGAGAAGTGACCCAACGTTCCCCTCAAAGACGCCGCCGATCTGATCTGATGTCATTCACCCCACACGGCGGCGGTAAAGGTGACCATCTCCCCTCGGCTCACGCTGACATGTGTTCAGTCGCCGTTGTTGGCTCCTGTCCGTCCGTCCACAGGCGTATGCATGTGTTCATGTTCCTGGTCAGAGCAACGACCTGCGCGCATCAGGCATATTCTTCCCTGACTTATTGCTACCTGAAATTCTTTTGCCCCCCCCCCCAAACCCCCCCTTTCCGTGGCGTTGGACCCTTGAGGACTCGCTGTGCATTCCTTTTTTCTTAAAAACGTCCCAATTTTTCCAGCCCCTTTTCCCATCGCCTAGCAACTGAGGACTGCTGCCTAGCACCAGTGTTTGATTAAGCGTCGTCCCCTGTAAGGATGGGGGGGGGGGGGGTCGTCTGTAATAGTCACACTGTCCTTATCGCAACTCCAAGAGTTAAAGTGGAGCATCCTGAACTGTATTAACGACTCTTAATAATATGATATTTAATATAATATAATATGACGACATTCGGGACCATTTGACACGTCGCTCTTCGGCCTGGTCGTCAGCCACCACAACCTGGGGCTAGCTGCTTTCCAAGCTCATACAGCACCTGCTTTGTTCCTCATCCAGCGTTACCTGGACACCAGGTCACACCTGGGGGGCTGAAGTCAGCCCGACCCAACAGAACCACAGTGTTTGATCCGCTCACAGCTGGCAGCAGCACAACCACAATAACGTACAAATCCTAAAGCTGCTTCTAGCAACAAGCCGCCGCTTCTCATGTGTGTGAGAGTGAGAGTGTGTGTGTGTGTGTGTGTGTGTGTGTGTGTGTGTGTGTGTGTGTGCTTAGAAACTAATAGGTTGATTGCAGCTCTCAGACCTGACAGTTCACCCATGCGTTCTCAGCAGTGCAAACACATTTAAGTAATGACTGCAATTTCATCCACTCCTACGCACACGCACACACACACACACACACACACACACACACACACACACACACACACACACACACACTCACTTATATAAATATATATACTTTTTAAAACTGCAGACAGAAAGAAATCTAATAAAGGTTAAAGAATGAATTTAATTCATTTTAGCCTCCTAATAGCACCTCTTTGTCACGCTCCCCCCCCCCCTCTCTCTCACCCCCTCTCCCTCCCTCCCTCTCTCTCTCTCTCGATGATGTAACTGGTCCATTAGAGAACACTCCTCTTTACTAATCAATTTATCAGGCTGACCACTGGTTAACCCCCTCTCTGTCTTTCTCTTCTTCCATTCGGTCACGTCCTTCTAACACGCGATCTGATGCACGCACACACTGACGCACACACTGACGCACACACTGACGCACACACTCACACACACTCACACACACGTATGCACGAAGGCCAGCAAAGATTCAGCAACAGACCCTTTGACCGAGCGGCAGGTGGAAACAGATTTGTCGGGTTTCTGGTGGCTCCGGCTTCGTTATTTTCATTTTCAGGCGTGGATTCGTGAGGGGGGGTGAACGAGTAAAAAAAGTTACAACTAACCTTCATGAGCTGAAAAACACACTGTGAAAGAGTTAAAGTTCCAAGGTAACCAAAGCGCAGAAAACGCAGAGGCAGCGACCTGTCAATCACAATATAGCCCCGCCCTCATATTCATCACGCTGTATCAAAGAAGACTTGAAATTAGAGAATGAGACCATAAACTCTAAAATAAACTATATATATTCAACTGAACTGGACTTGTGGGAGCTTTTAGAGATCTCTAAAAGCTACACTTGCTCCGATCCGATCCGTGACTCCGATAGAGGACACGATGCGTACCGCGAGTATGACCATCGCTTGTTCCTCTGCGTGTGTGTGAGGCACCACAACGTTATTAATGAGGTGGGGGGTGAGTGTGTGTAACTGGGTTAAACTGCCTGACACCACGTCAGTAATACAGGAGAAACCCACAGGAAACTCGCTGCGTCTACTTCCTGCGGAAGGACTCGGCGGCAGGACGCGAGCGCTCGCTGGGAGGGAAGTTCGCGTCGTTTCTGCGGCCGATCGATGGGGGACGAGACGCGGACGTCAACGGCAACAAAGAGGCTGCGGGGACGTGTTGCTCAACACACAAAGGAGCTTTAACAAAGCGTTTACTGCTCAGGCGCACACACACACACACACACACACACACACATTCATTATCAGGAACAACAACACATCAAGGGGAGACACAAAACCGCCGTCTGACAAACATGAAACACTGCATGATAAATGTGTGTCAATGCTGAATTCAGCATTACAATTGAAGCTTTTTATGTTTCTTTTGTTCTACTATCCCTGTTTTTTAATGAGCATTAAGCTTATTGTCAGCGTTGTTACACCTTTGCTTCTCCTCACCTCCCGCTCAAAGCTCAACAACAACTCATCAATATGACAAATTAAAGACACATACAATATGAATGAGTCATAACATATAGTTCCCCTTCCGAGGAAACAGAGACCAAAGAAATATGCTGATGTCGGTTGATGAACTCAAACTGGAAGCAGAGATGCACTTTGCAGCTTTTCGGCTGATAACAAGCGTCCGTTCATAGTAAAACAGTCTGCAAAACGCCCTGCAAAGCACATAAACAACACAACTTCTGCATAAAGACTCGTGAAAGTTGTAGTATTCATTTTTCTGAATGTGGCGACATCGTTTTTCTCGGGTGAAAGTAGCAGCAAGTCAGTAGCTGTGAACGCTACAATGTCTCAACAGACATTAAAACGCGCTGTGGCCTCAGAACCCGACGGGAGGGAACACTTTCAGACGAGGGGGGGGGGGGGGGTCCGGGGGGGCCGTTTACGCAACGCAAGTTGACCGTGATGTTGACGTGAAACGCTTCCCTCACCTTCACTGGAAGATCCCGAGAGGTCAATAACCACGTACACCTTCCCCTCTGGCTCCAGGTCAATCTGCACACACGAAACAGACATTATTATACACACACGTTATACACACACGTTATATACAAGTTGTCCAAAGACGAATGTACACGATGTGTTTGCCGCGCTGCCGCTTCCCTCTGGCGGCTCCTGTCTGCGTTGACGGGGGACGCACGCGGCTGACACGCGTCCTCGCAGCAACAACTAAGGGCTTTGTCATTTTAATCGGAATAAAGAGTTTGGCGTTCAGCAAAAAGACAACTGGGGTGCGACGTGCGATCTATTACCACTAAACAAAGTACATGAGCACACAGCATAAATACTGCTGCTGGAGAACGTAAGTCAAGCACTAAAACATTTGAGCAGAAGTACCAGCTTCAAAAAGGATCCAGAATAAGAGCATATATGTATTAAGTCTCAGTGAAAAGTGTTATTAATGGCCGACCTTAATCATTGGGAGGGTGAAACTACTTCATTTCATAACTAGGCAACATACTACTCGTTAGCACATCATAGTGTATTACTATGTTTATAATGGAGGAGGAGCTGATTATTAAATAACTGTAGTGAAACGTACAAGTACTTCAAACATGTACACACACAGCACACACACAGACACACACACAGTGCCAGCCTGTGGGAAGCTGTGTGATCTTAACTTCCTGTTTGGCCGAAGTGTCATAGCACGGCGGTAATGTGGTAACACGCAGACCCAGACACACACACGCACACGCGCAGACCCAGACACACACACGCAGACCCAGACACACACTGTGGCGAAGGTAACGGCAGCCGACTGGCGGTTGACACGTATCCTGTCACGCACCCACGCGCCATGTACACACCTCACAAAGTGTTTGGACCAGAGAGAAGCTCGAGGGAGGGGCGACGACTGCTGCTCAGAACCCAGAGAGTCCGCACGCGCACGTGGGTGTGCGTGTGCGCGTGCGTGTGCGCGTGCCCTCGTGTGAGCCCGGCCGAGGGCCTTCGAGCTCGTCTGGTGAAAGCGAGCTGGCATCGGCCTCGCACTGATTTCTACCGGCATCTCGCACCACCCACGCCGTGGATAACCGCCCCCCCCCCCCCAACAACACGCTCACACAGACACACACACACACAGTAAACTGTACTAAGTGAAGACTTGGTGGAGCAAACGGGCGTGGGTTCACTAATGTATACAGTCGGAGATGGAAAGCAGAGAGAGAGACGGATGAGGGGGAGGACAGAGAAAGTTTGTTGGCTCCTTCCAATGCGAAAAATGCAAAGGAGGGAGGGGG